TGTGTGCCATGCTCGCGACATTCGCTCGGAATAGTTGTTAGCAGTCTCCCGAACAACCATATTCCCTACTACAGAGCGTGTACGCTGCAAACCCGTGATCATGGTAAGCTATGTTCTCTTCTCTCTCGATGCGCGATTCTAACGTCTCTATCAGCAGGCCATGACACCCATCACCCCGCTGGAGCCGGGCGTGGAGATGTTCGAACGAGGAAAGGCGCAGTCGTTCTTTTCCAGTGCTCTAACGGTCCGGTCATCGCTAGAGCGTCCGCTTTCTCATATCAGTGTCGCATATACAGATATCGAAGATGATTCTAGCGAATTTGAGGAATTCAGCGGCTCTTCTGTATGTATTCTTTGGCCTAACAGCATATGCGACACTGACCCTTCCAAAGAGCGACAACAGGCGAAGTCAAACAACCATATCAACCTTCGAGGAAGTACAGACCCCTGGGGAAGAAGTACGACCACAATTCACCTACTGGCAGGAGCGAAAGTCAGTAGAAGGTCCCAAAGGGCCACACCTCTTCCGTGCTTCAGTATCATCCGGCGACTTTCTTTACGACGAAGGCCAAGTAATGCAAATGTCGCCTTTACTGCCAAAAGAAACTCCACTCCGTCATCCGACCTCATTCCGAGAAGCCACTCCAGAAACGATCGTTCCTCAAAGAGAGTACAACAACATCGCTCTAGCCGTTGCCCACTTGGACAATGCCGAAGTGCGCGCCTGGACTTCCAAAGACGTTGCTACCTGGATGTATCAGAACGGATTTGAAGACGACGTAATCGACAAGTTTATTCAGCACGATATCTCGGGTGCCGTTTTGCTAGATCTACAGTTCGATGATTTGAAAGAATTGGAAATTCAGTCCTTCGGCAAGAGGCATCAATTGTGGAACCAGATCGACTCCCTGCGCACCGCGGACGGCCTGATGTCGCCAACTGCTCCAGCAGCTATCCCGACTCCATTCGAGGACATCGAACGGCCATGTACAGAGGCAAGGAACAGGTCTAAGAGCAAGGGCCGAAAAGCCAGTAAACGCGACAAGTCGCGAGGGCGTCACTTGACAGACGATGTCATTACTCCTGCGCATTCGGTCTCGATCGTAGCCATCGAACAACTGCTACCCAAGCCACACGTATGCGCAAAGGGCGAACGATGCGCCAAATGGAGGAAGCAACAACGGCAGCTTGCCAGACTTCAAATGGAACACGGCTTTCCGATTTCGCCCGAGAAGGGTGGTCATATCTTCATCGCTGGTGACCCAGGCAACCCCCAGACAGCATCTCATGTTGTCGAGAATGTTCACCGGCCGAACTCAGAAGCTACTCCCTCCGTCGTGGTACCATCCGTGGTAGCATCATCCGACGTGCTGGGGCCTGGCCAGCTACCCGACTTTACTCTCCAGGACCTACAAAAGTTTGAGCAACGCGACCCGCAAGACAACGTGCGACAGTTCCTTACCCTACAGGGTCAGCAGCAGCCCTTTGTCAGCGCTACTCCAATCGAAGCTCCCCCAACACCGCCTACAGAATCATACCCACCTCGCCCTTTCTTGGTGATACCACAGCAACCGCACTACCCGCAGGTTTCAGCCTTTTCCGCATCTACGTCAGCGCATACCACCAAGTCTTTCGATCCTTTCAGTCAGACACCCTCAACTCCAGCTCTGCATCCCCCGGAGTTTATGCCAGCTCCCCACTCGAACCTCAAGAGTCTCCCCAAATTGACAATTCCGCCAGCACGTTCAATGTCCGCCCAGCCTGCTGGTAACTCACACAGTGCAATCCCAGCACACCAGTACCTCGCACCCGATACCGCCTTCTCGCCATGTAGGACAGCGTCACCAGGTGGCGTCTACCGGTTTGGTACGCCGTTCTCCGAGATGGACGTCCCTGTGACTGCTGTGCAACAAGAACCACTTAGCCGCGACACGAGCCAGTCTGTGCCTCCGAACATGCAATACCAACCCCAAATCCAAAGGGTTGGATCGCGCCATGACTGGCGACGTCCCTCGTTGCCCATGCCAGCGCTTGCTGAAGACCGCGTGTTCAGCCCAACGGCCCACTCGGACGACGACACCCTACGTGAGACCATTTTCGACGACTCCGTCAGTACTAGTGACAGCGCTAGCTCGTCGCCGCTCAAAGCTACCAAGCCATTCGACAGCGAAGCTGGTGACACTATTGCGCCTTTGCCCAAGGGAGGCTTCGTGTACAAGGGTGTGAACCACCACGGCTGGATGAAGAAGCGACGTACCAAGCTCCTGCGTCACGAATGGCAAGACCACCATTTCCGCCTCCAGGGCACAATGCTAGCTATGCATCCCAATGAGCTACCCTCCTCCTCCGCCCTGCAGACAATCGACGTGGACGATTATGCCGTAGCATGCTCATCGCTCGCTTCCAACAAGCTCTCTGCCAAGTTCAAGGCCCTGAAACTCTCTTCAGGTCACCACAAGGAGAAGTCTTCCGCTTCCACCCCCGCTTTCGAGTTTCAGCTTGTGCCTGCCGCACCTGGTAAGGGCGATGTCAAGAAGGTCATGCCGAATGGCAAGGTGCAACACTTTGCTGTAACCACCAAAGACCAGAGGATCGACTGGATGCGCGAGCTCATGTTGGCCAAAGCCTTGAAGGCTAAGAGCGACGGCTACGAAGTCAACGTCAACGGTGCCAACATGTGATCGCTACACCAGCGTGCCCATCATCTTTTTTTCCTTGACCAGTAATTTTTCTTCTGTTTTTCTTGTCTAGCAAGCGAGCGTGTGTTTCTGTCCTTTTTGGTTTGTGCAATCTCCTCTTCCTCAGTCCGATCATGACCCGCTATTATACCCTTTCCGTTGTTGCTATCTTATTTCGCACCGCATGTTACTGTTCTTCATGCCTACTCTCAATCCTTGAAGGCAGCATATATTTACTTTTGCTACTACATACATCTAAAGACTTGAACGCTGAGCGGGACCGCAAGGTCATGGAACACTACTGGTTATTTTGGCTTGAACATGGTAATGTTTTGGGTTTGTATTGGTTATGTGCTCGAGCGTCGAGGTCTTGGAACAATCACTCATTGACTAGGGTGGTATTTTGTTTTTAATCAAAAGCTGTCGTTACGTTGAGATGGAGTGAGATGGATTCAGGAGTGGGACGGAAAGGTGGAGGAAAACATAGGTACTATCCATGAATACGATGAACGTCATAGAACAACGTCCTTCTCTGTCCACGATCCTGATGTGTCCACGTATAGCTACCAGCTCATCACCGCTCTCTGGAATATTCGTGCTCGTCACTCTGTTCGAAACACTCGGTCTCCGACATTGCTCTCGGGGCCGGCCGGCGGTGTGCGTTGTACACTCCCGGCCGACGCAGCCCCATCACGAAACAACATCGCCCCTAAACACGTCAACCACAAATGTTAACAACATACCCACAAAAGACCATTAATTATTCTCTATTATCGTAGTTTCTTAACCCAAATCATTTTGCTACTAAAACACATCTTAACACCCAAAACACACATCTCGCTTCGTCCGTTCGCATCATTTCCCGCATGAACAGCTATCACCTGCATTTGAAACGACACCTGATATGTAATATGCTAAGCGAGACCCGCGATAATGGAATCCAAGGGTATTCGCTCAGAAGGTGTCCTGTTGAATGCCTTCGATGGCTAGTTTACCGGAGGAATGGTTGGGCAGGAGAAAATGACAAATGTTTAACATTACGATATTCCTTGAGTGACAAATTGCTGTCGAAGGCATGGCAGACTGCTGGTATAGCGACCTGGAGGTATACTAATTTTGGGGCTCCTAGGATCTGTTCGTGTGACTTTCTGTGGTACCATTAAAAATTACTACTAAGCAATACCTAAGTAAGCTATACATCAACTTGTCGAAAGCCGTATGAAGCTATTGAAGACCACAACTGGAGTCATAGACTCATTTAAGCTGTTCTTCGGCATCTGCTTCTCATCCGAGATTACATCGCTTTCTAATCGTCTGTCAGCAAATTAGACGTCTAATTCGTGTCGCACAGTCTCCCATTCGTATCCTGATCTAGAGGTTTGATAGCACAAACCCGGTCTTATCCACTATCATCACACAAGTCCGTGGCCGCGGTCCAGTATCCTGATCTTGGATCCTCTCTCTCGGGGCGTTAACGTGAACACCAATATGTGAATGACATCGGCTACCTGCATGATAACACTTTTTCGAATAGGCGATGCGATGCTTGTTACAAGGCAAGGTCGCACTGACAGCTGTCAAAATCGCTCGTGCGTCGTGACATGAGTGCAAAGTGATGGACCATGGATATGGGTCAATGTCGTGATGATGATAGCGTTTACTGGCTATATCTGAGATGAGCACATGTGATGGGTAAATGAAGATGAGATCGTAAGGGCACAGGAGCCGGAACTGAACGCCGCAGCCATTTCATTGAGGGTAACATTCGAGATTGGACTGGAAAGTGCCAGTGTATGAGTTCATGACAAGTACGCTAGGTGCGATGAAGTGCATACGAAATACAATTTATGATAGCGGTAGCGGAAGGATTACGACAGCAAAATATGATATGGCCCAAGTAGAAACAGGATTAAATTGATAAAACTAACGAGACGTTCGAGCAAGGTTATGATGTCTGATCAATTACATGCATTAAGAATAAGAAAATAGACCAGCTGTCCTCCCACCGTGGGTACACATCCTTCAATACAGTGAATGTAGTCCACAAGATGAGAAACCGGTCACGCTCTGTCTGTATCCCAATACTGGGGCATTCCTGTATTAGAAACAACATTATGTAGAGCTTTTGAGATAAAATTGTACAAGGCTCGTCGCGTAATAGTTGATGACCAAATCGCAAGTGTAAGAAATGGCGTATATATGGCTTGCGATTAATCGACTGTGCGTCAAGTGTTCCGAATTGAAATAATGATAGATGAGATAGAACCGGTCGTCGTCGTAGTCCGGTATAGATGTCGAAGGGGACATTGATGCTGGAGAGGTTTACTCCTCGGTCGCGTCAGCGTCACGCTTGCCGATAGGTAGACCAAAAGGGCGTTTCGCGTGTTTCCACCCAGCTTCGGCGTCGGCTTCACGCTTGCCGATAGGTAGACCAAAAGGGCGTTTCGGGAGTTTCCACCCAGCTTCAGCGTCGGCCGCACGCTTGCCGATAGGTAAACCGTAAGGGCGTCCAGGGAGGTTCCATCCAGCCTCAGCCTCAGCCTCAGCCTCACGCTTGTCGATAGCGGCGGGAGCAGCTGCGGCAGCAGGTACTGGCAGGGCGGCACCGGAGACGGTGACAGCTAGGATGACGGAGGCGATGACGGCGTTGATTCTCATGATGTCGAATTAAACGGTTTTGGATAGTAATGAATAGTGTAGGTCGGGGGCGGATCGACTATTGACCAAGTAACTGATAGCGGTCGTTGAAGTTGTAGTCGGTGACGAGAGATATTGGGGCTGTGGAAGAGCTGTACTTAACCATGAAAGAGACAAGGACACATGAAGGTATCTATTGGAGGCGTTATGCTTCTCTAATGATTGTTAAGCGCATGAATAGACCACTTTGTTGCTCAATAGACTTGTGAAGTGAAGGAATAGCGGGTTATCATCCAATAGCGGAGTGCCTATCCAGATGAATGCGAGGCCTTCGAAGGGATCACTCTGCTTAGAAGTTAGTCAAGCCAAATACCAAGGTCTTTCGGCGCAAACGAGCTCTTCCAGACCATCAAAGGCTCCGTAGTTTACGGATATCTTGCTTCCAGGAGATTTGTAGCTTCCGGTACCGGACGGCGAAAGGCCTGGAATACAAAGCACATGCATTTCCCTTAGAAATTCGACAAGGGATTGCTATACTGCTGAAAGAGGGCGTCAGAGTGGAGAGCTGGTGTTGAGATTACCCCATCTGGGTCTGAATAGCTTCAATAGAAAACAGAGGCTTGGCGAAAATTGCGTTTGTTTAACCTCAGCATAATGATGCGCCACCTATTTACAGCGAACAGATCATTCGACTGAGTAACAACGCTCACGAGGAAAGCTAGCAGAGGACTCAAGACTGAGGCATCGGCAAACATTGCAGCGGCTCGCATGTAGGCGAGCCACCTATGGAGATATGAGCGAGCAGAGGATACCGGATCTAGGTTCTCGGCTCACAAATTGTGTTTGTTAGGCTGTGAACCTGACATGCATGTAGGATGAGGTCTCTTTTGCGGAAATTGTCAGCATCGCGTCACCTACACCGTAAATGTTAGCGTGGTATGGACTTAACGAAAGCTATTCGACGTGGTTGACCATTGGTCGCAACGTCTGTGCGGGGGTATCGGAGCAGCAGAATATAGTAAGATTTTGCCTAGCCAACTGGCTGATTAAGCTAGCGCCACACGTGGCTTCGCGCCAAAAGTTGCCGCGGGGAATTGCGCGAATCCATGTGAGACGCCCATGAAAGTATGCATGCTAGGATAGCCAATTCAACGGCGCCTGCACTCAGAAGAGTGCTTTCGAGCTTCTCGAGACGATCACCATGGATTTGCTCGTCTTGCCATAATCGTAGCGGTCGCGGTCGACGACAGATTACCACCCAGACCTCCGAGAAGCCCTACTACATCACCACACCAATATTCTATGTCAATGCTGCCCCTCATGTCGGCCACCTGTATACCATGGTCCTCACGGACGTCATCAAGCGGTGGCACGTGCTCAAAGGACAGACAGCACTGCTCTGTACTGGGACAGATGAACATGGCCTGAAGGTAGTTTTACCTAACAAGTGTGAGAGTGTTGCACTAAGACTATAACAGGTCCAACGAGCAGCCGCCAAAGCTGGCATTGACCCGAAACTGTTTTGCGACAAAGGCGCCGAGATCTTCCGAGTACGCAAATACGCATAACGAACCTGTACTGTTGTTACTTACCTGCACAAGGAACTTGCACGAAAAGCCGAGATCACGAATGATCATTTCGTACGGACGACGGATAGAGAGCATAAGGAAGCTGTCGAGTATGCATGGGTACGAGACCTCGAGATACTTCGTAGAATGCCACGGTAGCTGATGGCGGACAGTTCCTGTTGCAAGAGAAGGGCCTCATATACGAGCAGAAGCATGAGGGGTGGTACTCAATCACCGACGAATGCTTCTACCCACAGTCAGCTGTACAACCGTACCTCGACCCACCGACAGGAAAGAAGATGATGGTATGGCCTGGCTAGTGAACTGTAGTAGTCTGAACTGACCATCCTGCAGACATCGATCGAAACGGGCAGTGAAGTGGAATGGTCTTCGGAGACAAACTATCATTTCCGGCTCTCGGCATTCCAGGACAAATTGTTGGAGTTTTACAAGAACAATCCCGAGTGGATAGCACCAGAACATCGCATGAAGGAGGTTGTGCAGGCCGTTGAATCAGGATTGGAGGACTTGTCCATATCTCGACCATACGAACGACTCACATGGGGCATTCGAGTCCCCGGAGACGACTCGCAAACTATTTACGTATGGCTCGACGCGCTCATGAACTACGCAACCAAGGCAGGATACCCATGGACACCGGGCCGCGAACAAGCAGGCGGTTGGCCTGCCGACTGTCATGTCATCGGCAAAGATATTGTTCGATTCCACTGCATCTACTGGCCGGCTTTTCTCATGGCCCTTGGACTTCCTCTTCCAAAGAAGATTCTGACACACGCTCACTGGACTCTTGGAGGGTCCAAGATGTCCAAATCAACTGGCAGAGTTGTCGATCCGTTCCACGCCATTGATCGATTTGGACCGGATGTTATGCGCTTCTATATGGCTCGTGAAGGTGGTATACAGGACGATGCGAGCTACGATAACTTTCGCATTATTGGGTTGTACAACAAGTTCTTGAACCAGCAACTTGGCAACCTAGCTTCTCGTGTTACACGAGGCAAGAAATGGAGCGTCCGAGGCGCAGTCGAACGCATTGGTGGAAGTCCAACAGAGGAATGGGAAGAAGGACCAGGTTCTAAATTCCGGAATAACTCTCTCGCCACTATCGCCTCGCAAGTAGACGCATCCTTTGATGCCTATGATCCGCGTAAAGCTGCCTCTCAAATTGCTGATTTTGTCCGAGGAGTAAGTTTGTGACTTTTTACGTATTGCTACTCTACTGACCAAACCAAGTCAAACGCATTCTTTCAGATGTCACAACCCTGGGACAAGATATTGAGCTTCGGTCCGGGCGAGCCTGGCGAGGATGTCGACAAGATTATCTATCTTGCCGCTGAAGCACTTCGCATTACCGGCATTTTACTACAGCCGTACATGCCGAATAAGGCACGTATGCTACTAGACCAGTTGGGCGTACAGCACGATCGAAGAAGCTTCGAGTACTGCAAGCCTGGCGCTGATCTAGACTACGGAACTCCATTGGTGGAGCTGGGTGTAGCGCACAAGGGCGTGTTATTCCCACCATTGTCGAGTGACGAGTAGGACATGTATATTGATGTAGTATATGTAAAATTAAGTCACAAAGAATCAGTGCGACTACCCTAGAGGTGAGCCTGTATACATTTATTTATTTTCGCCTATTAGAAGTAATGAAACTATCGAGGCCAAGTTTACTTTGACATATTAGACGCTCGCACCTGATTACCAAAGGCTATTGCAATTATCTTCCCCATGAAGTATAGCCCCAAGCAGGAAAATTCTAAGTAGCAGTTTAAGACAAATACGATAAATCTTCTTTGAGGTGAAGTTGCTAATCACATGTTGCTGGGGCCCAATGCCAAGACGACATCATCGCGCGAACTTTAGATTTCCGAATGAACATTTCCCACGACAACGCAATCATAAACCCCCCTCTACCTTCTACGCCGTCGATCTCCGCTTTCCGCATCAAACCCGTCGAGATTCTATAAGCCTTCCTACAACGACTGCAAAAAACACGATAAAGCATCGCACACGCGCTTCCACACAAGATCAGCTCACCATGGCCGCCCCCAAACCGGGCGGCTTCAAGATGTCGCTAGGGGCACTGAAGACAAACCCAGGGCTGAAATCGTCTCCCGCGCAGAGAGATACTAAAAGACTAAGCTTCTGCTCGGCGACGACGAACCGGACGATTCGAACACGCAACAAGAGATTACAGGATGGGACGCAGCAGAGGGCGGCGCGCTCGATGCCAACGGGAAGAAGGAGAAGGAGGCACCGCGCATCATTCAAGCTCTGCCAAACCGCGATTGGCGCGCAGAGGCCCGACGGAAACAACTTGCGAAAGCGCCCCATCAACAAGCGCAGAATGTAACCGTCGACAAGAGCAAGATGGAAGAGCCAAAAGTGCAATATGGACTTACCATTATCAAGAAGGACGAGGCGCAGGAAAACGGAGCTGCAGAAACTGAAGTGCCAGAACCAATGGAGGTGGAGCAGGACAATCTTACGGAGGAGCAGCGACTTGAGAAGAAAGCTCTCGATGCGCTAGTCAGCGGCAAATCCACCGACAACGACCTCGTCATTCCCGTACAGACGGAAGAAGAAACGTTCCTAAATGATATCCACAATGCGCCCGACGCTCCCACCCTCGAAGCCTACGAAGCTACACCAATTGAAGGATTTGGCGCGGCTTTGCTTCGCGGCATGGGCTGGAAAGACGAGGAAGCAATTGGTAAGAACGGCGTTGCTGCGAAACCAAAAGAAACCAAACGGCGACCGGCGCTACTTGGCATAGGTGCAAAGGATGATGCTGCTATAGGCGTAGAGCTTGGAGAATGGGGTGGTGGAAAAGGCAAAGGGAAGAAAGTCGCGCAGAGCTACAACCCCGTTACGCTGCGGAATAAGAATACTGGCGAGATTATCACAGAAGAGGAGTTGAAGGCGAAACTTGAAAGCCAGAGCATGATCCCGGATGAGAAGCCGTCGAGAAGCAAGAGCAAATACGACGACGATAGCGAGGAAGATGAGCGAAGGCGTGAAAAGCGGAGAGAGAAGCGAGATGACCGCGACCGCGACCGCCGACGTGACGATGACTATGATAGCGAACGGAGGAAGGACAAGGACCGTCGAAGAGACAAGGATGACTACTACGACAGCGATCGCCGCCGAGACAAACGAAGAGATCGAGCTCGAGACGACGAATACGAAAGCGAGCGCAGGCGCGAGAAGCGAAGAGAACGTAGTCGTAGCCCCGACGACCGAAAGGATAAACGCCGTGATCGGTACCGCAGCAGAAGTCGGGACTCGAAGCGGAAAAGCGACCGGAAAGACCGTAGTCGGAGTCGCGATTCTGACGATCGCAGGAAACGGAGGAGAGATAGGGAGTATGAGGATGATGGGAGGTATGAGAAGAAGAGGCATAGGGATGATAAGTACTACAAGTAATTCTTACTAGGCTTGACCACAGCATTAGAGGGAGTATGGGCATGCATGTATCTGGCGTTCTTGACTGGAGCCACACTGGCATAGCATAGGCATGAATGAGCAATTGTATCATGGAAAACATACAATTCGAGATTTCACATCATGATAATTTATCAATTGACTTCTCTGGAAGTGATTTCAGATGAAGACCTGACGTATGCAGCATAATCGTACAGACCGACAGCTCTTGGGAACATATCTCACTCCAGGCAGATCGATAGCAAAGTGAAAACAGAAAAGTGATATTATCTCGTTCCATTATATGCCATATTATGTATCGTCTACTAATACATTCGTCCTTCATCAGGACGCTACTCATACATGCGTCATTACGAAATCGTCGTAACCATGCAACACAATCAAAAACAATCCAAAAACGCCAGTGGTATATTTGTATGCCAAAAGCTCAACACAAAAAGAATATGTACAAAACGGGGTATACATAGGGAATTTAAAAGTTCTGCGAAGGAAGTGGGGACGGGTCTACCGCAGGCTTGGGGTATCCGTTTGCTGTGTGCGACACGTAACCGTTGGTGTTACCATTGGTGTAGCCGTTGCCATTCGTGTATCCGTTGGTGTAGCCGTTGGTCTGGGGTACGGCCATCTGCGAGTTGCCACGGTAGTATTGCTGGTTGTCCGCAGCGCCATCACCCATGTGGCTCCGTTCTGTCTCGCTGCTTTCCTCAAACACTTGCATCTCGGTCTGCTTGGACTGGTGGTGCTTGGAGCGTGTGGCAGGTAAGAAATCGATGAAGAAACTGAACACGTAGAAGCAGTAGATGAAGGATACACACCATTCGAGAACGGCGGCGACGTTGTAGACGTGCTGCTTGGAGCAAACAGCAAAGGCGACAGCGAGGCAGACCTCGGTGATGATGAAGAAGAGCTTGATCCAGAAGGAAATCCGGAGGATGGAGTGCTCGCGGTAGTGAATGCCTAAGCGCTGGTACTCCCAACAAATGAAGATTGCCGAGATGATGTAACCAATGATGAACACACCGAGGAAGATGTTATGCAGCCTGTTATGGTTCTTGCAATCGAAGATGGTGAGCAGTATCAGACCGGCTGCACCAACAATGGCGGCAACGGTTGCGCACATGGAGTAAATCTTCTGCCAATGGGATGTGTTTGGTGCAAGTTTGTTCGTGTGTCGCAACCAGCGCTCGAAAATGAAGGCGAGATCGAAAGTGACGACGGTCACGGCGGACATGGCGATAAACATAGCTTTCAGGTAATCCGCACCGATATCTTGAGGCTGTTAGTATATGCGTATACTTGGGTGTCCATACTGCGTAACTTACCAGAGATGTAAGGAATGTGTTGCCCTTCGCTCATTGTAACATAACGAGGTTTACCGGTAGCAGCCCAATAGACCAACATGGTGATAAGCATGGCGGTCCATACTACTGCGGAGAAGATGGGAACGACCCAATACGAAAGTCCCAACATGGTGAGTGAGTTTCCTCAGGCGTTGCTCCAAGGTATGTGGGTGGTGTAACAACGAGTCTTCTATTGTGACTGCTAAGGGTGTCCAATGCGCCTGCGACAGGAGGCTGCGGGATCGGGTAACACGACACGCGACCAGATGGTGAAGTGAGAAGAATGGAGCAGGAAAGAGATGAAAGCGCGATCAGCAACAAGGAGCAGGGCTAAGATAATGAGGAGGGACCACGGCAGAGATGAATAGTAGGCAGTCCGCGGCGCGATGAAAGTCTCATACAAACTATGTTGTTGCTAGACGCGACTATGATGTCACGCCTCCAAGACTAAGCCGGCTTGCGTAAGATCCCGCCAGGTCCGATTCGTTCGCCCTATTCAACGTCACCAGGCAAGGCGCAGACTCTTCGATTACGTGGAATTGAAGATCGTGGGCGCTTCCGAACACTTTCGGACGAAAATTGACATCAAGGCAATGATGATGTTGGGATGATAAGCCTTTGCGGGTGTGGCTTCTGCAAAGTGTCGCGATGCGGACTAACGCCATGTTTTGTGCGGCTGGCGCACGTCACTCCTCCAGGGCCACCGTCGTATCGCTGATGGTAGATTCGAGGCAAAGCTTCGCAAAACTCGATTGCGCTCAAACACAACGCAGAGTTTCAGCGTCGGCGCTACAATGGAACCTCTGTGGACCAGGTTGTTGTCGCAATGAGACACCTGACATGGACTGGTCCATGTGATTTGCGATGTTCGGCAGTTTGCGCGGCCTGATTGCGGCTGTCACTCCATGGCCAGGTGGAGCGTTGCTAGCGATGTGCAACATCCAGGCCTTCAGTGCTTCGGCCTTGAAAAGCTCTATAAGACCATGCCGAACCCCAATGTGGCCTGTTGCTGGTGCAAGTGTATATCAGCGTCCAATATGGTTTCGAGGCCAGTCGATGAACCCGGCCTTTTATCCAGAACCTGGGGTAGGTGCGCTTCGCAACCGTATCGTGTCTGTTGCGCTGCGGACGTCCAACCCAATCGGCCATCATCGATCCAACAAAGACATGCTGCCAGTTATTCCTTAGCCGGTACAGGAGTAGCGGTGACTACATGTCCTGCGAGTACGTGGCGACGGTGATAACGTGCGTGGCCAGGATCCTGGGAAAATCACGACGCGACGCTGAAATGAAGGTGCGACTATTGATCGGAGATTACCTAGGTACCTACGGTTTGCTCAATCTGAGATCAACAGGTTCGGTTATCCGCTATGAGAGAGAGTCGCAACAAAAGAAAAAGCGAGAGTACCGGGTGAACTGGTCATGCACGGGCCAGGAAGCAACAGCAACGTAGCGACGACAGCATGGCCAGCCACCGTCGTCGAGGCGCACAGCCACGCTATATATTGCGAGACGCGTATATCGGCACGGCCACAGCAGGCCAGTTCGGTTAGGTCTTCCTGGTGTGGATCTCTCGTAGTTATGGCACGACTTGTGGATGCTGGATTTTTCACTTTGCCATGGCATGAGGCTTGTAGAGGTCCGATCAGCCGTTAGGTTTACCGATACGGTAAAAAGCAGCTGGGATCCAGCCTTCGCGCTGCGCATGGAGCACCATGCCCCGCCTTGATTGGCTTCGGTGCTCGTGCGTTGAGCAACCTTGATTGGCAGATTACTTCACTCGTCGATGCAGCCTGCATTGTCCGGTTTCATGTCGAGCTTCTTCCAAGTTTGTTGCTACTTGGACCAGCTCAATTCTCGCCTGCGACGTGCAGCACTCGTAATTCCATGCCTAGCATCCTTGATACCTGCAGCCAACTGCACTAGACGCCTGTTCGCGCGGGGACATATTACTTATCCCTCGATATCCCTCCATCTGGTCCGCCAGTGTTAGTGTACCACCAGACTTCACTCTCATATCCTCACACCAGCCTCCGTATTGAATAACGTTGCAGCTTCCTATAGCTTTATAAGGTACGCCGTGGACCCGGCATTTTGTCGAGCATGCACGAACTGCGATTGACTCGCTCTTTAGCTATCGCAACTCCGATGCATCCTTCGCAATAATCTTGAGGGCCGTCGCTCTTTAACCCCACTATCACCTGCCAATATGGGGAATCAATCCAGTACCACGAATCACAACAAGCTGTCCAAACCCAAGACCAACACCAATTCCGCAAGTGGGGCTGTGAAGGTCGATTCACCGCAGCCCACAACTTCGAGATCCGCAGACCTGAGCCCTGAAGGACGCCAGCATATCAAAGACGCCCTCCTCTCACCTATCGCTACCGAATTCGATCCTAATACGTGGAAGCATAAGGATGATGGCTTAGGGGAGGTTGCGAAGACGCGTGGTCGCGCATCAACAGTCGCGTCAAGATCGAATTCGCGAACCAACTCCAGGACCAACTCCCGAACAAACTCCTTGTCGTGTTTTGGAAGTAAGCAAGGCTCAGCAGCCCAGCTTGCTGGCCTGGCGGATTCCAAGCTGTCTTTGGCTTCTGTCTCACATGTTGATATTGCTGAGGCAATTCGGCTTCTACAACAAGTCAAGAAGAATGGCACACCAGAAGAGCTTGCGGCGTTGCAAGAAGTCTTGGAAGCACCTGAGGAGCCTGCACAGCCAGTGGCCGAGGCACCCGTTAGTAGAAGAACTTCGTTAGTCGACAGGTCTTCTTCCTCGCTCACACGCCGACAATCGCTAATTCAGACGCCTGGAGTAGGCACCCGACACTCGCCAGTCGAAGGACGTCGCAGGACATGGAATTCGTGGAAAGCCCCCAAGCTTGACCCTGAAGAAGAGGCAAAATGGCAATCCAAGCCAAAGGGAAACTCCCACTTGGCCCCTCAGACAGCTCTGCGTTTGTCTGACGAAGCTCATGACTCCACTACGGCTCGAGCCATCACCCCTTCAGAGCTCGACTATGCGCATCTAGGGAGTTTAAAGCTAGGAACTCTCGTAGTCACAAATGGAGCAGCGTCGCCCGCTCCCAGCACAAAGACCCTAGAGGTGCAAAGGGCTGTAGATGACGACTACTTCTCAGCAACAGAGGCCAACTCCAGTCCACTGATGATGAAGTCGACACGTCGGCGGGCTCACACCAGGAGCAAGTCAGCTGTGGCCCCAACGCCTTCTCCACTCTATGAATTAGAAGCGAACCAAATGCCTATACCTTACGATCCAAGAACTACGGCAAGTGTCATTACGAATGAGTCTGTCTCTTCTTCAAGGGCGCCAAAACCGATTACCGAAGAAGAGTCTCCAAAGTTCTTCCAAACATCGCACGAGCGCAAGCACAGCGCATCTCAAATTGCCGAGAGCTATCAAGCCGGCATACCATTCAGCCCGTTCTTCGCATCCGAGGAGACTGCCATGTTTTACCGGCCCGAAAACTGCGTTTCGTCTACGGCGGGAACACCTCGCAGCGTCCGGGAGTCTTTCCTTGAAGAACCCAAGTCTCAGCCTGAAATCAAAGTTTCGATGCCTTCCACACCATCAGATGTGCTTGTTTCGCAGAAGCCACAGAGCAAGGCTATTCAACGACCAACACCACGAACGACTGATTCTGGTTACTCATCTGGAGCCAGTCTCCGGATAGCCGATCGAGAACAGTCGGAAAACTCTACCTCAATACTCTGTCACCGATGTAGCGATTCTCCACAAATGGTTGATGTGAGCCAGGAACAAGGCACTCGACCTTCAATCCTTGCAAAGAAGGGTCATCAGGATGCCGACTTAGCGCCTCCAAAGGGCGATGTGGAACATCATGCACAAATGGCCCGACACCTACCAGCGCTGAACAGCCCGGTTCCGTCTACGAGCTCTTCTACAAGATCCTCGGCGTCGGAGTCTCTGCACTCACCCAACACGCCTAGATCTATCGGTTCAAAAGCATCATTCGACAGTGCATCTTCGAAATCCCAGAAGCGTTTCCACAAGAGACGGCAGTCGCAGCCGGAGCATGTAATCGTTCAGTCATGCCAGCCGATTCCAGAAGGAACAATTCCTGAGGTCCCAACCAAGGTGCGTGCCAAGTTCGAACGACGCGTATCAAATACTCCGGGAATCGAATGCCTGACGCACACCTATCCAACAAAAGAACACGTTGTTACAGAAGAGCCTGCCAACCAGGCCCTTGCTGCCGACCAAATCGAGTTCAAGCAATTGGCTGAGTTGGAGCCTGAGCGACCACCTACGCCCCCCGTTCATGGTCGTCGAAAGAGTCTATCGTTCTTTCGGAGGAAGTCTTCATCCGGGAAGAGTCAGGTTGAGAAAGAACCCGAGCATGCCGCACTTGATGTGGTTCATCTGGGCACTATCACTTCGTCCCTAGGCAACTCTCCGTATGATATTGCTATGCCCGACACTCAAAGACAGAGCATTACCTCTCCCACCCACCCGCACCAACTGGGCAGTTCCTTGCCTCGCGCGAAGTCCATGGTGAGCATGGACAGCAAGGCTGCTGCGGAATTTGCGCGTCTACATAGCAAGGATCTACCAGTTGCTGGACGGGGATCGCCTCCTCAGCAGCGACGGAAAAGCTGCCATAACCTGAAGAAGGAAGCCGGCGAGGCCACTGCTTCGAAACTTCGCCGGCAGAGTATCGACGTGCCACCTGTGCCCTCCATCGATATGTCCAAACTCACAGTTCCGAAACCTGCTAAGCCTCAAGGACCCAGGGCCGCTCCCAGCTCTAGTCCTCGCAGTCAAAGAGCGTCTCAGCCGATGGGCAAATATGACTCACCCCGCAGAAGCCTTCTCAGCAACCTGTGAGCTGGGAGGTGCACTCCCAGATTTGGAAGCAGCGCCGTAGGACTTTGGGGGACCGGCTGTATTCAGATGTCGACTTGGATATAGAATCAGAATCGGAGCTCACAGTGGTCAATACAACTCCAGTGGAGACCACTCCTCAGACGACACCTCCAAAAGAAGTCAAGGTTTCCAACAATATGTCTAGATGGGATCGCTTCAGTGGGGGTTTGGAGTACAACTACGAACACGGGGCAGGCATTGGAGGCAGCGCAGGTACGCGATCCCTCCACAGCCACGCATCGGTGAAGTCGTTGCAGTTCCAGCACCAGTACGGCGTGGACCTCTCCGATGTACCAATCATGGTTCGGTACCAAACATGATTCAGCGCATCTAGAAGCGGCTGTTTACTGCTACATTCCCTTTGTTACGATCTACCCAAGCAGCAACTGCATGTCATGATTGTCTTGCATTTCATATATATTCACGCGTACAGAGCGGCATTTTGGGCATGGGGTGATAAGGCGTTCTTGTTTTGAGTACATACTGCATGGGCCCGCATTATAGTCACGTCCCCACAAATTCAGCAATAAGATAACATGAACACACAGCATCCAACGATAGCTGCTCGTATAATTACCATGCACCATGCGCCATTTACTATTCGCTCGTCGATTAACTTTGGGGCGTTGAGCGAGAAAGTTGGCCCAAGACGCTGACGAGTCGCATTGGGCATACCTCACATGCGCGGTTTTTATGCTCAGCCTCGTCTGCGTGCCATCGAGCCGATCAGGCACCACTGGCTTACATGCACGAGCCTCGGTGATGTCAGAATGAAATGCTAGTGGCTGCAGGTCCTGGACGGCGCAGGGATGTTAAGTAATGTTCGGTCCAAGACTCCAGGACCACAACCGAATGCGCGAAAATTGTCACTCCAGCTCCCCGCCATCACCTCCCTTTCTCCTACACTTCACCCATTCCCCATATTCACCGCTCGCCAGACGTCGCCCCTTATAAAGCGACTGTCTGCCCTTTCGTTACTGCTCAGCTCCCTCCTCCGACAGCCTTTGGTCGCGTCAAAGGCTCAAATCTCACCACGGCTTCGGCCCTGATCCTGCTCAACCTTCAAGTTGTCTCTGCTCGACCAGCGCCACACGTTTTCAACAACATCCCCCCTCCGCGTCTTGTCGCCATCTAAGAAAGAACTTGAGCGCCTTTTCTTTCTGTCTCCTACCCAGACACTCGAGCAGCCCGAACTTCAGCTGCCGCATAGGACGCCATCAGCGGTTCTTCCTCTCGCAGAGGAAGCGGCCAGACCTCGCCCAACACCAAGCCTCGGCTTCGCACCCTTCAAGCCACCTTAACACGGCCTAACGACCCGGCAAAATAACCTACTCAACCAATCTACTGTCAGCACCCACCATCAAGGGCATGGCACCTTCTGCTATCACGACTACCGAAGAATACCAATTCCCGTTGAAAGACATACCGTCGTTCAACAACTATTCAGCTGGTAGTGTTGACAATCATGGCGCCTGGCAATCCAAGCAGTTGATTGCCGACGCTCTCAAGAGCCGTGTCGAGACTATTGATCCTGATACCTGCAGCGTTGGCGAGGAAGATGCTTTCTTCGTCGCCGACCTGGGCGAGGTCTACCGCCAGCATTTGCGCTGGAAGAAGAACCTAAGCCGCGTCAAGCCGCACTATGGTAAGTCCACTGCATATTGTTCATGTCGAAACGCCACTAACATCTCGCAGCCGTCAAGTGCAACCCTGACCCCCAAGTGCTGCGTCTTATGACTGCACTAGGTCTCGGTTTTGACTGTGCTTCCAAGAACGAGATTGAGACTGTGCTCAAGCTGGGCGTCGATCCTTCTCGCATCATCTACGCGCAGCCCTGCAAGACCAAGTCTTACGTGCGCTACGCCGCTCAGTCTGGCGTCAAGCAGATGACGTTCGACAATGCCGATGAGCTCTACAAGACCAAGCAGCTCTTCCCTAACGCCGAGTTGTACCTGCGCATCTTGACCGATGACTCGGCCAGCTTGTGCCGCCTCAGCCAGAAGTTCGGCGCTGCCTTGGACACGACTGCAGAGCTCTTGGAGCTGGCGAAGAAGCTGGAGCTCAACGTTGTTGGAGTCGCGTTCCACGTCGGCTCTGGCGCGTCCGACCCCAAGGCTTTTATCAAGGCTGTCCAAGACGCCCGTTTCGTCTTCGACCAGGCGTCTGCACTCGGCTTCAACATGCATACCCTAGACGTGGGCGGCGGTTTCACCGGCGATGTCACTTTCGAGCCCATGGCCGCCGTCTTGTCTACTGCCTTGGACGAGTACTTCCCGCCCCACATCCGCGTTATTGGGGAACCCGGACGCTACTATGTCTCCACAGCGTTCACCATCGCGTGTCACGTCATTGCTCGTCGCACCGTTACCGATGCTACCCTAGGCACCACCTCTTACATGCTGTACCTTAACGACGGTGTCTACGGCAACTTCTCGAGCATCATCTTCGATCACCAGCACCCTGTGCCGCGTGTGTTGAAGAATGGCAACGACGTCCTATACGATGTGCGTCGTTCTGGATATGACACGCCGTCTCAGGTCGAGTACTCCATCTGGGGTCCTACGTGCGACGGCATTGATGTCATCTCATCCTCGTGCACCTTCCCCGAGTTACTCGATGTCGGTGACTGGCTTTACTTTGAGGAGATGGGTGCGTACACCAAGTGCTCTGCTACTCGCTTTAACGGCTTCAGCGACAGCCACGAGGTTGTGTATGTGTGCAGCGAGCCTGGTGCTGCCGCCCTCATGGGCATGTAAATATTCTGGTGGAATATTGTTGGCGCGAAAGTATTTAGCAGGCGTGTAATAGCGAGTATACAGAGAGGGGAGGTAAACCAGTGATCAAAAGTTTGATAGATTCTATAGATGTCCCGTATTTTCATAATCCTGAAGCGTGCATATTGCTAAACCTCATGCTGTTGTCTACCATCGAAGTCGTCATTTCCGTTGTGGGTACTGTTGATCATGTTTCTTACATGCACTACTACTAACCCCTATTCACTTTTCATATCCTCACCTCATGACCTTTCTGGATCTATCTCTTGCAACAACGACGACGCACATTTGTCCGATGCCAAAGCGTCATTAACAATGTTCTCCTCCACACCGGGTCGGCACAGATGACTGGGATACTTGGAGGGATGAAACTGCCGAGTACTGAAAACTCGTGCCTCGCGGATGCTCACAAAGTTGTCAGCCCGCTGTACTGCGCGGCCCGCCCTGCGTCGATGATCGTGGTGCTCACCAGCCACAGGCAGCTCGAGGGGATACAGGGTTTGATTCGCCGGAACAAGTTTGTAGCGTGTGCCACATGAGGTACTGGATGCTGCTCGTATGCGCCGCCAAGTGTGATCAGGAGTGGTCTTGAATTCGGCCGCAGCGCGTAAAGTCGACATGGCCAATCATATGGCAGAGCGCCTTGGAGGCCCAGGGTGGTCGCTATGGAGAGACCCGCCGCAGCCCAACTCTTGGAGGGCCATGGGAGATGGGCTACGTAAGTCAGCAGTATCGCGTAGAAACAAGCAGGCCACAGGCGCATTTGCCGTGGTCCGTCTTTCCTCGCATATAAACCTGAGGGGTCCGGATCGTCGAGTTGATGCACCTCCTCGCCCGGCAGCGTCATCTGTATTGAGCCACGAGCCACGAGCCACTACCCCACCCATAGCAGCAGCCATCCACACCCACGCCCTGCGCACGTCGAGCTATCCGCACCCGTAGCCAAAAATAAGTTTGCGCCTGTCATCGCCCGGCGATCAGGTACTGTCGCTGCAAACTCACAAAATCGCACGTTCCACCATCATGGACGGGAGGAAGCAGGGCCGCCCGGACGAGGAGCTCTTCCTGCGATACGACAACAACCCTGACACGCCCACTATTCCCACAGTCGGTCCCCTGAGGATACAAAAGGGTCGCGATGGGAAGAGCCCGCCTCCGCGAACAGACTCGGCCGGCAGCTCGAGCCAGCCCGCCTTCTCGCGCCCTCCACCGATGCCCTCGTTTCCCGCGCCGCCTACCAGTCCGCCGAACGCGCCTCTTCCCTACCCCGACACGGACCGGCCGCCAAATGTGCAACCCACCCTAGGCACAGGCAGATATACTCCACTCGGCGAGAGGGAACGGCGGGCAAAGAATGCCACCCCCCCTGAGAGCGCAGACGGAAGGAGGCGGGGTTCAAGTGCGACAGGACCGAGTCCCACCTCGCCCAGCCAGCGCGCTCGCTTCGACGCCAACGACCCAAACCGACCGACGATAAGTGGCTATGGCGCAAGGAATCCAGATGGTTCAATCCAGCCTTCAAGGCTGGCGGAGCGAAGGGGAACAGCTCCAAAGCCACTCCCAGACTCGCCCGGCCCAGACACTCCTGATAAAGAGGGCCTGTTCCAGAAGGCGCCGCAGAGGAAGGATAGTGAAGATGTGGGCGTGAACAACCCATACCCCGACTATCACCAGCAGTACTTCCCTCCGCCCGCTGCAGGTCCCAGCGCGGCCCCAGCTGCTCCCGTCGTCCCAGTCGTATATACAGGTCCCAACCAGAATGAGCCGGTACTCAAGGTGCCTACGCCCATGGACGTCAATCGCATGAGCTCCACCGCTTCAACGTCAACAGTGAGAGCACAAAGAGGCTCCCCGCCGCCTCCTGAGACGCCCATCATTCCTCCTTCTGGTGGTGGCATAGAAGCGCGCTTTGCCGCAGCTGGCATTGCAGGAACCTCTACACTCACCAATCTACAAGCGCAAAGTGCTCAAAATGCGGCAGCTGCTCAGCGCAACCAGATCTATGCCAACCAGCCGCCTAGACCGGGTCTCTCAACACCACAACCGAGCCAGCAACAACCAGCCAGGAGACCATGGACACCAACCGAGCAACCCGGAGGCAATCCACATGGCCCACCAGCGGTATACCAAGGTATGGATCAAGTGCCTCCTTCGAGTACCCCTCCACAAGGTCCTCTTCCACAGGCACCAAACACTCGGTTTTCGCCTCCGCCTACAAATGTTCCGCATACGAACGTACCTCCGGAGCACCCTCTCAACCATGAGATGGGACGGATGAACCTGAACGAGGAGCCACCACCAGCATACTCGAGTATAACAACTCCACCAACAGGACAGGCCGGTAGCTATCCCAACGAAAAGGGACAGCAGCCGGCTGCTCAAGGCGTCAGTTTCTCTGACCCGAATCAGGGTCATCCTGCATTTGCGAATGATGTGCGCCCGCAAGCTGGTCCCTCGCAGCCTGCTACGGTGGTCGCACCAACGCCTACGCAAAACCAGTTTCCTCCTCAAATTCAAACCGCCCAACCTGCTCACACACCAAGTCCGGCTCCGGGACCAGGCCCCGGGCCTGCCTCACCTCCACCGCTTCCTGAGGGCTGGATAGCACATCTAGACCCTAGCTCTGGCCAGTATTACTACATCCATTTGCCCACACAGTCTACACAATGGGAATTCCCCAAGGGCCCGACGCCCCTAAATTTGAACGAGCCCATGTCTCCAACAGGTACATTCGTGGGCGGTCCTCTGGCATCCCCGTCTTTTGGCAAGGCTCCTATCGCATCGCCTGGCTTTGCTCCACAGACTGCTACTTTCCCTGGAGACTTTGGCATGGCTCCGCTTGCGACTCCAACTACTACCGGCTTCACTGGGCCACCCCCAGTCGCTGGCGTGGATCAATACAAGGTCGCTCCTACTAATGGCGTTTACTTTGGACCGTACCTCAGATACACCAACATGGACATTGAACGGGGTCTGTGGCTGGGTTCAATCCTGCTTATCACAAATACACCTCATCCGCCTACAATTCACATTCATCAGAGCGCGGATTTGTCGCCGAATCCGCGACAGCTCAAGGCCAATCCCATCTACACGCACCAGACATGGATCTTTTACCGATACGACATCGATCTGAGGATGGAAGAGGAACACGCCGCGAAATGGACTTACGCCATTACCTCGCACCTGGGCTGCACTCGCTTTGAGTTCTTGGTAGCAGGACGACATGAGACAAGCTGGCGGTTTATCGCTCACTCCGGCAACGATTTTGCATTGAACGTCAACGCTAACGAGCGAGCCAAGCTTGGCGGCGTGGGTCTGATGTGGAAGGATATTCTGCAGAAGAACGCCGAGTGTGGTGGCTTTCACGTACAGCTAGGACTGGGTGGTCAGATTTATGCTGACCGGCTATGGAAAGAGCTTCCTTTGTTGAAGCAATGGACAGCAACAAGTGGCAAAGAGATCCGAAAGAACGCGCCATGGACTGCAAAGCATGAAGAGGACGTCTGCCACGCATACTTCCACTACTACACAAGTCATTTTGATCAGCCGCACCTGCGAGAGGCATTTGCACAAATACCTCACATCCTTGCTCTGGATGATCATGACATGTAAGTCTATCTTAATCTGAAAGTAGCAAGAAGTTCTAACTCTGTTTAGTTTCGACGGCTTTGGATCGTATCCTGAATACATGCAGTTCTCGAACATGTTCAAGAACATCGGAAGATTGGGTATCGAGATGTATCTGCTCTTCCAGCACCATACGACACTGGAAATCCTGCGGAATGTCAACAACGACATGGACCTTTTCACCATTACGGGTACAGGCTGGCACTTTATCAAGTACTTGGGTCCCTGCGTTACAGTTGTTGGTCCGGATTGTCGCTCTGAGCGCAACCCGCATCAAGTGATGGCAGGGCCGACATATCAAGGTATTTTCCCTAAAGTTGCGACACTGCCGCCGAGTGTACAACATTGCATTTGGATGGTCCCTGTTCCTATCGTGTACCCTCGCCTGGAGTCTGTTGAGCATCTCGCTCACTCAATGGCTACTGGCAAGAAAGCCGTCACTGGTACCTTCAATATGCTTGGAAAGGTGACAGCTGGCGTCGCTGGTGTCGTCGGTGCTAAGAGTGTCGTTGGCGATGGCTTTAATTCCGTCAAGAAAGCTATCGGCAAGTCCGGCTTGATGAGCGGAGTCTTGAGTCCTTTCGGAGAGATTGACCTGCTTGACGAGCTAAGAGATCAGTGGACGCACGATTCAAAGGTTAGTGACTCCTATATGGTGTTGATCAACTTACTAACGCCTTGTAGGACCTTGAGCGAACGTACTTGATCCGAACACTCCAAGGCATCGCACACAACAAGTCGTTACGGATGACATTCTTCTCCGGTGCGGTCGACTGTTGCGGTGCAGGCCTTGTCCATGACCCGTCGAGACCTCAAGATCACAAGACAATGTACCAAATTATTTCATCGTCAGTGGTGAACGGGCCGCCCGGTAACTATGTACTGCGACTTCTCCATAACAATCGAGCCCTATACGTACCGCAGAACGGACACCGCAGCAACAACCAACCTAGCGACACGAAAGAAGACATGATGGAGATTTTCACACAAGACGTCAATGGCCAGCCACGAGAGTACAAGAGACTGATGGGTCGAAGAAATTACGTTGCATGTGTCATTTACGATCCCGAGATTGTTAACGGCACGTTTGGTCAGGCGGTTCCTGGACATGGAAGTGGCAAGCTGAGTCTGGCGGTCGACTTCATGGTGCAGAACGACGGTGGATATAATGCGCCCATGAAGTATGGACCAGTCATTGTCCCAAGCTTAGATTATGGTAGATAGACGGATTGTTGGCCTTTTTGCTTTCTTGTATTTCAGCGGTGGTGTGCATAGCAAGCGTTGTTTATGCTTTCAGGGTGGAATGTTGAGGCGAACTCGTTCAATATGATATCAAGAGCAATTATGAACAATCTTTCCACGCACGTTTTCATGACACATATCAAACTCCTGTGATGACCTTCTTAACGGTGTTTTCTTAAGCTAGAGGACTGGCAGAGTCCTGGCGGCGTGGAATGGTTTTCCGAATTCGGCAATGACATCTGCAGGCTTGGCTATGGCTATCCGCGGCCTTTGAATTCTCGATAGCGAGACAGGACCGAAACCACAACACCCACACTATGGCAGTTCCTGCAATGCAAGCGACAGCGATACCGCGATTTCTTCTGCCGCAGATATCATGGCCTGCTAGGGCGTCACGGCCAGTAGCGCTGGGCGCATTGGAACAAGTTCGGCATAGATCCTGTGTAGCTTCCGAGCGTCGCGTTGCCATTCCGAAGCCATTGTCACTCCAAGCACGAACAACGATACAGTGGCCAAGAACATCACCACAATACGCAAGCGGTTATGCATCTGCTCTGGATTTTCGGCGCAACTTCAGCGCAACTGCACGGCAGTCCAAGGACCATCATTTCGACACGCTCAAGTTTGTACAGCGATTGAAAGAGGAGGGCTTCACAGAAGAGCAAGCCGAGGGCATGATGAGGGTTCTTAGCGATGTGATTGAGGAGAGGTCAGTTACGGCACAGACTGTTCAAGAAGTTTGAATTAACCTGTGCAGCATACAAAATCTCACGCGCACCATGGTCCTTCGTGAAGACCAAGAGAAGGCCACCTACACGCAGAAAGTCGACTTTGCCAAACTCCGCTCCGAACTTATGACAGCAGACTCGACCGAATCTAGCCTGACGCGTGCATCGCATGAGCGCCTAACGAACGAGCTCGCAAAGCTGAACTCGCGCTTACGGGACGAGATACAACGGACACAGGCATCAGTGAGGCTAGATTTGAACTTGGAGAAGGGGCGCATTAGGGAGGAGGCGAACGTCCAGGAACTCAAGCTCAAGGAGACGGATACGAGGATTGAGCAGGAGACAGCGCAGCTAAGGGAGAGACTAGAGGCTGTCAAGTTCTCAACGCTGCAGTGGCTCATGGGAGTCTGCACCGGTACTGCGGCGTTGATGTTGGGAGTGTGGCGGTTGTTAATGTGAGGCACGATGCGATGGCATGTATGAAGATATCTTGGATCAGACGTGAACAGCCTCAGAGAGCTACAAAGCTCAGAGTGCACATGACCATGTCCCTGAGTTGCACGATTTATGTGCTACAGTATTCGTCAATGCAGTTCGTTGCTTGCAACGGAAGAACGGCTCCATAGCAGCCGTGCACGATGGGATGATGCCGAGACCGCAACGGTTGGTTTTAGATAAGACATTGTGGCGTGCATATGCAGCGCGCGGGAACAAGGTTGTCCGTGTAGAGCGTTGAATACGAACGGCTGCCTTGGTATTCAGGCAAATTCACAACATGCGCGCTGATATTGAGAAGAGGGCTGCTCGCCTATTGGAACATGATGTCTACGCTGTTGGGCTGCTGTGGATACATGTGCCAGGCCGCCTAGCAGGCCTGGCGCCTCAGATCAGCCACATGTGACACGGAAAGCTAACGGCTCTGGGTCTCTGGCATTTGGCCGTGGTACTTCACCGCAACGTGACACGAATCATGGCGCAGAAAGCTCGCAACGCAACGGCTTCTGTCCAGGTTTTCTAGCTGTTTCCAAGGTGCACTGATTGGCCCCCACTTGGACATGGGACGGCAGTCTAGGAGTCAGCCTCTCGTTGGCGGCCGCGCTTCAGAGCTCGACTGGTGTGACTGCTGGTTGTAGACGTTACAGGCAAACTGGAGTAAGATGAGTGCAGGACGATGCAATTGCACATGTCGCGAATAGAACCTAGGGGGGTGATGTAGCTGAAGGGGCCGGTGAAAGGGCAGACCCTGAAGCTGCTCACGTGCCCAAGTGCCCCTCATTGCCAGCTCCTGCGAAGATAGAGAGGCTGGACATGGCGACGCAACTGTAGGGGCGATAGGGGAATAGAGGTATGTGGTATGTAGTGAAGAGTCTGAAGGGTGTGAAGGAAGGCGTGCCAGCGTGTAAACGGGGCAGGAGATCATGTGAATGGCAGCTCAGGCGCCAATTGAGGGAAGGCGCAGTCGATGGGGTGGTGTTGTTCGCTCTACGCACGGCCCCGGGGGCTCTCTTAGGGCAGACGCTCGCTTCCTCAAAACAACTTCGATCCTCTTCTGTTCGTTGATCCACACAAACACCTCAACAACTCCGCCCACCGTCTATCCTTCCATACGCATCTGCACCCACCCCCACAGTCTCCCGACCACCAAAACACACATCAACTCAACCATCACAATGGCGACTGAGGTACGTGGTGCTGATTCTGCCCCCATTCCCCGCTGTTGTCCCCCGGCGGGATGCCCTCTGAGCCCCGATAAACTACAAGCAAGCAACACGGGCTAACGTCAAACAGCGTGAGAGGTACGATCTAGCTGCTGCATACAGCGCCAGCCCGTAATTGACATGGCAATAGCAAGACTTTCCTCGCCCGGCTGTGCGAACAGGCTGAGCGTTACGATGGTAAGTCTCCGCGCGCTCCCAGCTATGGCCGCGCAAGCTAACAGTAGTCTGCAGAGATGGTTACATACATGAAGGTCAGTTGTTCTGCTATCGCTGCTCATCTGGACTCACATACTGATTGTTTCGCAGGAAGTCGCCAAGGTATGCCCGACCGCATCCGCTCTCAGACGAGCAGGCGCCCGCCACAGCAGGCTCCTATCTGGCCTCAACTAACACACGACAGGTCGCCGGTGAGCTCACCGTTGACGAGCGCAACCTTCTGTCCGTCGCCTACAAGAACGTTGTCGGTACCCGACGCGCGTCGTGGCGCATCATCTCCTCGATCGAGCAGAAGGAGGAGTCCAAGGGCTCTGAGAAGCACGTCGGCACCATCCGCGACTACCGCCAGAAGATCGAGACCGAGCTTGAGCAGGTCTGCCAGGATGTCCTCAACGTCCTCGACGACTCTCTCATCCCGAAGGCCGAGTCCGGCGAGTCCAAGGTCTTCTACCACAAGATGTGCGTGCACACCGCTACATCCGCTGCAAACAAGGCTAACACGGGCACAGGAAGGGAGACTACCACCGTTATCTTGCCGAATTCGCTTCCGGTGAGAAGCGCAAGGTTGCTGCGACTGCTGCACACGAGGCCTACAAGGTATGACGCAATGACTACTCTGTGAATCAACAGCCGCCTAACCCCGCAACACAGACGGCCACCGACGTTGCTCAGACTGAGCTCACACCCACCCACCCCATCCGTCTTGGCCTCGCGCTAAACTTCTCGGTCTTCTACTACGAGATCCTGAACTCGCCCGACCGTGCTTGCCACCTTGCCAAGCAGGCTTTCGACGACGCCATCGCTGAGCTCGACTCTCTGTCCGAGGAGTCCTACCGCGACAGCACCCTCATCATGCAGCTCCTCCGTGACAACCTCACTCTCTGGACGTCATCAGACGGTAACGAGGGCGAGGCCGCTGGTGCCACCGACGCACCCAAGGACGAGGCCAAGACCACTGAGGACGCACCGGCTGCATCCGAGCCCAAGGCCGACGAGCAGCCAGCTGCTCCCGCCCCTGCTCCTGCTGCTTAAGCACACTCTCCCTATTTCGACCTTGTGTATCCTAAGCCATCATCATCTGTTCTCGAATAGACGAAGAGGGCCGGCAGCGAGTGTCCTACGGAGTTGTACGTGTTCTGTGTGATTTCAAAAATTGGCTTTGGCAGCAAGCGGTTCGGTACGGTCGAATTCCCCATGACTGAATGTATTTCCCTTTACTCTCCTATCGCCGGCGCTGTCCCATCGAGCACGCAGCGTGCTGGGGTTGCGTTTCACACACAACCGCAGTACTTCTGAGCTCTTCCTCGTGAGAGTCTCGAGCTGCTACCGGCGAGATACGGCTGCGTTTGGTACGTCGGATGCTACCCTCAATTCCCCCATGTTTTCGTTTTGGCAGCACATAAACACCTCGATCCTATGCCGACAGAGATGTTTGACATCCTCTTGGTGATTCTGGGAGTCAGGACATCTGTTTCGATGGCCGGTAGAGCAGTACGAAAGGCTCTGATGGGCTTAATGTCATCATACTGCACTCTTAGCTAGCCAAAGGAATCGCTACTTCAATCTTGCCCTCTTATGCCGTGACTCTCGAACCTTGATTCGCATTGATCTCTGACTCACTGCAAGGAGCATGTATATCGTCGATCTTGGAACTTTGATCGGTCCTTTTCCATGTGCCAGACCCTGTGGAACGGGCAGCCGCTGCCCCACCACTTGGAACCGAACAGCCCTCCCCGCCTAACTTTTCTGTCTCCCATGTCGCCTCGCGTATGGCAAAAGTTCCAAACAAGCCCTCCAAGGGCGAGCATCGCTCATAATTCTATATAACAGTTTCTATTTCCTTAGGTCCCATCTCTTACCTCCGTACCATCACATCAACTCGCGACTGTCGCGCAAATACGAAAACCATGGCATACACCAAAGACTACTACCACATCTTACAACTACCTGCGCCAGGCTGGTCCTCGAAACAAGAAACCCCGCCAGCGGAATTACGTCGAGCGTACAAAGTCGCCTTGCTAGCAGCACACCCAGACAAAGCGAGCGCCATCACCGCGACCGCAAAGACGAAACCCGCATACACAGTCGACGACGTAAAAGAAGCCTACACGGCGCTCGCAAACGGAACGACAAAGACAGAATACGAGAATTGGTTCTTGCATCATCGCGATAGCATTGCGTCGGCGCAGACTGCGGACACGCATACGCATACGCATACAAATACGAGTACACAGCCGTCGAGCGATTTCATACTTGGGCTTGAGTTGCTTGATCTTGGGGACTTTGACGTTTGGGAACCGGAGGCTGGGGACGCGTCTGAAAACACAGATGTTTCGGGGCAGGAAAAAGGACAGGAACAAATGACGTGGACGAGGGCATGTCGATGTGGTGCGGACAAGGGGTTTAGTATACTGGAAGAAGAGCTCGAAGAGGCAGAGGCAAGGGGCGAGAAGGAGGTACTGGTTGGGTGTGTGGGGTGCAGTTTATGGGTCAGGGTTGCATTTGATGTTGAGGTGGGTTGAGGAATGGGAGAGGACATACCGACGTGGTGTCCCCGCCATAGCGGCGGCTGGTGGTCACGGACTGCTTGTTAGCCTGACTTTTCGACTGGTAAACAGACTGTGGGGTCGTGGAGCCTTTTCTCCGCCTCATACTACTTGTCTGAGTGAAAGAGGGCTTGTCACGACCGGTCATACTGTTCGCCATGCCCATAAGCTACCGTCTCACGCCTCGGACTGGCTCACATTCTACCTTTCCGGGATGTCTGTCGTGTACGTAGCAAGCAGGATATATTGGGTATGATAGGTATATACATAGCCGCAAGAGATCCACTACTTGGGTCTATTCTGGGACTCAGCGGGAAACGAGGTCGCAAGGCATTTGGAAAGGATATTGGGGGGGAATATCAGGAAGAGTTTGGGAGAAGAGCTTTGCTGTACTATGGCATATGACAATTATAAAATAGGTATGGAAGGTAGGAAGTGTAGATGTATGTATATATATGCGAATCGCAAGGCGGCGATACATGTACATTATTGACTATGGTGCTTTGACGAGCATTTACATCCTAACTTCCAGCGCTATCTCGGTTGCACAATGTGTCTTCCCAGAATGATCAGTAGAGAAGCGGCCACATCGGTGAAGCGCACCGCTCGCTTGTATGGTGTAAAGTTTGACGATATGACAGAAGAGAGGAGTCGGAGGGGTATCGATTTCGTTATCTATTCTTCACCGGGTCTTCATAATAGCCAAGGAGAAGGGGTGTGAAACCCTCATCAGCAAGGAACTTCTGACATGGAGACGTATAATCATGGAATAGACATATGACAAAGACATAAACAACACCAGACCAGAAATCAAGATATCCACCCACGCTTGTTGGTATCAAACATGCACAGATAGCCGCCAACGCCAACAACAGTCGCACCGTAAGCACCAGAAACCACTCGGGACATATCTTGATCACATGTTCGACTGTACCGCCAGCTTGGCTAGCAGATCATCGACTTGTCTCTGCAAGTCTGCCTTCTCTGCCTCAAGCTGCGACTTCTTCTTTGGCTTCTCTTTTTGCACGTGTATGTTCTCCCCGATCAAGTCGCCATTGTCGTCAAGTTTCATGCCCTTCGCCGTGAGCATCTTCTCGACCTCGGGCACCAATTCTGCGAATGTCTCGACACATTTGACACCATACCGGTCACATGTGAGATGGACATTTCCCGATTTCCAGTATGCTTCTCCGCAGCAAACAACAACCTTATCGGATGCAGTCCAGAGACCCAGCTCGAGGAGAGACACGGGGCTCTTAGTCTCGGTATCGAAAAAGAAACAGATGACATCTGCTTGTTCTAGTGCATCTAGCTCCCAGACGACCTGTTGTTTGAAGAATTCATCCTTGGCCTGTTGCGTAATGCTTTGATCCCAAAAGCCTTTCCGGGGATTGCATACAGTGATCGGCAAGTGATTAAGCATGGTTGCCATTAGCGGCTGCCAGTTGACTGCGCCACCCATCTCTATGCTGCCAGCGGTAAAGACAGTAAATTTGCGGTATGTAGGTGGTTCCGGGGGATTAGAGTGCACAAAGTCCTTGTGCGGTGTTGGTTCTGGTGATGGCCAGGGTGGAAGTTGATGCTTTTTGTCTTCAACCACCTTATCAATACTCGTCACACCGGGAGATTTGCTCATATCGGTAGCTTGCTCCTTTGTCGCTTCCTCGGGAATGTCCACCTTGGGAGGTTCGCTATCGGTTGTCTCGTTCTTGCCTACGAACTTCTCAACGATCTTAGACCAGGTTGTATGGCTCCTCATTAAGTGACCCGTCAGCTGCTGAAGTCGCTCTTTAGTAACAAAAACCTCGGATTTTATCGGAAGAGTAGCTGCTCGGGCCAGAGTGGTGTAGGACAAAGGCTGATGAAGAGAGTGGAAGCTGTGAAGGGAAGTTAGTTGCGTGCCTTGTTTGTCTCATGGTCGTTTGGTGGGGCTAGTCATACTCGACCAGTGACATAGCCGAACCCTTGACTGCGGATGTCTTGGATCGTCGGGCCCTTGTGGAACGATGCAAACAGACGGACACAGACAATGTTGGTACGCGTTTTAGATGAGTGTTTGTGATTTGAAACTGTGAATGAACCGATAGGGCAGATGCTTCACAATGCGCATGGCTTTGCGCATCTTATTTGCGATTTCTTGAGCTGCCTGCAACTTGACGTTTGGCGCCAGGCTGCAACATCGGGATCCACAACGAGGCTGTGCCTCCAAGGCGCCTGATAGTTCGCGCCGGCTATACAGATTCTACATAACACACGTGCAGATTTTTCTACACCGACTCCATTGTTGGGGATCTTGCTTGTACGCTAGACTGGTTCACATGAGGCGAAGTGTGGCTAGTATCTTTCTCGTCTCTTTGTACCCCTGGCGCTTGTGGCGAGGCTGTCTATAAGGCTGTTATCGAAGGCAGTACCTAGATGGCTATCCGCCATCGTGTTGATCACTGAACTGCGTGATACTTGACGAGGTAATTGATAGGGCGGGTTCAACACTGGTGTTGGAGGTTTCGGAGTTGGCCGAAAGAGCTATCGCGATAGAATACGGCGGCTAAGGCTGGAGCTGAAGTACATGTGAGCGCTGAGAGGCTGAGTCATATTGGTCACACCAACTAATATCAGTCACATTCACAAAGACTTACTTAAACCTGGAAACCGTCGTTAAGATCCGTCATGTTTATACAATGAACCTGGTGTCACGAACGATGGCATACTGTGGCGATGCTGTCACAGGTGCAACACTAGGATCAATTAGAGGACTAAGGAACGGCCTAACTATTGCCTGGCCCATGGTAATATGACCAGATACGACCGACAGGCTCAAAGACCTGATCAACAGTCAGATCACGTCTGCCTACAAGTCCAAACGACATGTTACCGACAATCGCAGTGTGGATCTCTCAAGTAAGAAATGGAAAGGTCAGTCCCGCTGCGCCTATATAATTCATCCAGGATCCCTGACTGTAATATCCGAGGAACGGAACTGGAGAATGGACGGCCTTAGGTGATCCTAACTCTTGGCGGCCTCAATTTCGGCTCAATACATGCGAACCATAGACGCTACCTTCCAACCTCACCCTTCCTTCAACCGAATCTTTACTCCTAGATCTGTAGCAGGAGACGACTACTGCTTGATCTCCTGTCACTTTACTCCACAGGGTTGCTCCTGAGGGGATTCGGGTGGCGGCTTCCCTTCAACGTCAAGGTAGGTGTACCATGTCCCCTCGCTCTATCTTCCGGTGTACTGCCAAACCTAGCGACGTTGCGCGCAACCACTTGCTTTGCAAACTGTACCTTGCGGAAGTCTTTTGGCGGATCTACGGTCTGGAAACAGAGCGAAGAAGTTTCAGTAGTCATGCCGCAAGTACACTTGATGCCCGTGAACTTGACAGAAACAGACTCGGCCTGCTCTCCATGCCCTCTCTTCATATCGCTCGACAGGGACCGGAGGCTGAGGACGGACCTGGAAGAGGCTATTGATACAGCAGAAGGTTGCCTCTCTGTATCATCGTGCAGGTTGTTCATCGACCGACTAAGTCGGAGGCGCTCCAGAGGGTGTACGCCACCGCGCATCGTTAGTCGCCTAGGAACTGCAGAAACACGTAGTAGGGCTGACTTGTACGCCGGCTTTTTCTTGACCTCGTCTTGGACCTTCTCTGCGCGCCAGGATAAACCACAGCCTTCGCAGAATACACCGAACCGTATAACCTTGTCCTTATCTTCAGACAAAGGGATCAACTCCGGCTCGCTCATCGGTACGAAGTGCTTAACCAGACCCTCTAATGTGCACTTGGAACAAGATCGATGTGTGCATTCGCAGCTCAGGACACTGACTGGATGCTGGCCTTTTGCGAAGCTGTAGATCTCGTAACCGCGGTGACACTTGCAACAGCGCCATTTGCCGTCAGGTTTTGGTGCCTCTTTGTTGTCGTTGGATGAGGCGATTGCATTCGGGACTGCTGCTTTGCCACTACTGGGGTACGCGGAAGTGATGGACTCGTTGTCAAGCGCGGAGGTAACAGGCCCGTTGTAGCGATCTCGAAGAGTCTTCTCCATTGTGACCAGCGACCTGCCGGTATATTTCGGCGTGAAATTTGTAGGCGGAGTAGTATAGACCTGCTGTTTCTTGCTCTCTTGTAGTCGACGCTCTGCTTGAGCTCGTGCGCGTGCAACACTACCAGGGAATTTTTCCGTCAGCCCTAATCCTGCATACTCGTAACTTCCTCCTGTCATGTCGATCAAATACCTTAGGCCCTCATACCGAGCTCTCTGAGCAGCTTCTCCAGGTTCTGTTAATTGGTTTATCTTATCGCCGTCTGTATTACTGATTGAGATGTTTGGTAGATTCATCACAGTGTGCTGTGGGTCTTTTGGTATTGCGAGAGAGTACATCCGCTCTGAGCGAGAGACTTTGAAGTGCTCGTCTGGTTTGTCGCCAGAGCCAGGGCTGTGGGTTGACGATGATGAAGACATTGCGTCCATGGAGACAATCGCAAAAGGCTTGCGCGGTATTGACAGTAAACTGTTCCCAAGTGCAAAAGATGAAGCTGCGACAAAGCTGAGCGAAACAGCAAGTCAAGCTGACAGTGATAGTTTGGCTTTGAAAAATTCTCAGTGAACGACGAAATAGTAATAATGGCGGAGCTAAGAATGAGGTGAACGTGAGTTGGGTTGTGGGGATACAGCGTTTGCGTCTTCACTATGAAGTCAGAAGATTCGACAAAGTAACCCGCATCTAGGCAATCACCGCCACCACGTCCAGGTAGTACAAGATGGAAATCGGGATGTGGGTGACAGCTGCAGCTAAGAATTCATTGTGAAAGTGCGAGGATGTGCAGTCCTTACTTCCTCGTCAAGCCGCTCCTATCTGGAATGAAACAACGTCTAGTCAATATAGCGAATACTTGCAGTATTTGGGTGCCAGACAAAGTAAGAACACGGTAACACGATCTTTCTCATAAGAGAATGCCACCTCCAGCCATATCATTCATCAAGGCAAAATCTATCTTTCGACATAGCCGTCCAACATCCCGTCCACAGGCCACTTCATTAGCATTTCCGATATTTGTCTTCTTGAAGACTAGCGCTTAACAACGGTCGCATATTGATCTCAAGCTCACTGGCCATGCGAATCATGATGGCATGTGCAGCAACAGACGACGACAGGCTTATAGTACTTGTGGCGAAAGCGGATAAATCTCAGTGTCTTATCGATGATAGTTACCAGTAGCGTGGGGTTATTGCAGTCACAGCAGTGCTGGCGTGTAGGGGGCGGCCAAGTCTCTTCGGTGGATCCTTTTTTGTTCATTATTCGTATGGAGCCCACGTAGATAGAGATAGTGTTGTATCGAATGTAATAGTATGGGAAGGTGTAGATCATAGGTCTGATACCCGTAAAGAAATCGGATAATAATGCGTGTATATATACTGATGGTTTGGTCATCAAGCTGATGTTCAAAGGCAGAGTACTTGTATGCTCCATCGTCAAACTCACGATGGAAGCTAGAGATCATCGTAGACGCAAACCTGGTAATCGATAGCCTGATTCTCGAGTTGGGTTATCTTCGCAGAACTTCGCATAGGAAAACAAGCATGCGAAAGACCAGACTGGATGTATTTGCGGTATGTCAGTCTACTTAAGCTTAACCTGCAGCACACCCTTCCAAGCCTGAAGTGCGCTATCAACATATTCAGTTGCGTAGAAGTCGACGTCATCGTCACTCAGCACCTCTTTCAGTAGCTCGCCCGTCTTACCCCACCGTATTTGCGCCTTGATTGCAGCTTGACCTTTTGTTTCGACGAGCTTGATATAGCTATGCGCCACGTCACGTATTGCCTCAAAACAGATCTTGGTCTCGCTTTCTATATCATTGACCCAGTTCTTCGGCAACTTGGCCTTCAGGTAGTGAGTCTTCGCATTGACGACCTTCTCGCGTAGGTGCTCGACCAGCTTAATGAGCGCGCGGAGGACCTCGAACTTGGTGTAGCAGGATATAAGCATGTTCTCATGGAACATAGTGGGTTCATCTTCGAGTTTCAAGTTGGTAGCGCCCGGCATGCGTAACTTTTCCATTGCCAACCGCATCGCGTGAAGCTCTTCCGGCAGCGCTTTGATCAGAACAGAAAGCATTCCTATGGGATCTTCTCCCAACACCATCATCTTAGCGATAGAGTTGATGCACTCCCACAAATCCTGAGCTTTGAATTCCGCAGGCGTCATGTTAAGGTCGGTTTCCCTGATATGCCCCGGAGGCGTGGCATTTGAGCGTATCCATGAACCCTGTGGGTTCAACACTTGTGTCTCTCTATAAAGCACTCTGCTGCTCGTATCCCAGGTATCAAGGCTTTCGGCCAGCCAGTTGACATTAGGTATCGGGTTAGGCATGATGTGTCGAAGTGGTCCAGGGGATTGAGAGTGCTCATAATTGGGGAACACGGATCTGTCCACGTTGTCCGAGATGTGTCGATAGCCTACATGAATTAGCCGATGATCAGCTACAACGTAGAAAATACTTACTATTCGGGTCGATGACTGGTAGGTTATCAATTGGTTCGCTCTTTAGTCGTGATATACGGCGGCGCTCGATATTGCATATATGCTTTGTCAAGCTCGATTTGAATTTCCGCTTCATAGCCAGAAGTTCCATAGCCTGGTCCCACGGAAGCGATTGCAAATCAGCATATATGGTGTCGTCAATCTTGCGTTCCATTCTCTCCATGGTGCCAACGGCTTTGCCGAGTTCCTCTTCCGCCGAGAAACCTTGATAGCCTTTTGCACCAAATGGATGCGTCAGTGAGATCCGGGACAGAACATATGGCGACAACGTATGTACCAACATCTCTTTACACTTGGTATGGCTGTACAGTTGGAAAGCACATTTCCCTAGACCGAGGTTCAGGTGTAGTCGCGCAGCCAGTAGTGCTAGTGGCCTGTCTTGCTTTTCTTTATCACAAGCGACCAAATGGCGCGCGAGCATTGCAGCTTGAAGAAGGACTCGCGAATTCGGCGTTGTTTCGAAAGGATGGACGGTCTCTTCGTTACGCATGGCGTCATGATGTATCCGAAGGAGGATGTAGATCCCAATGATACCTTCAGGAGACTTGGGAACGCGTAACCAGGGGGCTTGCAATGCAATGGCCAAAGGCGCCTCCATATAATCTTGCCATTTCAGACTTGGCTGCGTCGTCAGTGATATCCACAGAAGATAAGACAGCTTCAGGAGATTCCCGCTATAGGTAACCAAGTCTTGGTAAGGGTAGTTATTTTCTGCCGATAGCCTGGATTTGTCCATAAAGTCGGCGTCCACAAAACTAGAGAATGCCTTACGATCCTCTCTGCTTAATGCTTCCACGAACGGACGGATATCCGCATAACATGTGATGAGGTTCGCGTGGTTTGACCAGTAAGCCTTACAGTCGGTCAGCATCGGGGTTCCTGGAACGACGGTCTGACGAAGTGTCATGTATGCCAGTCTTAGGCTACGGTCCTGGCTTTGGAACTCATCCGGCTTGAAAGTGCGGCGTATGACATCGGAGATAAGGCTAACGGCATCGTCCATGCCACGTGTTGCTCGCGCGGCTTGTAGCAAACTTGTCCAAACATCCTGCTTCCACGCGCAAGTTTCTCGAAGGCTGAAAATGTCAGCAATCAGTTTTGAGGTATGATGAAAGGAGGAGCTGAGATTTCTTCTCTAATTCAGCTTACCTCTCTTGTTGCGATATTACGCGCTCGATATACGCAAGACACTGACTCTCGAGCAGAGGCCAGTCCCTACTGTCCCGCGGAAGTCTGATCTTCATATCCCACAGGTCACCCTGATGTCTGTTCATAAGGTCCTGGAGAGCTGTGGGCGGGCGACTCCAGTGCTCGAACAGCTCGTTGCATTTGGCTTGCCGCGCAAAAATCTCACCCATGAAGCGTAGATCGCGTATATCTTTGAATGCGATCGGGTCATCTGGGGCCGCCTCATATGCTTGCTTCAGGAGTCTACGAGCCAGGTCAAATTGAAGTTTACATTTCATCTCGCCTGCAGGAAGTCCACGCTGCTGTTCGGCTGCAAGTTGGATGGCGAGTATTTGCGTGATATGAGCATGCTTCTTCGCTGACGCTGGCCCAGTGCCGTCCTTGGTCTCCTTACTGTAGTGGAAGACAGCCTGTTGATAGTCAGCAAGGGACACCAAGAATCAGTCTACTAGAATCCACTGCTGTGTGAAGAAGGCATGAAAATATCTGTCTACTAGGGGCTCGAGTTATTCGCATAGTGAGACCAAGATTCGACTTTTTACCTACCAGGCGGAAGTCTTCCCAGCACTCCTCGGCTAATGCTACTTGCCCTAAGGCGGACCAGAGTTCTTGACGGTCTTCTTTGCGGCCCAACGCTTTCGCAGCACGTTGCCAAACTTTGAGGTTCCCGTCGCCTACTCCGCTGATGTTAAGGTTATGACCCTGGTCTCTCCGCGTTGCTTCCGCAAGAATTTGGTATAAGTAGGAAAGCAGGCGGATGTCATTTACTCCTGGCTGCTCCCATGCTTGTTGGACTAGGTTCACCACATCGTTGTGTCCATGGTTGAGTGTAAGACCTAAACGAGCTTTCCATGCCTGCTCGAAATTAGCATAGCAATGCACTTTCCAGCTCAGACCAACGTACCAAGAGAAATGGGTTTTGGGTGTCTTCTTGAGCGACTTCTGCACAAAAGAATCTGCGAACTTCGGTTTTGGGTAGTCGCGTTGAGCCTTGCACAACTTCTCCCAACTGTTGCACGCCATAATGGCAGGCACTGAAGCGCGACCGAGTATCGCAGTCGCAGAAAAGATCGACCAGAGGCTAGCGATGCTCGAATAATGGTAAAAATCTGGTGATTGGCTGGGGAAATATACGTCGCAGGCGGGGATGTGTAGAGACGGAAAATGATGTTGAGGGCTTTCGGGCGGAAGTCGGAGGCGAGTCCCGGCTGCAGTTTCACCTACACACAGCAAACAAAGCAGCCTCTCACTTCCCATTTGCCTGAACAGCGGCCATTATACCGATAACTAATCTTTCTATACCTTGGAGGTGCTCACGAGCTTCTCTTAATCAGTCTACGATTGTAAAATGTAGTGAATGCCTCGAGGGCAGTCTTGTGCGTATTATGACATAGAAACTACGAGCTCCTCGTCAAGCATACAAAGATAATATCAAAGTTCACTCAATGTGGCGGAAACCTGTATGTCACTGCTCGCACAAGATCAGCACGATCGAACAGCGTACGAACAAAGCGGCACGAATCTGTGTAGCCTAGCCACGAATCCCATGTATGCACAAATGGTTTATTTCAACTCCAAATATGACTTCGGCTTTATTGGTGAGTTGTTATCGTAGATACGTGATCGCAAAAGCATATTTCAAAGTTGAAGCATATTCGAGACGACCAAACGCCAGATCAAATAGCGAAAGCAATTGGCTCTGCTAAGGATCCAAGCCTGCTGCAATCCCACCTCTTGAAGTCTGTTGAAAACGACCAGACGCAAAAAAGTATGCGACCACTCCATGCAAGGAAGAAATTAAGTAGGTGTAGAAAGCCTTTCTACTACGTTGCCTACAACAACACTAACACAGACATCATATATAGATGTAGATAGCTTAGACGTCTGCATTAGCATAAGATATTCATTATTTTTTTATGATATGCTGTTATAGAATGCAATGTAGTAGAAAAGTTTTTAGCACTTATTTAGTTCTTGTATAAGATGCGACGATGATGTATACAAACTCGGGTTGCCGCGAAATTTAGACACCCTAATCAACCTCCATGGCCATGTCTTCGTCTCCATCAGCCTTTGCAACCGCACCAACGCCACGCCTCCCTTCATGTCTCCGCTTGAACTTGTCCTTCTGAGATGTGGGACGTGCACCTAATGTTCCTATAGGCGAGCCATCAGCCCTAAAGATTTTGTTCTTATCCTCGTTGCTGTGTTTGGAATTGGCTGCCTTCCTACGGTCCCGATGCTTCTTGCGCTCCGCCACCGACTGCTTCGTAATATCACCTTGTTTGATGAGCTCCTCAGTCTGTCCCTTGACAACAGTATAAACCTTACGGAAGTCGTCGTATTCTGAACCCTGGATGCTTTCGGAGAACTTTGTGAGCTGTGCTTCCGTCCAATGTCTAGCCTCTTGTGCAAGAACAGCTGCGACGACAAATTGCTGTAATGCACCATCCTCGTCTTTGCAGCTGATCGCAGCGTCTCGTACTCCAACTCTTCCGTCAGGGCGTAGATGTGGAGATGATACGCATATTCGATGATGTCGACGAGGGCAACCGTAGCAGGCGAGGGTGGATTCTCGTTTGGGATGAGGGTTGCGTGGTAGAATTTGAAGGTGCTCTGTGTGAGTTGACCGTCTTCTTAGCCAGGAAGGAACTTGTAGTCCGATGTATAGACTATGGTATTGAATCAGTATATGTTCTTGATTAAACAGTATGCGTAATACTTACTGAAATTGACAATTCGGTCTACGAGGATAGGGTGGAAGTGAGGCGGCAGATTCACGAAACTTGGCGGGTTGGGAATCGTCGCCTGACCATGTCAATTTCGAATCCACAACACGTAAAAGTAATAACAGCAGTTCATCAGCTCGAGGGTACGATCCAAACTGGAGTGAAGGCGATGAAAGGAGGTAGTCTTACACCGCCAGGGAATAGCCCCTTCTGCAACGCCTTCGAGCCACCGATCAACATGATGGAGTGTACTTGAAAGTCTACACCAGCGGCGGTGATCAGATTGAAGTCGCGACCAATCGGCGTGTCAAGCAACAACTCAGCGTGTCTGGGTACTATCACCAGTCACTGCAGCCACGTTCCTACAGCAGTGTCACTTACTCGGCCTGCAAATTCTGTGCCGTAGGTAGATGGTTCCAGCTTTTTTTTTGAAGACTTTGCGTAAGAGATTGCGAGCATTACGCGGGTCAAGCTGTTGCTGTCCGAAAGACGCAGTCTCGCGCTGCAGCCGTGGCGGCTTGACCTGGGGCGTTGGAGCGGCCATGCGTGTGGGTAGGGAGAGCAGGCTATCCATGGAGAATGTTGGTTGAGGAATGACAGTTTCGAGCAATCCAGGATTGCCTAGGTATGTTGTGGTGCGAAGGCAGCAGAGGTGGAATGTGGGGTGGGCAAAGTTGCGACCTGCGTGTTTGTTTGAGGGTCGCGTGTGCGATAATGTCTGTCGCTTTTCACGATAAGGCGAATTCCGAAAAATGAACAGACGTAAGTGCAAACAAACGTATGAACTTGACCGACTCGCAAAAAGCTGTTGCATCAGGCATCTGCATTACTCGTACAATCATATTCCCTAAAGACCCAACTCTTAAAATGTCGGCCTCGTCCTCTCACCTTTCCACAGTCCCATAACTTCTCCTGTCTCTCCGACCCACTCTCTGACACCAGTGACAACGGCCTTTGCCATGCCCGCGTTTGTTCCACTTCTCGCCCTCCTCTTTCCCTCCATTCCGCTGCTCACTCCGCCAACTCCAATACCTGTCCCACTTCCAAACGACTCTGGTGCTTTTCCTGGCATGATGTAGCTGCTGCCGTCTCCAGTCGCGTACTCGGAGCCCATTGAGGGAAGGACGTTCTCGCCAGCAGACAAGGAGACGAACAAGGCGAATGGTACTAGCCAGACACACAGGCCAAAGTAGGATGCGATCTCGGTGAATGAGGGAATATTGACGTCGCGGGAGTAAGGGTACGAGGAGTATGTGTTCGCCGGCGGAGCGCTGAAGTGGCGGAACCAAAGGTAGTGGTTTGCAATCACGAGGGCTAGGAAGACGCTTAGTACAGGACTGGTACGGACTTAGGACCAGGGAACGCATACCACAAGAGACCAAGAATAGCGGATCCGTGAGCTTGACAATGGGAAACTTCCTCAGGTTCTGCGCATAGATGACATGCGACACGACGCTCAACGCGCTTAGTCCAATTGGGAACCTATCGACCACAAGAAGCAGGATCTGTATGCCAACGACGCCGTAGATGAGCCGATAGAGTAGTTTCTTCGCGAACACAGTATGCTCTTCCACGAGTTCAGATAGATAGTATAGGCCGGAAGCTACGTTGCGTCAGCTCCATGAACCAAAGACTATATATCACTGCAAAGTACCTATCGCAAGCGTCAGGAACGCGAACCCCAGGATGACACCCACATATCCAAGCAACGGTAGTATCCACATGTTGACTTTGACACTTCAGGGGGATGTGAAGAAGGATGGAGTCTGGAAGTTTGGCAGGCGCACGATGAGGTCAGTCCAAAGGTGGCATCAAGGCTAGCGGAGAAACCCGTGGACCCGCGGCAAAGTGTGGGGTGCAACACCAAAAAGTCGTCGAACTCTTGGCTCCAGTGAATCGACCTACCGACAGATTACGCTCGCTTCACACAACCTCAGCGCAGGCAATTCGCATATTTCGAGCCTATAAAAAGAACACTGCAGTCTATTGTAGACGAATTCAGAGTCCATAACCGCAATCATGTCGCGCCCCGAAGACATCCTGTACGCACGCCTCTTCGCGATATCGCAAATCGCGCAGCAAAAGAACATAGCGCTTACAGTTCTATAGACCCCCCGACCTCTTCTACAATGACTCCGAATCGCGGAAATATACAACCTCGTCGCGAATCCAAAAGATCCAATCTACCATGACCCACCGCGCCCTCTCTCTCCTCGCGCTTTCCTCGCCCTCCATGATCCTCGACATTGGCTGTGGCTCCGGTCTCAGCGGTGAAATCCTCTCGCAAACCGCTGAGCAAGGTACGCCAGGTGGTCCACACGTATGGATTGGTTTTGACATCAGCGCATCCATGCTGGGTGTTGCGCTAGAAAAAGAGGTAGAGGGAGATCTGCTGCTGGCGGATGCAGGGCAAGGAGTACCGTTCAGACCAGGAACCTTCGATGCGGCGATTAGTATTAGTGCTGTACAATGGCTTTGCAACGCCGAGACGAGCGAGGACAGTCCTGCGGGCAGATTATCGAGGTTCTTCAACCAGCTTTACGCGAGTCTGAAGAGAGGAGGGAGGGCAGTTTGTCAGTTCTACCCAAAGAACGATGGGCAGAAGAAGATGGTAGCGCAGGCAGCGATCAAGGCCGGTTTCGGTGCGGGTCTTCTGGAGGATGACATGGGAACCAAGAGCGCAAAGACGTATCTTGTCCTGACTGTGGGCGGAGGAGCGCTGGATGGCGATATCACGGGTGTTGTGAGGGGTATGGAGGGCGTGGACGTCGACGATGCACGAAGGAAGGGAAAGGGTATGAAGAGGGGCGAGGAGCGCAAGGGCAGCAAGGCGTACATCATGAAGAAGAAAGAGCAGATGGAGAGGCAAGGCAAGGTTGTCAAGGCGTCGTCCAAGTACACTGGCAGGAAGAGGAGGATCCAATTCTAGATATACCCACGACATCATGATCACGATGTTACGCATAGCACGGAGTTCTGGTTCTGGCATTTTCAGGAGGGTATAAGAATGGTCAATTCAATCATGCAGCATGCTATATACCGCCTACAAGTACAGCTCTATTCACATTCCAGCTGGTAGTTGTACAAGTGCCATTGCGTCCAATCGTAAAGAAAATGTGTTGTTGCTCCCTATCATAGGTTAACCGATGTGAGCCGAGGCCTAGATTTGACGGTATCATCGCGTTACATCAAAGCTCAGCAAACACGAAGATCATGATGGTCAGATCATGCCTTCTCCATCTGGTTCAGGACTGCGCGGGTGAACTCGTGGGTGGTGGTGTTGCCTCCCATGTCCCGTGTGCGAGCGGTACTAGAGAATATTAGTTAAGGTTTACTCTTTGGTTTAACATCAAACTCACCCGTCAGCGATAACCTTGTAGACGGACTGCGAGATGCGGTTGGCATGGTCATCGAGACCGATGTGACGGAGCATCATGGCAGCGGACAGGATCAGAGCAGTGGGGTTGGCCTGGTCCTTGCCCTTGATGTCGAGACCGACGTGACGGCATCCAGGCTCGAAAAGGGCGACGTTGCGGCCCATGTTGCAACCGGGGACGATACCAGGGCCACCAACAAGACCGGCACCGATGTTGGACAGGATACCTCCGTACAAGTTGGGCATGACCATGACATCGAATTGCTGTGGCCTTGAGACACACTGCATGGAAGCGTTGTCGACGATCATGTCGTTGGTCTCGAGAGTGGGGTAGTCCTCACCAACCCTCTTGACGGTGTTGCGGAAAAGACCATCGGCAAGCTTCATGATGTTGGCCTTGTGGATGCAGGTAACCTTCTTGCGGTTGTTGGCGAGCGCAAAGGCGAAAGCAAACTTGGCGATGCGCTCCGATTTCTCACGGGTGATGATCTTGAGCGACTCAACGACGCCGTTGACCGACTGGTGCTCGAGACCAGAGTATTCACCCTCGGTGTTCTCACGGATGATGCAGAAGTCGATGTCCTTGTGGCGTGTCTCGTAACCAGGGATGTTCTTGAGGAGGACGATGGAAGCGTAGATGTCGAGCTCTTGACGGAGGGCAACGTTGAAGGAACGGTGGCCGGATCGCTCGACGGGAGTATGAAGGATACCCTTGAGACCGAGCTTGTTGCGCTTGAGCGAAGCAATAGATTCGCGGAGGAGCTCCTCGGAGTGGACGTTGCCGGAGTCGACACCAGATACGTCGACCTGCTCCCACTCAATGGGAACGTTGTCCGCCTTGAAGATCTCCTTGACCGACTCGGAGACCTCAGCACCGATACCATCACCTGCGCATGTTCAGAATCTATATCGGTTTTATGGGCGGTTATCGCGCATACCAGGAATCAAGGTAACGGTGTATTTGCCGCCGAACTTGGTGGGCTTAAAGATGTCCTGAGTGACCGTGGCCATTGCTGTCGCCCAGTTAGACTCTCCATTACTCGGGATATTTTACGCAGTGTTCGTACATCGTGTAGCCATGGCGGGTGCCCATCGAGAGGCAGGCTTCGCGCCCCGCAGGAGCGTCTGTACAGGCGCATTAGCACTTCAATTTCCGCCATAACCGCCAATTGCAAGCGCATAGACATGTCCGTACCTGCGCTGTTCTTTGAGAGGTCCTCGACAACATGGTGGAGTTGCGGCGTTGGGCTGGTGGTGAGGGATTTGAGGTAGAGAGAAACCAGCTGGAGCTGCCGTCCCCCGAAAATGCATCCGAACCGAAGGAAGAAACCGCGCTTGGCAAATGACCGCATCCGTCCTTCCGCCGCGGCTCGCTTTCTCTATTACCTCCGGCGCAGCGCTATTCATCCCTTTCACTCGTCCTGGTACTTGTTTTTTTCGTTCTCGCCCTTATTCTATTCCGGCCTGTTCTTCGATTCTCTGCAACCCCCGAACCCTTTCTCTGCAGTCCACTACGGCTGCATTTGCATGTGATAATATGGGCTACGGATCGCATAGCATATGAGTGTTTCATCCCGTGACAGATTTCAGTTGATAAGCAGTTACTACGACGAACTGCTCTTAGGATCTGGAGCCCTCTTCCAAACATATTGAATTTGTTGTTCGGGCTGAGAGATGTACCAAGCGCTCTGTTCCCCATAGCGCACAATGGCCTCGTCAAGTTACTTTCCCTCATAGATTCTGCCAGACATTCTTGTTATGTCATGCTATGTGATGAGATGATCAGAAAAAATCGATCGTTTACAGGCAGCCAGTAGGGGCTGCGTTTCTGGTACCTCAAAACACCAACAATGGTGAACGTCGAAAGAGCAAGAAGAATTGGTCATGTCGAGCTACAGCAACCACTGTGATCTTGAAGCTTGTTAAAGCATGCTGCCCCATTGAGCCGCACATTTTTGAAGCATTCCGGGGCATTTCCCACTACGATGGAAGGATGGTACTGCATACAACAACTAACATATACAGCTGAACTCTGAGTAACGTTCAAGTGACTCTTACTTGAGCCTTTGCGGGTCTGGCGATCGCTGGCATCACGGCGTTCCACCAGCACATGTCGCGCATCAGGCTAGCTTCACCTTCACCTCACTGCTCATCTGTTTTTGTTAGGCCTTCTAGCCTATGAGGCCGTCTCTCCTCCATTTGGACCTTTTCTCCTGGCCACCACACCCACTCTTCTGTCGCTCGACACTACGTCAAGCCCCCTTCGCTACAACTGTCTGTCCATGGTAGCCCTACCCGGACATATACCAAGACCAAAGATTTGAAGCCTAATCAGTCAGTGTCAGAAGCGCCCTCACGCCGGCATCGTCTCACCTTTGGTCCTGGCCCCAGTGCACTCGAGAAGCTTCTTTGGTCCTCGGCAGCCTAGTCTTTAGCCTATACAACTTCTTCTATTCATTCCGTAACTCTACTACTGTCACAGCTTCCCCGTTACCCGCTCCCGTTGTTTTTGAACCTCAAACCTCGGCTTGGTATTAGGCCTCGTAAGGAGAGAGCTGTGCAATCGCCCCCGAACACGCCTTAGTCACTTTCAATCTTCGCATCACAACAAAGCTTCTCGATATGAAGGTCATTGAGAAGGACAGCGATAGGAAGGCCCGGGTCAACATTTACACCGAGGGCGAAGTTTCGGCGCTGAAAGAGTATGGTGAATATATCGATCGAACAGACAAAGCGATATGTTGCTATATACCACTTGATGAGGGCCATAAGCCTCGCATCGGAGGCCGGTTCTGGGGCACGGTAAATTCTACTTATACAAACTCGACAAAATCATCTAACTAATTCTCAGACTCTCGCTGTGGCCTACGATACTATTGTGGATGGAGTACTCCGCAAGGCCAGTTCGTATGCGGCCAAGGCGGTAAGCCATCAGCACAACAAGAAGATCGACACAGAGAGGTTTCTATACAAGACTACAAAAGGAATCATCGATACCGACATCACGGTGGCTCCAATTGTGGGTGTTACCACGATACAAGGCGATGCGCCTGAGACTATCGGGACCATTGAACTACGTCTTTACGTTACCCGACAACTGGGAGTTTCGCATGATATTGGTGAAGTAAAGAAGTACTACAGCGTTGGAGGCAACACCGAGGATGGAGAAGTCCATGATACCGAGCAGAGAGTAAGCTATAAGCTCATACCTCCGGCTTTCAGAATGTCGTTCGAGAAGAACAGTGCTCTTCTGGGGGAGAGGCAGCCGAGCCTTCACCGGCGCAGGGCAGATGCGAAGCGTCCAGGAACAGAGCCCTGGGCGATCTTTCGTTTCCATTATCGAACTGAAGGTGAGCTGGTCAAGCACCATTTTAAGTATGGTGCTGACACTGTTCTTCAGAAGACATTATGAAGCGAAACCTGGTTATGACGTATGATCCTGACAGCAAAGAGAAGACGGAACCGCGTATTCTATTGCTAGATCCCGCAACCCCTCTGCGATTAGGTGAAAAGCCGCTTAAGAACGACGGAGATGCTTCGTCTCGATCATCATCCCCAATGCCTCCTGGTACACCTTCTACTCCAGTAAAAGGCGTACAGCCAGTTTCTGAAGTAAGAGAAAGACTCGCTGGAACTTACCTCTCCTCACTACCTCATATCTACTTCACCTTGACTTCTGACTCGGCCCAATCTCTACCTACTTCTAACACATACTTTTAGATCTCCATCCCCACCAATAAGAAGCCTGGACTCAAATCAAAGTCAATCGAAACTACGAAGATGGTTTCTCCTACAGACCAAGCAACTGCTACTCTCTTAGCGAAGTCTACCACCACAGAAGAAAGGAAGATACCCACCAGCGGGGATATTGATAGCGTCATCTCTACCTCCACTGCCAATAGCGGTAGTGATGGTTTTGCCGACAATGTCGTTGATACATCTTCTGAGCCGGTAGCTGACAATACCACCAAAGTACCCAGCCTCCCAGATCTCAAGACCAAACCCACAGGTGTACACTCAGAGACATCCGCAATCGCAGCCAGAGCGACGGTCACAAAGCTTCCGCAGTCGCCTGTTACTCCAGCCAAGAAACCAATCGCAAAGCCAGCGCTTATCAGCACCGCCACTGTCAATGATCAGAAGAAACAAGATAGACCTCCCAGCGTAGCTGTACCGGTCAAGCGTCATTCCCCCACTACAAACGGCGCAACACCCGAGCCGAAGCGTACGAAGGTCACCTCAACGTCACTTTCGCCTCCTGCCCAGCCTACAGTCCCACGAATTCTCCCACGATCATCTACACCGAAGACCATTTCGATCGAGCACCAGCTTGCGGACCAGCGTAAGAAGCTCCAGGAAATGCGCAAGAAGCGTGTAGAAATCGCCAAGAAGCAGGCTGGAATCGACGAGCAAATGAGTCCGTATAAGCAACGTATGGCCGAGGAGCTGGACCGTCTCAGCCGAGAGATGATGGAGGAGGAGAGCGCATATACTGAGGAGGCAGAACACTACAGTGTTAGTGTCGAAATTCTCCGGGAGTTCAAGAGGACGGATGGTGGCCGGTAGGTTGTTAGTGGGGCTTGTGAGAAAAGCGTCAAAAGTGTGTTGGAAGGAGTATGGCGTTGACGTGGGATAATGAGGCCTGGAGTGATTTGGAGTTTTTGAGGTTTTAGAGGAGTCGATCAAATTTTGGCTGGGCAAATACCAGGGTATTGAGTTCCCGGATGGAAGGATAATTGCTCAGTCGGGCAACTACCGAGAGGCCACGAGATGGAAAAACTGCTTATGGATTCCCATTATTTACGTAACTAGTAACCAATATGAGGTACTGATGAGGATAGTTTGATACAAGATTATCAAACTATGCAACGGCTAGTTTTCTTTATTGACCTGGCGTTCGCTCTCTGGCTACCCTCATGTTTGCCTTAATCCGTTCCAGTAGCTCAGCGGTTGTTGCAAGTGGAGAGGGGTGTAAATTTCTCTGCTGTAGTATTAGCATAAAGTTGCTCAACCGACAGCACCTATCATCAGCGAAATGCCATGGTATGTTGACAGTAGCCAGGGCTAAAATACGTCTTGTTGTATCTTTTTGCGATAAGAAAACTTACGTGCTTGAGCCAGGTAATGCATTGATCGTGAGTCCATGTTTCTGGGTCTAAGATGGCGTCAGTAAGGTTTGACCGACAGAAATTCTAGGGAGCATAGATTAGCATACCGCCAGTGGGGTCTTGACTAGGAAAGATGTCTTGTCCCCAGATACTCCATGCTGCAACGCCAGCAACGACTGCAGCGAAAGCGAAGAAAGGGCCCTATCTTGTATTAACTTATGATGACAGCGATATGTAGAAGGCCCACTATGTAGAGCAGATGCCATGATAGCCATGAGTAACCTACACGTTGTTGCACTGCGCGATCGATGGGAGTCGGCATGCTGAAGAATGGAGCTGGTTGGACAAGCAGTGTGAAAGACGGATGTAGAACTTAGAGATCTTGTCGGAGTACGCAAGGAGACGAGGAAACTATTCAATGATTCGACAAGAATTGCAGCAGTTATAGGATGGCAGGCAGCACTGTTTTCACATGCGACGCTTCCTCATTGCACTCCTTCCTGGTTTACGCCACGCACGTCGTCACCCCACCAAGCCCGAAGCAGCAACGCTTGCGGGCAGCCCCATTGCAGCCCGTGCGTTTCAAGCGAGTTCCAGTCCACACCCAACGCCTGGGCACTGGCCAAATTGTTTCCGAACTTCACGATCCGAACCAAAACGACCCGTCAACACACAAATCGTCAAGATGCCTTCCGAAGTTTCCGACATCAAGCAGTTCATCGAGATCTGCAGGCGCAAGGATGCCAGCTGTACGTCTACCACTTTTGCTAGGAGGAGGTTGCGGTCGTAGTAGGAGGAGGAATTGTGCACGATAAAAGGGAGATGCAGAAGGCTGCGACGATCGAGGCAGTTAAATGTGATGAGAAATCTAAGCTGACAGCATTGCAGCCGCCCGCATAAAGAAGAACAAGAAGGTCAACAACATCAAGTTCAAGGTCCGATGCTCCACCAACGTCTACACCCTCGTCCTTAAGGACACCGACAAGGCCGAGAAGCTCAAGCAGAGTCTGCCCCCGGGTACGCATGCAATACCAATACTCTAGCGCCTATGACACGAATCTAATAACTTCAGGTCTTACCATCACCGACGTCGGCAAGAAGAACCCCAAGGGCAAGCGCACCGCATAAACGGATCGAACGCATGAGGAACTGAGGACGGAAGTGTGCAAGGACATCGACGCACAATGCGCACGAAGCACGAAGGCATGGGCGGACGGCGTCTCAACGGATAAATTTTGTTCAATGGCATCACGGAACCCTTCAGATTGGGTTACCACCAGGAATGAAAAAAGTTCAAACTTCATTCCGAACATCACGGCCTGTTTCCGACGTGCACCGAGACTTGTCATGTATCATGGTCAACATTGCTGAATAGCTAGCTAGAGAGTCGCTACGGATATGGCTACTAATACAGCGATTGCTTCGGCTTTTGTCCTTGCTTCACATTGAATTTGTACTGATCTTTGCGGTCCAGATACACGACCTTGCTATCCAACCCAGCCGCATGTACCGCCTTTTTGAAATCATCCAGAGGACTCATGAATACATCGTAATCATCGTAGTGGATCGGAATCGTTAGGTCGGGGTTGATGAGCTGCATCAGCTGTACACCCTGTTCGGCATCCATAGTGACCATCAGCAATGGCATCTTGGGACCAGGAATGGTGGTGCCTCCCAGGTGGATCAGCATCAGGTCGATGTTCTGGTCCTTGTACCGCTCAGGGATCTCCTTGAGCTCATCAACCATCAGAGTGTCGCCGGAGATGTAGATTCTGTATCCATTTTCGAAATCGCTTCCATCGCTAGAAGAAGCGTTCGAGTACCCGAGTTCGACCATCCAGCCATTTGTCGGCGGCACAGCGCCAAGAATGTCGTTCGCAACGTTCAGAGGACCGGGAGGCACATGCTTTCCTGGCATGCCTGTGACTTTGATGCTGGGCTTTGGACCGCTACCATTTGTTTGGTCTGATTGCGATACATCCAAAAGCAAACTGTTCCAGAAGTCGAGTGCATGCACGTTCTTGAATGACTCTTCGCCTTTGCCTGTCAAGCATTCCTTGGCATGTGGTGTGGTGATGATTGGGAGGCCCTTTGACAGTTTCTCCTCCACTTCCCGGTCGAAGTGATCCTCGTGGTAATGCGACAGCAAAATCACGTCGATCCTCGGTAGTTCTTCCAAATCGATTGCGGGGTTTGTCCGTCTTGTCGCACTGACGCCTGGTCCTAGATGAACATGGTCGCCAGCATGAAGGAAGTTGGGATCTGTGAGAATGCGAATGCCTTCCCACTCCAGGATTGTGGTGGCAGTCCCAACGAAGAAGAGAGAAGCATTTGTTGAGGCGTCTGGTGCGTTTTGAGGATGAATCTTGGTCTCTTTGGCGTCAGGTAAAGAGGTAGGGACGTCGGTGTTGAGTTTTGTAGGTGGGCCTGAGCCATCTGGTGTGATCTGGATGCGCTTCATACTTGCACCTGACATTGTGGTTTGTTGGGTGAGATGATTGCTGTAGAGGGAGTTTCGTTTCGTTTCGTCTTCCTTTTCGACTGAGATTCTTTGAATTGTGATTTTGCTATCTTAGGAGTATCCGGCTTCTTTACCGCAGGTGATGAGGTGCGAGCAAGCCGGAAACAATGATATAATGGCAGACAGGAAAAGAGGGCAAAGAATAGGAAGCGCGCTTCATCCTTGGTGTAGAAAGCCATCACGTAACTCGCAAACAACAATGACGACAAGACGCGGTAATCATAGAAATACGGCAGGGTATGCGATGATCGTGGGAACAACCTGTCCAAATGCTTCTTGACTGTTAATAAGCATAGGGATGCGGAAGGCGGCTGTGACTGTGCCCGTGTCCGTGCCTAAATACGCGTATTTCACCCATACTACAGGGAGAGCGATGCTTGCGAGTCGCAGAGGCTGAGGTGTGAAGGTGGAGCTTCCCCGTTGAACTCCGCTGTGGCTGATGTTCCCTAAGATGCGGAACCCCTGTCACGCCAAGCCATATGCATCGGGGTGAGCAATGAACACCTGGCGAGTCAGAAGGCGCTTTGAGCATTGCTTCCCGAGTCCATTGGGAATTTGGAGCAAAATGTCAAGTTACCAGACTTTGCAAGGGTGAACTTACACTCGCTCCGCTTGGTCTATTATTCAACTAGCACTACGCGTCGCGCCGCCTCATGAACTCGACACGCGATCCATTCAACCTCCGCAGCAAAGCAACGTTCAAGACACCCTCCGCATTCGCCGTCCTCCAGAACGCCGCCAACAAGAAAGCTTTACAGGCCGTCGAATCGACCAAGCAGGCGGTCGAGGCCACGAAGCAGGCGATCCAGGACTCAGATATGTCCTTCGCCATCCCGCGCAACGTACCCAACTTCGAGAGCGCGCAACGCAAGTTTGAAGATAATGTTTGGAACAAGTTACCAGGAAACGAGAAGGGCTTGCCAATGTATAAGGATAAGCCTTCGGGAAAGGTATACGGATATGGCGGTGGTGCGAGGGGAAGGAGAGGCTTCCTGAGGAGTAAGAGGGGGATGTCATTGATAGCATTAGTAGTGCTAGGGCTCTTCTACTGGTTTGGGTGGTCAAGTGGAGGGACAAATGTGGGCATAATACAAGATGAAAAGGACAAGGGGAAGAGCTTACTTTCAAACATGGGCGGAAGCGCTGCCGGAAAGAAGAGCAAAGTTGACTGGGAGAAGCGGAGACAAGCAGTAAAGGACGCCTTCTTATTGAGCTGGAACGCATACGAGGAGCACGGTTGGGGTTACGACGAGTACCACCCTGTTTCGAAGAAGGGTCGATACATGGCGGAGCCTAATGGCTTGGGCTGGATCATCGTTGACGCCCTCGATACGCTTATGATCATGAACCTTACAAAGGAAGTCAACCATGCGCGGCAATGGATTGCGACGAGTCTCGATTACGACAAGAAGCAGGATGTCAATACCTTCGAAACAACTATACGCATGCTTGGTGGTCTACTGTCCGCACACTACTTGCAAGAGACACTTCCGGGTCTGAAGCCAGAGAATCAAAATGAGGAGGACCTCTTCTTGGAGAAAGCAACCGACTTGGCAGACCGTCTCATGGGCGCGTACGAGTCCCCTTCGGGTGTTCCGTGGGCCAGTGTCATTCTCAGAGATGCCAAAGGCGAAGCCTCGCACGCCGACGGTGGTGCGTCCTCCACAGCCGAAGCGACAACCCTTCAACTTGAGATGAAATACCTAGCCTTCATCACCGGTGAAAAACACTACTGGGATGTGGCAGAGAAAGTCATGCAAGTCGTTGACAACAACGGCGCGAAAGACGGTCTTCTACCCATCTTCATCTATGCAGATAGGGGTACCTTCCGCGGTAACGAGATCCGATGGGGTAGTCGTGGAGACAGTTACTACGAATATCTCATCAAACAGTACCTCCAGACCCAGAAGCAGGAACCAATTTACCAAGAGATGTGGAACGAGTCACTTAATGGCGCGAAGAAGCATCTTCTCACTTATACGAAAGATAGCCACTTCACTGTCTTAGGAGAGCGACCAAACGGAATCGAAGGGAAGTTGCACCCCAAGATGGACCACCTTGTCTGTTTTCTGCCTGGCACCATTGCCCTGGCAGCAACTGGTGGTGCCTCTCTCGCCGATGCACGCAAACTGCCCACCTGGGGCAAAGCACAAGAGGAAGATATTACTCTTGCCCGCGAACTCACAAAGACCTGCATGGGCATGTACAAAGTAACTGCTACAGGTCTCGCCCCTGAGATCGCCTACTTTGAGCTAGACGACCCGCCAAAGATGTACCGCACTGAGATTCTAGCATCCAAGTCTGAGCTCGACACTAGTGTTCCCGATGGTGAAGGCTGGAAGAGCGATTTCGACCTCAAGCCAGCAGATACACATAACCTCCAGCGACCTGAGACTGTAGAGTCTCTGCTATACATGTGGCGCATAACAGGCGACGAAATCTACCGCGAATGGGGTTGGGACATGTTCGAAGCTTTTGTCAAGCACACTATCGTTGAGGACAATGGCGGTTTCTCTAGCATAGGCGATGTCACAAAGATACCTCCTCCATCACGGGACAACATGGAGAGTTTCTGGCTTGTAAGTTCTTCTCCTTTCCATTTCTCTAACCTTACATGTTAGAATTACTGGACTGTTTACTGACATACAACGTAGGCCGAAACACTAAAGTACATGTACCTCCTCTTCTCTCCCAACGACCTCCTTCCTCTCGATCAGATCGTCCTAAACACCGAGGCCCATCCTTTCCCTCGCTTCGACGCAAGCCACAAGCGGTTCAAGACGGGTTGGGAACGTATACCACGGGACGAGAAGGGCAATCTTGTGCCTAAGGAGGCAGATAAGCCTGTGGACACCAAGGCTGATGGGAAGACGACTTGAACGTCTTATCCATACGACTAGAACACTTTGGGGAGCCTTTTTGAACTGGCTCTCTAGCTCCGCGATATTAGAGACTACATTGCAGGCGTCTGGAAGCATTCATATATGCATGGATGGCGGTTTCACTGATATATCCTTCGAAGTAGGATAGACATACATATAGTCTCGAGTGGGGCAACACTTGTAGTCCAATTCGTTATGCATATTTGGTCGTGATATATATTATGTGCGCCCCCATTAAACACTCCGATGTCGTATATTCGCATAAACATGAAGCACGTAAATCGTAAATCATGACCCGTTCGATCTGTTTCCTTGCTTGAGCAATATCCCACGCTCGCTCGTGTATTAGAAGGACCACCGATGTAACAAAGCGTAGCGCTACGTTCACGTAGGGAAAGGTGCGTTGTGCTCATAGGGTCTTCATGGGATAGGGCCAAGCCAGGAAGCTTCCTCCGACGTAAAGCACAGCGGATACTAACGTTCCTGTGATTGTTCATCGCCTATGCGTGGCGGGCTCTTGGAGTGGGCAGACTGATTCCTAAAGGGCGAATGGCTTCCTCTGAGCATGTGTTAGCCTCCTCTCCTTTGCATCATCTGTACACCAAAGACTTACGAGCGCCTCCGCTTGCCCTCGTCTCTCCTCTCCTCGATGACCTTGAGCATGGTCCTCCGTCCGTCTTTTGCATTTATGTGTGCATCCCGCATGCTCATGCTAACCTTCTTGCTCGCATCGGCCCGAAGCAGCCTCTTAAGCAGCAGATGCCGCATAAGCACACAAACGAAAACGCCGCAGTCGCTTCCATTCTCTTGCTGCGGACTATCATTCATAGGGATAAAGCGCAGTCGCTTGCCTAATAATTGTTCCAGCTTCATGGTTGTGCTCCGTGCTTCCCGCTCGTTGGACTGGGTCATGGAGTCGTAGTGGAAGGAAACGCCATCGATGATGGAAACGAGAAGGAGAGACCAGTGTGAGCCGCCTTCAGCTTGTGTGACGTCGGTGTTGTCATTTATGGGAAGAAAGACGTGTGTTGTTTGGCTGAAGTTTGGGAGAACTTCTTTTAGGGAGAGAGGGTCGGCGGATTGCATGAGCATGTAGGACATGGAGGGGCGGAGGAGGACGATAGAGGCTTTGGGGAAGGCATTGAGCTCTTCGCGTTCGAGGTATTCCTGCCAAAAGGCGATGGCCTAGGGTGTATGTTAGCCCTAGTTGTGGTATGCAGAGGGGTAACGGTATGCGCACATTGTCGGTAAGCCAGTCGTTAGATTTGATACTGTCCAAATCGGCTCGCGTTACTATTGGTAGTCGTCAGTATCACCGTCGTTGTTGTCAGAAGCGCGTGGAAGCGCAAGTCAAAGAACAGGCGACGCATACACACCCCTCACATCATGATCTATTCTTAGTCAGTCTTCAGCTCTCGCAATTTCTTGATCTCGACTCACAAGAAAGATAGGCCTCATCCGGACTAGGATCACCCAAGTGGCGCCTCGCCTTGTCCCTGATCCTCGAAAATGATCCAGGCATGCTGTACCCGTTTGCGCTGTGACTCGGGGAAGGATTGTGTGGCACGGGCGTGCTATTAATCCTGTGCGAGGCTGCAACCACCAGTGGGGTATATTAATGTTTCGGGCCTTGTGGTTATGCGAGAAGGTAGGGATGTCGGATGACTGTCTGCCTCGTTGCACCGCTGGATAGAAGCGCGCTCGAATGATGCAGGTGAGTTATGCGGGTGGAAAGCAGGGATGACGTATGTATGTCTTTTGGCTAGACTGTGTGGGGGTGTCAAGGGAAATGGTTCTGGCCACCTCGGCACTTGCAGTCTCGGGGCGCGAACAGCTTTAAGGTGTCGCAAAAGTGTACCACAGTTGCGAGCTCCGCGTTCTGAGTATTCTGATGGTCTTGTTTGTTTCAACCATGGTTGAGTGTTTGGGTTGTAACAGCCAAGTCTAAGTATAGAACAAAGCAAATGCGGGGATATACTTGGAGCATTGGGTTTCTTTTCTTTTCTTTTTTGCGTTGCATTATTCATCAGTCTTTTGAGTATTTATCTAGGTATACAACCTTCACGGGGGTTTCCCGTGCTGGTAATCGATAGTCGTTTTTGGATACGTGAACGCCTAAAACCGCACTCAACACGTCTTAAGGCAGTTGTCCTACTATCTTGGCACCATTTGCCTGAGCTTGCTTGCCAAACTGTTCCGGCTTCTCTACCTTGAAAAGCCAGCTCTGCTTGTCTTCGATCTTTCCTTGCTGAATACCTTTCAGGGTCGAAAGAAGCTTCTTGCACGCTGGGCCTGGTTCTTGCTGTGCCTCTGCGTATGTAAACTTGTCGTTCTTCGATGGCAGGGTGATGGACTTGATGGGAACAAGAGCTGCCGCTGTTCCTGCAGCGAGGACTTCGTCGAAAGACTTGAGTTCGTCATAGGCGATCTACAATCGTTAGCTCGATGTACGCATTCATGGAACGCACACAGTACCTCTCGAGACTCTGCCTCCCAGCCAAAAGATTCCGCAATCCTGAGAATGCTGTCTCCAGTCACACTCTGAATGACGTTCTTGCTGTTGGATGCAACAAGCTTGACTTTGTCGCCATCCCTCTTCACCCCAATGAATGCGGACGTTGAGAATTCATCAACGACGCTCCTAGTCTTGCTGTCAAGGTGCAGGGTGATGCCGTAGCCTGCCTTGTACGCCTTCTCGCTGTGCCGTAATACTGGAGCATAGTTGCCGCCAACCTTTGCTGATCCAGTGCCCTCCGGCGCGGCGCGGTCGAAATCCTCAAGGATGACAGCATCTACCGGGTTCGATCCATGGTAGACGCCTGTTGGGATACAGTATACTACGAATGTGTATTCCTGTGGTGGGTTCAAGCCAAGCTGTGCTGAGCTACCGAAGAGCAGTGGTCGGATGTACATAGCTGCACCAGTTTCATGGGGCGGCACATACGCCGCGTTCATTCCTACAGCCATACTACAGCAGGCAAGGAAGTGGTCTGTCGGCACCTCTGGGATAGAGATGAAAGACGCCGAGTGCTGCATCCGCTCGGCATTCTTGTTTGGCCTGAAGATGTTTATGGTGTTGTTTGGCGCTCGGAAAGCCTTCATGCCCTCGTAGCACTGCATTCCATAGTTCAATCCTGGTGCCATACCGTGGATACGTAGGAACGGATCCTCGACGAAGACTGGAGGAGTCCATTTGCCGGTCTCAACCGAGTAGTGTGATTCAACATGACCAGCGACTTTGGAAAGTTAGGAGATATTCGAAATCGTACTTGTGGATGACTGTAGAGTGGAGATGGAAATACGCGGTAGAGGTACACTCTAGGCGCACCCTCTATCCCTTCTTGTGCATTGTCCAGTACATAGACTCGCCAAGGTCTTTCATAACAGGATTTGGTCTTACCTTCTCGGATTTTAAAGCCCACATTGCTCCAGTCTGCTGTTGAATTAGCGTGGGTCTTTGCGCCGTGTGGAACGTGCCGGCAACCCGGTGAGTAATTGACGTACCAATGGTGTCGACGGGTGGAGGAGGAAAGTCTGACATGGTTGTTTTATTTGCAATGAGTTATGGTGTCGTGTGCTGAGGTGCGAGTCAATATGCAGGTTGGTGAATTGGCGATCCCAAAGTTTTGAACACTTTCGGAGGCTCAGTAAGCTTAGCACTACTGCGATATCGGATGACGTAGACCGGTACTATCCCCCAGCAGCCGTCGCAATATACCAAAAGCTCACCGACTGCACCTTATATCTCATCGCGGAAAATGCTAATGTCGTTGTCGAATACGAACTAGCTTCGATTGTACAGATGTACCTGCAGATTTACCCGCATGGTGGGACCACTCGGGCGTGATGCTTCGAAGCCCCAATGCTTGGCGTTATCTGAGGCATCGAGTGCGTGGCCATGGATGACAGCCATTCACATTCTACAGTGGACTATGGAACGCCTCGCACCACCTTGAAACCTCGTTTTCTCGTCTCAAGGACCTAACATAATTACTTCATCATGATTCGCACCACTGGCCTCAGAGCCCGGTTCGCTCTCTTTGCTCTAGTCGTCTTCGCCCTGTGCTCGTTCATTCTTGTAGGACCCTACAAAGTGACGCCATCACATCTAGCACCAACATCGACTGAGAAGAAGCTGGGCCGTACCAGCGAGGCTGTGCTCACGGGACATGCGATCGCGCCAAAACTGGAGAATGCGACGGCAAAGTACGTGCACCACCGCCTCTGCGCAGACATGATATATAGGACAGGAGGCAGACTGACAAGCAAACGCAGGGCAGAACTCGGTCGCGCCGCGTGGAAAGTCCTACACACAACCTTCGCTCGTTTCCCCGAAAGCCCTACCGAAGAGGAGCAAGAGGCACTGCGGTCATATGTACACTTGTTCCAACGCCTGTACCCTTGGTATGTCTTACACCATGTGGCGCACACAAAGGTCATGCGCAAACTAACCGGGATTGCAGCGGGGAATGCGCAGAGCACTTCGGACAAGTACTCGCAAAGTACCCTCCCCAGGTATCGTCACGGACAGCGGCCGCCATGTGGGGTTGCTACGTACACAACATTGTCAACAAGAGGCTGAAGAAGCCCGAGTTCAATTGCGCAGACATAGGTGATGCATATGATTGTGGTGTAAGTAATACTCCTGTACGAACTACATGTGAGACATGGACTGACTGCGTACACCAACATCTAGTGTGGAGACGAGGAGCCGACCGCATCGAGCAAAGGCACAGCTGCATGAGACCCGGACCACAAAGCGCCAGAGAAGGAGAGAGATCACCAGGCAAGCGCATACCCTGAGAGGATACATTCGCCAATGTATCCTTTACGATAGCCCTAACCCCACCTTGAAACATCCAAGATGGATTCGCATGCAAGGCGGGGTTGGACGGCGCAGCGGACTTCAGATGCGTAATGTCCGAGACACTGTACTGCGCATAGGGGGTCGCGTCTTGGTCACGATATCTTTATTTGCGGGCACTTGCTACGCCGCAAATGGCTGCTGAAGACTTGGAAGGGGAGCCAATAAGCCAATAGTCAAGACGATAGCTGAAGGGTATCGACGGAGCTCCTCCGGCATCCCCGGCAGATCTCAGAGTTCGCCAGCCAGGTTTCACACGGCATGTCTTGAAGTGGCTTTGATGGTGGTGGGATGTAAACCGGACTCGAGATTGCCCTAAGCATACCCTAGCGAATGACTACTCAATGATCAGCCTTCGGACATGTGAAGCCCCGTCGTGTGGAGAGCCACGCAAGCATGGTGCGCGCCAGACAGGATGTCCTTATCGAGCATGATAGAAGGATGATAGAACGAGGCATAGTACTCTACCTGCGACACCGTGCCCCTCTCCAGCCTTCCAACCGTATGTGATACTCGTGCGTCATGGCATGGCAATGCTAGAGGTCGGCGAGCCATTAGGAGATGACCATGAGCAGCCCACCAGTTCGGTGGGCGCGTGGCTTGCAATGGCAGCTATTCGCAGGCGCTAACAGGCTGCATGCAAGATGCGCGGTCGCATGATGTATTTCGGGATGGTCGCGAGGCGCGCATTGTCAGGGGCCAGTTCCCAAAGTAACCTAGCGCCATAACGACTTTTGTTGTATCCCAAACAACTGAAACCTTACCTGGGCCAGCGAGGGGTGATAACGACGCGGCACCCCCTCCATACACCGACTCTTCATCCTCTCCTCCATTGACCGTCTGCCAGCTGTTCACCGCTACTTGTACATCGAAACTCATCTTCCCATCATGGTGTCGTTCTCTTGCGAGGTACTTGAGCCCCATGTCCATACTCTCCCCACCATTGGCCTCTTCCCTGGAGATGCATTGGAAGCTTACTGTGACGGTCTAGGGCTGTGGAGACGTTCTCACAAAGAAGAAGCTTGACGGCCATCGTAACCAATGCTATGGCGCTTCCTTTACATGCCTCGACTGCATGGTTCATTTCCCAGGAACCTCATACAAGTCTCATACGGTACGCATCATGCTTCTCCTACCCTATATGACGATCCGTTGCTATACAAACAACATCGAGTGATTGTTGCAAGTTTTGCGCCCGTGTTGCGCATTGCGCTATCTTCAATTTTCCACCGTTTGCAGTGGCTAACTGACGTATCGTAGGCCTGCATAACCGAAGACCAGAAGTACCAGGGTAAACTCTACAAAGAGAAGAAGAAGGGCCCGCAACAGAAGAGAGATAGCGCCTACCACGACAACTCGCAAGCGCTCGCTCCTCACAATGCATACGTCGAAGAAGCTCGCGATCATGACAACGCCGTCGCAGTCGTGGATGCTCCGCCCCGCGCGCCCACTCCTCCCCCAGCAGCGCATTCTCTAGGCTATCATGAGCAACAGGCTCTTGAGGCACCCAATGTCTTCGATTTCCTCGACCCTTCCTCGACGCCCAATATCCCGAGAACGAGCGCGCCCATCAATGAAGCGCGCATGCTTGAAGACAGCCAGCCACCTGCATACAAGGAGCAGTACATGCCTACGATCGCGGACGTTATGAAGTTCCAGGTACCTGACGACGACGAGTCTTTCGCACAGAACGGCTTCTCATACGGGAACGACCAAGTTCGCCCTTCCAATGAGCGCTACGACTCATACACTACGCCTGCTCCTAAGCCAAAGCACTCGAGAAACAAGTCGCGCGATACCGATGTTGAGACCACGTCGAAGAAGACGGATCGCAAGCGCAAGCGCAATTCGCCCAGCGAACTCGACATGTCGCTGGTCCGCGCCCAAGAGGAAAGGGATACCATGATGGCTGATGCGCCCGCGACGCTCCACTCTGGTCTCACTGGGGGACTGAACAGACTGCTTGCCCGACCTGAGTTCCCACCGTCGCCAGATGACTCCGGTGACTATGTCAACTCGCCTCTGAGCCCCATGAAACGCGCCAAGCAGGGCAACTCCAAAGCTCTTATGCGCGCGCAGCGAGAATACGAGGCCGAACAGGCTAAGCAGCGCAAGGCTGATATCAAGGCACGCGAGCAAGCAGAGAAGAAGGAGAAGGACAGGGGCCGCGAAAAGGAGCGCAAGGAGCGCAAGGCTAGCACCGCTCTCGTGAAGATCAGGCCCAAGAAGAAGCGCGAGGATTCTACAACAGAGGTTCGTCGGATCCGCCGCCGGCAATACTCGTCTTCCGTGTCACCAGCACCGCGCGAGCGCAAGAGTGTCAAGGCCATTGAGTACCATCGTTCTGCAACCAACTCTCCGGAACCAGATGGACAAGGCCAGCTCATTGTGCGTCCCAATGGACACGTCGCACCTGTCTCGCCGGATTACGATGCCCGCGCGGGACTGTTCATGTCCTTCATCACTAAGGGCCCAGACTCTGAGCGCGGCATGAGTGTCAACAAGGCTCTAAAACGGTACCATCGCGAGCGTCACGAGCACCACGATCGCGCGCCCTCCAAGGCTGACGAGGAGAAAGAGCTCTGGAAGGATCTACGTCTCCGAAGAAACGACAGGGGCGAGATCGTTCTGTTCTTCGCTCCCACCGAGGCTTCGTGACTAGACGGGGATCCGGATCTCGACATCATCATCCGCATGCGCGCGTGGTCTTGTTCTGATCCGACACCAAGTCAGGGATCTGACGACATGATCGATGTCTGACAACATTGGGGGAAGGAGCCTCATCGAGGTTCGAGGTAGTTTGGTGGTCGACTCTTGTACGATACCATTCTGCTTCATATGTTTCTTCCTTTTAGATGATACCCGACATCAAGTCAAAGGTTATTTCGGGTGGGCTCGGTGTATGTGTTCCTGTACATGTCTTGTTTGGACTCGGTTCTTTCTGTTGTATCTCATATTTGCATGTCTTACTGTCCGCATATACGTACGATCACGGCCATACTTTGTCTGCGTTGCTTGCTTTGGTATCTTTTGGCCAAATCACCTGCCCTAATACTCCTTTGGGCTGGACCCGCTCCGTCCTTTCGGCGTTGGGTCTTCAAGTATGAATTATGTTATAATTCGCAATATTGCCGGATCAGCTCTCGCGTGATGACTTGATGCAATAGCTGTTGAAGGAATCCTAACGGATCGTATTCGAGGAGCTGGGCATTGAGTTGTCTCTGCTCAATTGGCAACTTCAAAGCAGAGTACGCCAGTGTCGTGCTTGTGCGGAAAGGGGAGTGAATGCGCAGAGCCGCAGACACATGTAAAGGAATAGTGAGGCTAGCTAGCTACCTATGTGTATGGGTGGAATGCATGCATACCAGTACATACTACTGCAGCACCTAGTGCAGGGACAGAGCGATGGGCTTATGGCGCAGCTGCTTTGCCGGTGTAAGGCACTTTGCCAGGCTGCATCTCGCTTGGCGATGGGTAGGGCATTGGTCTGAAAGGGGGGTCATTTACTCAACAGAGTTAGGTGGTCGCTTGACCTGACCATTCCCATCTACGTGTTCACGGCACTCTGGGGAAGGGCGTCGAGGACAAGCTACCTTGCAACCAGGGCCATGAATCCCGCGCGCCAGTCTTTCCATTACGTGCAGAAGGAGTAAGATAACGTCCCCGAAAGGGTCGAGGAGCTGCTCGAGTTCGGCAAACGTAGGCTTTATCCTCGGCCTGCCCAGGTGCCTCCGCACACTGGCTACAGGCAGTCGTCTTTTCTGAAACCCCCACAACGATGTCTGACAGACGTGATAGCACTCACCACGTCGAATTGCGAAGAAGAAGAAGAATATTCGATAATCCCTCAGAGACGAACATGTGCACAGCCGGAGATTATCCAACTAGCGGCATCGCTCACAGCCACGATGAGGCGAAGTCCTTCCAGAAGCCTGCCTTATTAGACATGGTCGCCAAAATCGCGCAATTGCGTCGAACCGGCCCACTGGCTCTAGGTTGCACGTCGCTCACATCTCTGATGCTGATTCGTTGTCAGTTTGTTGGTATACAGTGGGGAGAACTACCCGGTAAAGCACGGTGACAAGGCTACCACAGATTGAGTTGACCGGCCGCCATGCTGCAGGCCCGCGCATGGTCAGATGGCACTGCCGACCAGCCCTAAGACATCATACCTTCGACGCAAAGTTCCCCAGTGCCAACAGCCTGCGGCCATTTACATGTAAGTTCTGGTCATTGACTAATAAGCAGCTACAACGTGATAAGGCCGTTAACGACTACTCGTCAATTGTCCTGACGGCCTTTGATGCAAGGCAGTCAAGTTCGTGCGATCAGCCGCACTCTGAAATCGCCCCAGTCTGCGTGTGGAATATAACTTTGGCCTCCTTGCAGCCTGGAAACACCGATTAATGTTACACAGACAATCATTGTCTTCCAACACAAAAATCAACTTCCGGCCTCTACACGCTTCCATCACTCATCGCATGAGACCCTCAGTGAAGGGGTGAACCTTACGGCCTTCATCCACTCTTGGTGGTTCCTTGCCCTTCAGCCTAACACACAACACTGTCAGTCTTAGGAATGTCTCAATTCTCGTACATTAGCTCCCCAAACGAAAGCTGGCAGGACCTCGTTGACTGGGACGATGAATTGTACGACCCTTTCTTTCAAGGCGAGACCAGCTATACTGGAGCTCAGGGAGGCAGCTACGTCGCAGATCACCAGCTATCGGAAAGCTACACGTCTGAGCCTACATACCTGGTATCAGCACCTCCTTCGGTTGCTGATGGACCACCATCACTCGAGTATACCGTCTCCGCCCCACCATCAATCCTAGACGGGCAGTCCTCATATGGACAAGTGAATGTTACCTCGCTGTCCTTTGACACCATATCCACTTCTCCGCTAGCTGTCCAAGCAGATAGTCAGTACTTTGGATCGTTCGGCGCGTGTGACAATAGCCTCCTATCGCCACTAGGTACTATCAGCGATTCTCCTATCCTGGATACACGGTATGAGCGCATTCCGGAAACCTTCACCTCGGGTTCTCTCGAGAGCACGACCGAAACCGTCTTCAACCCCCATGTCACGGACTCTTCCCACTCCTTCAGTGGTTTGGACGTTAGAGCCTCTCGTTTGTTCTCGAATCTGGGTACATGGGCGGAGCAGCCACGAATCATCGAACCCATTGCAGAAGATGACAGTGGCAGAGCAGAAGTCGAGCCGATCGCCATCCCTCATACCTTCTCGCAGAGCTATAACCCGGCGCTGCCGTCCTATCGGCGATCAGATGGCGAGTATGATCTACACAGCCGCAGCAGAGCCATCGCCATTCCTGATGCCACTTATGGACCCACCAGCTACAACAATCGACCTACAGTCTCTACATCAGCACGAAGAGCTCCTCCTATACTCTCAGTATCACCAGTGGCTTCACGTTACCCTCGCAGTGCTACGTTGTCTAGAAGCGCTTCGCTTTCTCGACGCAAAACTTCTACTCCGTCCCCCTCGCCTGACTCCTATGGGTGGGTATCCTATCACCCGAACCCGTTGACGCACCGGCTAGCACCTACGAGTACCGAGGGTATGACAGGACGGGCGCCCAAAGGACGAAAGAGAGCCTTGACTGCTGAGCAGCGCCGCCATGCAGCGTTGATGCGGATTGTTGGCGCTTGCTCGAATTGCCAGCGACGGAAGGAAAAGTGCGACCCTGGCACTCCGTGCAGGGCCTGTCTTGAACACTACAAAGGGGACTTAGTCAACCATCCTTGTCGTGACCACACTCTTGTTGACCTTTCTGCGGCATTCCTCGCCGACAGCCTAGGTTGGCATCCAACCACTCGACCCTGGGAGTCGTTCGTCCCGGCAGGTAATTTCGAAGTCTCCAAAGACGTTACCTACACAGTCCCATTGAATTTCGGCTTTGGTCCGACATTTCCTGTCTCAGTACATGCTGTACAGCTCAACGACAACGCTCCCCTGGTACACGAACACATCATCTACTCGTGGCCACCCCAGTCTTACACCGGTCCTCCACACAGGCACGCCGTTCTCCCAGCTGTGCTAACAGCTGACGCACAGTACCATCTACTGCATACCTTGGATTCTCATTTATCACTACTTGTAGCGCATCACTTCCGCGCTTTCCCGCTCTACTGTTCGCCACTTAGAATTCTCCGCGATATCTACGTCTTCTCACGATCCCTTCCAACAAGCTCCTCTCACCACCGCATACTCCATCAAGCGCTCAAGCTTCTTGTACTAGTCCACATTGGCGGCGACATAACGCTGCCATCACGCTCGGAAAGCCCCATGTTGGAGCAAACCATCCGAAGTACGATGGATATACCCGAGGACCTCACTCCTACACCTTGCTTTATCCGCTCGCAGTTCGGTGCGATCATGCCCGGTCTTGCTCTCAGCTTAATGAAAGACGTGCTCGCATCATTGGAGCAACTTCTTCTGAACAAGGACTGCGACGACTGGCCCATCGCTCTGGCTGTTCTTACTACAGTCTTGATGACAGTAGAGTCTATACACTACCATGCCGCGAAGCTGCCGTACCACAACCTTTATGACGCCACACGCTCATCTACCACCGTCGAAAACATAGAAATCGATGATCATGGTGTCAAATCACTTCTCGAACTCTATAGCGCGTGCTTCTCCGGTTGCCACGCTAGACTTAGACCAGACTGGGAGGGCGAGTCTATGCAGTCTCACAAGACGGGCACACCCGAAGATGCGTTCATCCAGAGCTTGCGGGAGGCGATTAGAAAGGCGGATACATCTGACTACCTGGTCAAGAAAGCCAAAGAGAAGAGACATGATGATGATATGGGTTACTTCTTCGACCGACTCGTCGCGCGCCTCTTTACCATGAGACCTCAATAGGCAGATTTCCGTTTTCTAATTTTCTCTTCTCACAAGTTCTCTACGTTTCTTCTTCGAAATCATGGCCAGATGGCTACCGGCGTTGAAAAGGCTGCGATACCCTTCTTTGTAGACCAACTGTATTTGTTCTTGGGTTATTTGTTGGCGTTGGTTTTACGACTGACGCGCTTATGATTGTATACTAACGACGAAACGGTCTCTTGATGACTCCACCTGGCGTTTCCTCTTTCTGGTAGTCACATGGTTATTCTGGAACGAGTCTCCGAATCTTAGATAGTTCATGAAATCAATCAATACTTCATTGCGTTGCGTGCATCGTACTTATCGTGATTCGGAAGGCGCCCATTTCGCTCCAGTGTTCAGGCTTTCACGCCATAGATCAGCTGCGATGCTGAGACAATAACCCACTTGGCCCCCATCCACAACATGCCACAAGCCAATCCCAATACTATAAACATGACAACAATCATGCGCCCTCGCATCTCAAGCGCATCGCCTATCTCCAACTTGGCTATTTTTCTAATCTTCCTATTCAGATGCCATGACTTTCTCTTCTTCTTCTTCTTCTTCTTCCTCTTGTTTGGTTTCTCCTCCCCTTGCTCGTCTGGCCGAGGACCTATAGCGTCATGGGGCTCGAAATGTCCAGTGGTTCCCCTTCGATCCCATGTTGAATCATCAGGATCTTGGTAGGGTTCTGGATCTAGCCAGCTGGATGGAGCGAGATAGGTGAGGAGGGAGAGGCCGGGCAAGTGTGCTTCTGTTCGGCGGGCGCGGTTGCGGTAGTTGACGAGGAAGAGGGAGAGAAGGAAGGATATGAATAGTACAGGAGTAAGGATAATCTTGAATATTTGTTAGAATTGCTAGCAATAATCTGCTATCTCAATATGGCTTACCCGTTTTAGAAGGGGTTCTTGATCGTCGTCCAGCTCGTTTGCTGGAGAAGAGGGCAACGATGGTATTGGTGCAGTGGCGAGTTCTTCAAAAGGATCTGGTTTCTTCTTTTGTCTTCGTCGTGTAGACGAAGGCGACGGTGGTGGGCTCGGTGGAAGATGCTGGTTATGACGATAGTTGTGTGCTGCAGACATGTTGTTCAAAGAAACGTGTAGACTGCAGCAAACTGATGTGGATGCCAGGAATATTCATCCAGTGGTTTCAATCAAAACACCATGCCGAGAATCTGTATAGCAAGGTTGGTAGATCTTCTTGGCTAGGACCTTGGATTTGGAAAGATGGACATTGGGATTGCGGTATTCTTAGGTATGATGCGGCTGAGCGCGGAATGACGATGCGTGCCCACTATCCATTCATAGGGCTGCTAGCTTGCATCGACCCGCGTTCCACGCAAGCACTCTGAAAACGATGTCATAACGGGTCCAGACTATGATTCTGGTAGCGCACCCATCTCCCCTCGAACGAAGGAGCGCATCATGAACGAGGGTCGCGGGGCCTCCCGCGGGGTAGAATACGCGTATACGGCGCACCAGGCATGGAAGTCTCGGGCACCGCCAAGTCGTATCATGGCGGTATTGACCGCCAACGCCATGTTTCGAGGTCGACTCAAGCATTAGCACAGCCTCAGGCTAACCACCAATGTGTTCATGAAGACCATTCGCATCGTTTCTCGCATATTTCGCCGAATGGGGAACGGGGATTAGAGGAGCTCCGGCTCGACCGAGTCCCCGAACACCCGCCTCAAACGCAGGATAAACTGCTGCCTGGAAATTCTGGCTTTCTATAAGATTCTGTAGTCAACAGTAGCCCTTTCACGGGCGTTGTGCGGCGTTATTCAGCTTCCTTCGCTGACCTAATACACGGACCTAACGGACGAAATCCCCGTCCGGCCCTCCTCGTTCTGCTTTGAAACGCTGTCACCACCAGAAGCTGACGGCTGTCCCTTTGCTACTACTGATCTCTTTTATTTCTTTCCCGTCAGCCTGATCCGTTTATTCCGCAGGAGAAACGAGTTGCAGACGCGATTATATATCAACAAACTTCCGTGATCCGGTTTGCGCGACGCAGAGCCGAGTCCGGACGAATAAGTCGCAAGAGCTAGGTTCGCACGATCTGGGTGGTTGGAACACAACGAATCGAGATGCCCAAGGAGGAGACGTTGCCGACACGCAAGAAGATGCGTAAGGGTACGCACAGCTGCTTCGAATGTATGTGGAACCAGTTGTTGCCTCATGTTGAATGATTACTTCACACCATACTGCTATCCTTCACTGTTACTCTTGTCTCACCTGTGCATCACTACGCCAACCTCAATCTCTACTCTGCCTTTCATCATCACCATACCGTGAGCCTTTCTGATGTAATACAGGTCGTCGCCGCAAGATCCGATGCATCTTCCAGCCCGACAACCCGGATGTTTGCTCAGAATGCTTCGCACGCGGCAGCAGGTGCATCGACCAAGAACATGCCAACCCTGAAGTCATTGTCGATCATAGGAAGAACCTCCGAGAGCGAGTATCAAGACTGGAGGCCTTGATTGACACTTTGCTTGAAGACAAGACTGTCAAGTCAGAAAGCCGGAGTCAGAGCCAAAGCTTAGCCGACACATCATCACCAAAAGCGCCCACCATCTATCACAAGGATACATTTCCACCCACTCCTCTTTCCTCAGAAGCCTCGTCCAACATCTTTCGAGTACCGGAAAATCAGCGTGCTGCCTCGGATCGAGGCCATCATGTACCAATCCTCTCTGTGTTCGAAGACGCAGTATGTATTCCTACTCCCTGAATCCGATCTTTAAGCTTATTGTCTATAGCTCAACGATGCTGAAGCGCAAGCGAAAGCCCGCAATGCTGATCAACAGAGCTCAACACCAAGGCCCGGCCAAGTGGCTGAAGATCGATATACTGTAGAAAACAAAAATGATGATGACATCGCGGCTGGAAGCACCATCGCGCACTCTGCGAAACGAGAGAGGTCCAAGCAAGCACTCATTGCCATGTTGCCGCCTTACGACCAACTCACCAAACTCCTGAACTCCAACAGTGACTGGTGGCAGACGTGGCGGAGAAAATGCAGTGGCACTTCCGGTCCTGAGCAAACATTGCCTCAGTTCGCTGCCCAGGCTCTGACGACCGGGAATATCGGCGCTATTGCTACTGTTGTTTTGTCGGTTGGTATTTGCTCATCGGAGAACGATGACGATGTCGAACGCTATATCGAGGCTGTGGACCGATGGTTCCTGTCTGACGATGAGTATGCGGCAAGCTTGGAAGGTCTAGAATGTCTGATCTTGAAGTCTAAGTGGTACGCGGATGTAGGTCAACCACGAAGAGCCTGGATCGCGTACCGCAAGGGCTTGATGTATGCCCAGCTAATGGTAAGTTTACACGCTCCCACATTATCACATCATGACTTACTTGAAGAAGGGGCTACACCGCAAGCGCACTTCCTCCGCTCCACACGAGAGCATTTGGTGGGCTATGTACCATGGGGACCGTTTCTTGTCTCTCTTGCTGGGTCTTCCATACGGTATTAGCGACGCGCATTGCGACTTAACGATGCCCGATATTGGCGACGGCACATACCTTCATCCATTGGTTGGCATCACGAAGCTCTCGCAGCTCGCAGGGAGGGTCATTGATCGAAACCAGGGAGTTGCCGAGCAGTCCTTCGCCTGGGCACTGCAGCTCGACCAGGAGCTTGAGGATCTGTGGAAGAAGTTCGATCCAGCGTGGCTTGACTACACCGAGTTACTCGCCGACGCAGAATCAAATGCGGCGGAATTGCGAGAGCGAATCATGGGTCAGATGGTCTTCCATCAGATCCGTGTGTACTTGCACTTGCCGTTCATGCTCAAGGCAGCATCAAACTCGCGCTTCTCATACTCAAAACGGCATGTTTGAACGGCTCGCGAGAAGTCCTAAGGTTGTACCAGTCTCTACGAACAGGACATGTCCAGCCGCTCTACGAGTGCAAAGCTATCGACTTCATCGGTTTCACAGCCGCAGTCCTGATCTTGATCGGTCTTCTCAATTCCGGTATGGGTTCACAATCTTCAATTAGCGGTCCTACCCCCAAGGACATTGAGGAAGATGTGCGTCTCATCGAGGTCAGCATCGACATCTTCCGTCGCGCATCGAGCGAAAAGGGAGGCAAAGTAGCCGCCCAATCCGCACAGGTTCTCGAGCAGATGTTGAGCAAATTCAAAGGCACAAGTCTCGACCATGAGGAGGGACCCTGCAGCGGAAAATCGGACTTTGTTATCCCGTACTTTGGTACCATTTCTATCAAGAGAGGGGGCCAGTTGGTCAAGAAGGGCCCGGAACTTCCCTCTCGCTCGCCCAGCATGATGAGCTCAAGGTCCCCAGGTACATCAGCACAACTCTACACACCCACGTCTGAGAAGCCGTCACAGTCTTCTGCGTCGGACATATTCTCGCAACCCACACAGTCCCTTAATGTCACGCCAAAGACATCCGTCTCCGCTGGTACCGGTACCTCGGCCTTCGGCTTCACTGATCCTTCACCCTTTGTATCGTATGACGGCTTTTACAACTGGAACAACCTCAACGTAGATGATGCGTCGACAACGGGCGCCGCTGCGGGAGGCACGTTCAACTCCCAGATCAACGACGACAGCATGAACAACTTCCCACTACCTACGAATAACTTCTCGTGGCAGCATATGCCCATGGATATCGATCAGGATTGGTCTTGGTTCTTGAACGATGCGCAGACGACACAAGGTATGGGTACGGCAGGGGGCGCTCCAGCACCCACTGCAGCGCTTGATTTCAATGCGCAAGGTTTCCCTGGCTTTGGTTAAGCGGGTTACGTAGGGCTGGCGTTTACGGGGTTATGCGTACGTTTGCTATAAGAGACTAGCTATGTGCGGGAAAAGTAAGGAGCAATGTACGATAATAGAAGCATCTGGATGGGCGCGTCCATGCATTCAGCTGGGATCAAGTGGTATGGTTATTGGAGGTGTTTGTGATATCCGGGCTACTCCACTCTCGCTAGTAGTGTGCGAGAGAATTGATTTTTTGTTTCTGTGTACAAAATGACTTCAAGTCTGTGAATCTGTGCTTACAAAGTCCAGATGACCACCCTGCCGTCCACACCAGTAGAACTGATCTTGGTGACACCGCTTCCACTCTCCTCAAAGCTGCGGATGGTGTTGATGGTATTCTGATGCACAGTCTTGAGCTTGGTATCATCCGTGCCCGACTTGCCCTTGAGATCCATCTGCCTGAACATGTTCAACGCGCTCTCCTCACGCTGATCCGAAAGACCAGGTCGGCTCTTCGCTTCCAGACTTCCTGCAAGCTTCCAGCCAGACTCATCACCCTGCAAGCGATAGGCTTCGCAGTTGTATCCCGCAGCAATGATTTCAGCCTCGGAGCTCCAGACTAGTGACATGAAGGGCAGTACTTGAGTGCTGACGCTAAGGATGGCGCGGGGAGCTTCTTCGGGACCGCTGGGGTAGACGACGGTGAGAGTGCTGTCGTGAGATGCGAAGGCGAGGGCGTTGCCCGAGGGAGAGAAGGCAACGCTGTGGACCCAACCTGCAGTGTTGTTCAGGTACTCGCCGCACACGGTGTTGAAGGGTAGACGCTCTCCCCACGCCGAGGGCTCAGGGCGCTCGTCCACGCCCTTGACAAAAGAAGAGAGCACGCGAGCGTGTCCGTCGGTAGAGCCTGCGGCGAGCAACACGGAGTTCGGGTGCCAGGAGACGCAGGTGACGGTGGAGCGAATGGGCTTCTTGATGTGCTTGGAGACCCACCAGTTGTCCTCCTCTTCGAAGTAGCAGACGGGGATCAGGCGAGCACCAGATCCCACTGCGAACTTGGTCTCAGAAGGTGCCCAACGAACGCATGTAGCAGCTCGGTTGATACGCAGAAGCACTAATGTAGGCTTCCATCCTTGCGGTGAAGGCTCCCAAACGTAGGCATTGCGATCTGTCCAATTCGTCAGCTGCCTGCTCCAGCCCACCAGATAGCTCCGAGCTTACCCTGCGAGCAAGTCACAATCTTGCCAGAGTTGGGTGCAATATCTACGCCCGTGACTGTCTTGTCATGGCCTGTCAGCTCGTCTTTGAGCTTGTATCCACTGCCCGTCTTTGAGAAGAGGTCAACGTTGTTCTCGCGGGCTACAGCGAGCGTCTGGCGGTCGGCGGAGAAGGAATGGTCCGCAATGGGATGGTGGAAGAGGTGGTGGACTTCGGGGCCGGACATGATGAATATGGTGGTAGGCGTGCAATAGGAGACTCTCTACTACTGCCAATTGGTGTTTTGGGCTGTAAGCTTGTGGAGCTCTGGGTGACTTGGTGACGTGGGGCTGCTGGCCGCGATGCTGCGGGTGTTAGCGTCGTCTTGGCTTTCCCGAAAATCACGGCGACTGCAACTTCGACATCAACGCGAATTGGGGGGATTTGCTACGCGACACGCAATTCTTCGTACAGTATGCTATGCGCAACAACTCCATGTATGTACTGATGCTAACTATGTCGCAGCAACCGCCATCATGATCCTCAGACGCCCACTTCTCAATGCGACCTCCGCAGTGTCAGCATCAAAGACATGCATACGAAATCTCCAACACTCAATCCCTATGCGCCCTGTTCCTAAGCCGATACCGTTCATCCCCGACCATACTGCCTTCCTCAGCGCAATTGGCCGCGGCCTCTCCGCACATGCAACCAAGATACCGTCCTGGGAGGCCCTTTTCACACTCTCAGGGCCGCAACTGAAGGAACTCGGTGTTGAGCCAGCACGCTCAAGACGTTACCTTTTACAGTGGCGAGAGAAGTACAGGAATGGGGAATATGGCATTGGAGGAGACTGCAAGCACGTCACAGATGGAGTAGCAGAACTCAAGGTTGTAGAAGCACCAGTACCGCCAAACCCCCAACTCGGCAACACGATAAGTCCTCGCTCTGCGGCTGCGACAGCCACACATGATCCGGGAACGAGGAAGCTGGTCGTCAATGTACCTGTCGGCGCCGAAGCACCAGTTGAACCTGTTGAGACATTACCAAAGGTGCAAGGCGTTATCGTTAAGGGCGCGAAGACGATCAAAGGCAGCTATGTGGAGCCAGTCAAGGGAAGTGGAGGTTTGCGAGCGCGGATACGGCTGCAAGAGGGTATCTGGGAAGTAAGGAGAGGACACAAGGTCGATGGTGGAGAGAGGAGAAAGGCAGAAGTGCGGGCGAAGAGAAGGGCGGCCGAGAACAAGGAGAAGCGGGGTTGATTTGGTATGAGTACATGGAGAAGTCGATACCGAATCCTGTACAATGAGTATTATTAAATGTGACACTACATGTTCGACGTCAGAAGACCAATAATGGCAGTACAGATGAGCCAGGTAGAGGTCAAGCAATGATGGAACTGTCCGCCAAATCGTCCCAATCTCAAAGGGCAAAGATGCTGATGCTGGGAGCAGCCAATGTAAAGTCACAAATATTCTGAGCCTAGTACAATGCTCAGTGACACGCACAACCACTACCCTGGAGGTTTCAGCTCGTCGTTATATGGTTAAAATCCCTATCCCAATCCTCTCAAAACCGAAGTAGACCAAGTGCCTGCTTCTCACTCAGAGACGTACATGCGCCGCAGTGGGGGTCGTGACTAAGAACAGAGGAGTTGTTGAACAATCGAGAACGAGTCGAGGGGAAGGTCACGTGCCAGGATAATGTTTCTCAGGACGACATGATCTCTTCGCAAAATACTCATGGTAATCAAGACCGAAACGGCAAAGTTTACAACAAAGGCCCTACTGTCAGGTTAGCATACTGATCCTGCGAGGTGTAAATGATTATTGATGAAGATGTATAGTAGCTCAGAGAGTAAGCTTTCGCACATCAAAACCACGCATTCGGGTTATCTGCTGCGAAGTATCTGGAGAGGCGCACTCGTGGGAGATTAAGCCATGAGGCACGTCGTGTCATCTTTGCTAGTGGAAGAGACTAGGGAACTTGTATGAGCATACTTACTACCTTTCAGACAGAACAACAGTAATATCTAGTCAATACTGCCTACAAATACGTGATGTGATGTGAGTGGTGCTTCCCATGTATCTGGTTTGTGAGATGCAAGCTTAAACTAGCGGACGTAAACGTAGCTACGTCAATGTGTAATGGAAGAAACAAGCTAAGTGTTGCTTTCCGATAGTATGTATTGTGAGAAGGTGTTTGTGTATACACGAAAGAAACAAAAGTCGTAGCTTGTCGGTGAGTGTTTGTGTTGTGGTTGCCTGTCCAGATCTATGACTTCAGGCGGATACGACGCTAGTCCCGATCGCTAGCGTACAACATCATTCCTGCTCTTACTCCAACGCACAATAAGGAGCAAAACTGAAGTGGACCAGGACTGTACAAGAACCTGAACTGTTTAGCATCTCATCGGAGATTGCAACGTACTATTGGAAGCGCCCCTCCCGCACCGTTGTATACGAAGGCCGAAAAAACTAGCTCCCGTACTCCCTTTTCCACCTCAGCTACGCCACGACAAACGATAACGCCTCCCGTACGTTGCCGTTACCCTTGTCACTAACACAAACTAACCCCGCCATTACGTCGATATGTAGGTGAGGGGTAAAGCGAGTAAGCACGGAGTCACGTAGTTCACCCAAGAGCACTAAAGGGAAGCCGTCTAAGGCTATGTTTGGTAGGAATATGTTTGATTCTAACTTAGCTACTTACCACCAGGCTTTCGCATCCCCCATGGTCTAAGAGGTACGTTGTATATACAAGATAGCTAGGAAACTGATTGTATGGCGATATAAGCCTCTGTTACCGACAGCAAAAAAAACTCCATGTATGCAGAACGCAAGGAAATCGACGACGCCATTGTATGCGGGAAAAATGAAAAATGACAAGTAGATGTGTTCAGCTCTCAAAATCGCGCTGCATGAGTCTTCGTATATCGTCCATCTTTTTCTGTGTTCTGTCTCTCTTCCGTTCTGTTGATTATCTAATTATTCTTTCAACTGTACAATATGGTATTAATACTTTCTGATTGCCACTAGTAACCATTACGGCCACCAACACCAGCGGTAATATACTACGAGCTCTTGCCCGCCTCAAAAACCTTGGTCATGAAGTCGTCGACGTCAAGGTCAATCTTCTTCTCCCGTAGTGTTTTTGCAACCTGCGCCGCGTCGCCCTCCATGCAGCTGCCCTCTAGTATGCTGAGTATGGCGACTGCGGCCCGTGGAAGATTCTTGTCGCCTTCGATCGTGTATATGTCCATTATGCGCGCGGCATGCTCGACGCCCAGACGGCCACAGAATAAGGAGCCCAGTGTGTGGAACAGATAATCTCTGGGCTCAACACGTAACGTCTCTAGTCGTTGAGCCAGACTAGGCGCTTTCTTCGCCAAGACGTGAAGTGTTGTGGAGTAGGCGGCATGTATGGCGTTTTGATCGTGGATGAGGAAGGACAGGGGTAGCGGACGGTTGAGGAGGTTGCACAGGGCGACAAAAGCTTGTGGCGCGGCTTGATTCAACAGGAGCAATGCGGCGATGTGATGTATGTCGAACTTTGAGTGTGGAATGTCCGGGCGGTACATCGAGTAGGCTAGACATATGTCGACGAGGTCCTGGTGTAGCGGTTGCTCGTCCTCTGCCTCCTGTGACGTTCGTGCGGCGAACATCTTGAGATCAGGGAACACTGCTTGGGTGCTTTCGACAATGTAGACATAGCGGCCTCCGAGCGCTTCGTGGCCATGCGTCTTGACTTCTTTGCGTGCTTTCTCCAAGGCAATGTTGTAGGTCGCTTCCGTAACCTCAAGATCATTTCCAATCGCCATCTGCCAGACCTGACCTCGCAACCGTGGAGGAATGCCGTTCCACCACATCTTCCTGTGCGAGGCACGGAGCTCGGAATTTGTCATCTCGGTGGCCCAGTTTGGTAAAAGTAGGCTCGACCAGTATTCTGCCTTGACGCGGGAGGCCTTTTCACGAGCTATCGCTTCTTCTTGAGCACGTTGAGCCTCGAGACGTTCTGCGACTGTTAGTCATGTGATTTTTTTTTCGGATTGCAGTCTGAAGGCATAGATGACTTACCAGCTTCCTCAATGCGAGCCAACATGCGCTGGTACTCCTTAAGGTGCTTCTTCTCTTCCTTGGGATTTTTGGGTGGAAGCCACGAAGGTCGGGTCCGCGAGAGGTACTTCTGCTTCTCAACCGACGGCTGGAACGGATCGATTAGAGGATCGCTCTTACGGACAGGTGGGAGAGCCGGCTTTTTTGCTCTTCGGTTCAGGCTGGCTCAAGGATGCTGATCGTGTAAGACCGGGCTGTTGTCTCGAAATTTCTTGCTTTCGCTCATTCTCAGATTGAAACTCCTCCAGTTTTCCAGTAAGGAATTTGGCATCCGTATCTAATGCGGTGTACGTCTCTGCCCACGTGTTCGGCTGTGTCGCTGACTGTGGAGATACGCCTCTGCTAGAAACGTTGGGAGAAGGAGTTCTCTGGGAGACACGCGATACGGAAGGTGCGGGAGAAGTCCTCGAAGACCTCGAAGACGACGATATTAACGCGTCGGGATTGGGCGACGCCAAAGGCGGGCTCTCGCCAACCCAGGACTCTGATGATCGATCCATCGTGGGGCGTGGCGAGATGGGGATATTCCAGATAACAGCATCCTCGGGAAGCTCGTCATCTTCATCATCGCACTCGGCCTCCCTTTCCTTTACAGTTTTTCTTTTGGAGTCCTGCCATGACGGCCTCCTTGAGCCCAACCCTGGCGACGGCAAAACATCACTCCGAGAGCTCTTGCGAGATAGTGTGCGCGGCCCCGAGGCGGATTTGTGTGTGCTTGATGGGGATGGTGATCGGGAAGAGCGTTGGGGTGCAGCGAGGCTCAGGCTGGAGAGCGATGGGACAGACGGCGAAGTGAAGCCTCTCCTAGCTTGCTGCTTCCCTGGGGCGGACAGCTGGGCCTGCTGTCGCACAGCATGGTTGACCGGGCCCTTCAAGCTCGGGTACTTTGGCTTGGTTGCGCCGGTCAGGTCGCGGAAGGAGTGGGCCGAATGTGAATGCGGGAGGCTCCTGGTGGAAAGAGAGGCTCGTGGGGCTTCAAAGAGGATGCGATTAGACGGGCTCGCTGGCATGGGGAAGGAAGAGGGCCCACCTGATGCTTCGTCTAGGTTAATATCCTCAAAGTGGGAGAGGTTCTCCGTTGTGCCCATGAAGTCTAGGAGAGTTGACGAATGGATGCTTGACGACTTGGACGACTTGGAGTTTGTGAGGTCAGGCGGGCTGCCAGGCGGTGCGCCAAAAGTTTGCTGGGCATCTTGGGCGTAGGTGAGGGTGGCCATGAGCGGTCGGGGTGGTCTTCGTTGTGTTGAGAGGCGTAGTGATGTGCCAATGCGGTGTGGTTGTTGGTTCGCGCAGCTATTGTCGCGCTCGCAAGGGGCTCTGATCAATGAAGGCACATAGCTATGTTCGGAAATGATATACAATGACGTTTCCTGTGAGATGTAGTGAAGGTCGGCGTCTGAAAACTCGTGATCTCCAGCTTCGTAGACAGGAGGCAGTCGCTGTTGATGCTGCACCGCCGGCATCTTTGTCGATTTGGCGACGCAATTTGCGGAACTTGCGCTAACCCCTGATGTCGGGGGACAGGGATAGACTCCAATGGTGGGCCTCGCAGTGCTCTGGACCCGTCAGCGGCGCAGAGTGCCTTGGACGAGTTTAATTGCAAGCAGCGGACGATTCTACGTTGGGAATGGGAACTGGCATGGGGGCAAAGGGTGAGGATGCAGCGATATGCCAAAGGGTTGCTTGAAACCGCAAAACGAATACGATGGACTGAGGCAAGTATGCTTCCCCAGCTGGCCCTGGGCCCTTGTTCAATGCGCCTAGCAACGCGTTTTACGAGGCTGTCCGTCAGTTGGAAGCCTGCATAGTCGACCCCGGCGTAATTGGGATGGGGGTTGGCGTCCCAGCCGTCGCATCTACGCTTGACATCACGATACCAGAAGTTGAGGGCCAATCACATCTTCTTACTTGCTTAACCTGATGCTTATCAGGCGCAAGTACTGGGCCGTCTCTACACTACTGTGCTTTGCCTCAATAGCATAGCGCTCCAACATGCATGAAAAGACGAATAACGACATCATCCTCTCTACAGTCCATCCGTCACTCCCGAAGCTGCTGCAGCCAAGGCCCAAGGCTTGCAGTTGCGCCCACATGCCGCCGCTAAACGTGGGCCCCTGGCACAGATCCTTAGGTTGCTTCTTCCCGAGTTCCTGACCCGTCACCACTCCCAACATCAGCTTGAAAGCCTGTCCTGCAACTTATCTTTTCAGTCCGCTTTGTTAGCGCATCAAGCTTTCAACGCCAAGTAATTGCCGCCTCCAGCATGCGTCTCTCTGTCACGTCAGAAATGCAAGCTGCCGCGAGAGACACTTTCAGCCAGGCTAGTAGCGCGCGGTGCTGTGTCTGCTTGCGCTGAAACACTCTCTGAAAAGCTTTACAAGCCAGCCTATCCCTCCAAATTAGCCTTCGTTGGAAACAGGTAATACGAGCCCCGCCATGTCATCTTCCGAACCGTGGAGTCGATCTAGCCAAATCGCAGATCGTGCATCCACCCACATAAGTTATATGACATGGAAGCTTAGCCATAACTTACCATTGAAGTTGCCGACGCGAAATGACGCCCTGCACAATCTTCGCCTCCCTGCTACCACGCGATCGTGAACGGCGCTGTAGCATCACATAGGCTAGCGCAATGATATTGTCTACCGTCTCTGCAGTTCCACGGTCAGCAATTTCCTTGGCTAGCGTAGCTGGCCGCAATCACGATCGTCCATGGCGCAGACTGTGCTCGCTTTTGTGTTATCTGACCATCATTCATTCCACGTGCAGCCTCTTACTGGGCAGCCCTGCATACACACCTCGATGGATTTGGACTCCAACGCTTCAGAACAGGAAAGTTTAGACGTACTGATAAGCAGATTCGAACACGTCGTCCGCACTTTGGATAGCGCGCGTGCGTACTCGAGGCACCTCACCGCCGCTTCAACAAAGCTTTGATGCAAATTCGCTAGTACAGTTGCCACGCTGTTCAACGATTGATCGATCAACATAGCTTTGAGCTGGATTTTGAACGCGCTACCATCGAATATCAGTGAAATGTCGCATTTTTTCCATCCTCTCCATGACCCGATTGGTCGGACCTGTGTACCGAGTATGGAGACTTACTTGAGAGCTTTGCGATGGAACGTTTGGCCGGGCATTTTGGTCAGATCTACTGTCAAAGAGTCCTCGACACCTGGAGTAGTTAGCCTCTAAAGCCATCAATAGAGAACATGCTCCCAATGCAACCTACTGATTTTTGTAGGGCATTCTGTTTTCTTGCTGACTTCCAGCGTCGTCGTATCGATACAGATGCCGCAATACGGGAATTTGCCATCTGAGTCGCTGATAGCGATTCGGGTCCCCTCTTCTGTCATCACGTCAAAGTTGGCCAATGACTTTGAAGGCTTTATCACTACGCCATATTCCGGATGGCCCTTGTGCATAACACAGACGAAGCGCCGCGCGTACTCTTCGTTGATACTGATCAGAAGAAAGTCGTCAAGTAGACGAAGCAGCAAAGAGTCATCATCGAGCAGAAATCCGAGGACATCGCGTTCTAGTTGCGCGTAGAAGAAGTTGCATAAGATGCTCGACAAGACGGAACCTTGGGGTATGCCAGTCTTCTGGCGATAGAAGCGCTTTCCAATTTTGACAACATTTCTTTCTATGTGCTCCTGTAAGAGCTGCATCAAGTCGTCTTTAGTCTCACACCGTTGTAGGTTAGTGTTGACAAAAATGGTGTTGGCCTTGTGCCAACCAGTCTATTTTGCACGAGTTTGTTGAAAGGCGTCATGTCCGTTGCTGCGTGAGTGTGCGGAATGTACTTCTTTAGAGGCATCGGATCTACGTGTTTGCCATCGAGGCGTTGTAGAGATGGCAGGGGAGATATCTCCACATGTTTGCCCGTGTTGTAAGCTTGGATCGACATGAGACTGTCGATCATACGCAATAAGCGTGACTGTGGTATGGTATCGAAGCAGGCCTGCACATCGACTTTGGCAAAGTAAAGCCGAGTGTCGCCGAGTCCCCGTTGTCGCAATGAAGCCTTGAAAGACGCAAGCTTGGGAAACATGTCTCCGACAGAGAATAGGGAGCAGCCGAACTTGTCTGGTCGTAGTGACTGCTTCTGGTTAGCGCTGATGACTCGGTCAGCTCTAGCAATATACTGACCTTCTCATAGGTGATCGCATTGAATGCTGGTGTCATTACCGCGTTGATGCTTCGCCCGAGAGTCATAGTCCCATACCGCATCACCTGCTGTCTTCTCTTGAGGTTCGTTATAGTCCGAAAACCTTGCTTCTTGGGCAGGAGACGAATGTTACTGAAACCAAGTTGGCGTGCGGACAGTAACCTTTCTGTGCTTTCCGTGGGCATTTCTTCAAACATATTCATACGTAATTCCGTCAAAGCAGGTTCTGTTAGCATTCGCCAGACATCGTGGCGGAAGTAGAATAGCCTATTCCGGTGTGCGCTGGACTCAGTTACATGGAAATTTGTGCGGACCAGGGGGACGAGGAAGGAGTCAAAGAGCCAGTAGACGAATTCAAGAAATATCTCCCCACGTTTGTCTATATCCGATTTGGACAGCTTCATGTCATTTTCTTGACTGGGTGGGCGCAACCAAGTTATGTTTGTAATCTGGGGTCCGTTAGCACAGATTCATACTCAAGTAGGAAAATGCATACCTGTATGTTCTGTGTGACCTGATGCAAATTAAGGGACTCGAATCTTCGAAGATCTATGAATTGGTCTACCCAATACATGAGAGTGCGTTTGTTCTGTTCATTACCCCAGAAGCCTTCGGGTACAACCTTAGATATGACTGCGCGACAAAAGGCCGAGACGTGTGCTGCTGGACAGGCAAGATCTGTGAAACAGGTTTGCTGAACGGTGCGAGCTCCGGCCGTAGGTTGACACTTTTTGTCACATTTAGTTGGCTCTGCGACTGGCCGTACATCTGCTTTCGGCTGAAGTGCGCTCTTCCTCCATCCCGGCCTCGTTGATAAAGGTACTCCCTAGTCTGAATTAGTAAAGTTCCTTCAATACATAGAAGATTCGATAGGTACCTCGATTGGGCAGTAATGCCGAAGCATTTCCATGTATGAACATCGCTGGTTGCGAATCCGAAGTCTTTCAACCAACTTAATAATGTCACCTCGGAGCCTTTTGGGTGTTCGTTGCTTCCATTTGGCTACTTCTTGAGCGTCTGTTGCTTTTTTACCCAGCTCTCGGCACATGCTACTGTGTATATCCTTCTCTCGCAGCGTATAGTCCTTGAAAGGCATAGCGGTGTCACGCGGATCCACCTTGGATGTGAAGACATTGTGTAAGCCGAATTGACGGGGGAAGATATATCTCATGACATGTATCGTCTGCTGCTTGTCATCGCGATCAGGGAAACGATTTAGGATATCTACGAGTCAAGTTAGGTAACCAAAGCATTCGAAGGATAGTGGAAATGTACGAATATGGCGTAGCCCAAACCTCACACCACCTTTGGCATTTAAGGCCGCTTTCGCGTATAGCATACGACTTCGGACGAACGTAATTGCACCAGGCGTCTTGCATTCGCTCTTGATACGTGAGAGCTTGTCGACCGCTTCCTGGTCCGCACTGACTTTTGCGGTGTTGCTCTTCTGAGGTTCATCCAACCTCACCTCCGACACAGGTACACCAGACAATTGGTAGTAGTTGCCCATATCCGCGTTAACTGGTATGAAGATGGAGCATCCTAGGAGCATGTCCATTACGATGCGGTCGCCACCCTGGCCGAGCAATGCGTGCAATCGACACCATGCTGGCTCTTTCAAAGTTCGCCTGTAATTATTGGGTTGGTGTTCTTGCAGATTAGGAATTGAAGAACTCAGGTCCTCATTGTTGCCCTGTTTACGGCGGGTGTTTCCTGCTCTTTGGAATCCGTGACAGAGCAGGTGCGTTGGCTTGTGAGATGTTGAACGTTTGAATAAGCGCCATATCACGAAATCGACAATCTATGTACACTCAGTAGTCATTCGATAAGCGTAACCCTGGAAGTGTGTGATACGTGTCACGACCTACCTCAGATTGCATATAGTACCCAGGATTGAACGTGCCGCCCGGAGTACTTTGTGATCGCTGTTGGGTAAACGCCTGGATATCCTTTTCGCGTTCTTCGGTGAAACGCGTATGAGCATCCGTGTCTGCATGTACACTTGGTCCGCACACTAATGCTGAATCGAGCAACTGCACAACGGCCATGTCAAGACGATCCAAACTTGTGCCTTGAGTGGGTGTTGCACGTCCAAGTTGCGAAATCTTTCGATGTCTATTTTTGGATGTATTTGGTAGTCGCGACAGCAAGTACTGGCGCAGAGTAAGAACTTCTGGATAGAGACGTCGCAGGACTGGATGAGTAGCGTTGATAGCGGATTGGTCCACGGCGCGCCTCGTTTTCTTGCGAACGCCTCCAGCGCCGTGGGGCTGCGCTTCCTCTTCATGCTAAACTAGACGCATGTGTTGCATGCGCGGTCGCGTTGTTGATGCTCATGGCCTGTGGATGGTGTTTGTTAGGTGTGCTATCGGGGTTAGCCCTGACGCGACTGCACGCGCCATCCCGTGACTTGGGTTCGAGTCACAAAACTTCCACCTGCATACCATGATAATGCAGTCTGTTGTGTCGGGTTGGTCGTGAACAACGGAAATTTGTAGTGGTATTTAGCTAAACAACAAGGCATGACTTTAAAATAGCATGAACCTATCATGTTAGAGCTATAGTTCTATCTACGCGCAGGCCTAAGCACTTCCCAATCACCACCCATGTTGCGCATGTCCTCTGGCTCATCATCCATCAAACTCCGCCCTCCCCGACCACCACTCCTACTACTCCCACCAGTCCCTGTGCGTGGCGGCAAAGCCGGTTTCTCAAAATCATCATCGATGAGATTCTGCACTGGTTTCCTTGTCAGATTCGGAGGCGGTGCCATTGACCGCCTAGCTTGCGTTGGGGGATATCCTCTTGATTCTTCTTCTGGAGGATCATCCCGGTATCTTTGGGGAGGAGGGGCGTAGGATGGGCCTGGTGAGGAATCTTTACAGAGGAGAGAGGGTTTCTTGTTAGGGATTGGTGGTGGGGCTAGTTTGCGGAGTACCTGTGGTTTGTTGGAGGATTGAGTTGAGGGGAGCGTGTTTGATGCGCGGTACGGTAAGCTGGGCATGGAGTGCGTGGAAGCGCTTGAGCCGCTGCGTCGGAGGTCGTTGAGCGAGTCCCGCGCACCATCTGAACTGAGAATTTGATTGGCATGTCCCGGATATAATGGAGCAATCATCTTGCGGGCCGCTGGTTTCTGCGTTAGTGGCAAGCTTGTGGAGGGGCCGTCGATGTCGACTGTGCGTGATCTTTGTGAGCCGCGCGCTGGCGGAGGCTCTGGTCTGCGACTGCTCGGCAGGTGCTTGACGTCTACCCATTCTGGTTCTGGACTGGGCGTGAATGGGTTGCTGGGTCGGTTCGGGTTCGGAGAGTGGTTGTTAGATGGCGGTTCTACGCGTGCTTTCGCCGGTAAACCTATGGAATATGAGCATCCAAGCTATAGCAGGAATTATGATGAAGGTACCGTTGTCAAGCCACCATTTCCTCCGATCTGAGCTCGCAGGTGGCAGCCCTGGCTCAATGCTATCGTATCCAAGCAAGTCTTCATCATCTGTTTCATCTTCGCCCAAACGCCCTGCTGCATGAGTATCACCCACAACTTCTCTTCTTTGTCTGTACAAAGCCGCCTTCACAGCATCTCTCTTCTTTTCATCGACCCGCTGCACCAATAACTGAAAGGTTGCATAAACTGGTCGGTGGTCGGAGAAGCGAAGTGGTGCATCGTTGTAGTGTATTTGTCGGATGTTGTCACCCTTGCGAAGTACACGGTCGCACCAAGCGGGAATACGTGCTTTCTCCGACGTATCGTATTGATTACTATTAAGATCATACTTGTACGTCGGAGGGAAAGTTATACGAGCCTCGGAATAGTATGGGAAGGTCAAACCGGCAACCATCTGGAGATTGAGCTATTACATGTTAGCTTTGATTCCCATTAGCAAAGGACGAGTACCTACCTGATCGTTGTCGTACAAGGTCTCCAGATCACCGACATGGCATAGCCGTTGAACCTTTTCATTGTTCAGACCTATTCGGTAGTTGAAGTCGCCGAGCCATATTACTGTGTCATGGTCTTCGATTGATCGGTTTCTCTGGAAGCGTAGACCATGGCTGATGGTTTTGTAATCACGATTACGTTCTTCGTAGTTGGCAAATCCAGCTGCAAGATGTGCTGTGACCAGGCAGATCGAAGTGTTGGCGTACTCGAATCGAATAGCTACAGCTCCTTTGTTGCCGGCCATACCTGACATGCCAGTCTAAGATATAAATTAGCTCTATATGTGAAAGCGTAGATCGCGTTGACATACCTTCTTTAAAGCGCCTTCAACATTCTTGATGTGCTTGAGGCAGTCTGACCTGACGAAGACCGACAAACTCGCTCCCACCAACTGACCACCTCTAAGGATGACGTACTCATCCTTCCTGTGTTTCTCAGCGTTGTTGTTTAAACACGCTCTGACGGCTTCTTCCCAAGCTTCGCGTCTGTCCGGGTCTGTCGACATGATTTGTTGAGGGCTTAATTCGACAATCTCTTGAAACCCTACAGCCACTATCTCGGGGCATTGTTGTGACGGGTCGACGTCCGGACATAGCCATGGTGAAAGATCGCTCTTGATGCCACTTGTCTTTCCGTTCAAATTGAAGGTACCGACCAGAATATTGATCATCTCGGTCTCTGAGTACTCTGCAGATCTTCGCGTAAGCTCCGCGACCACATAGTCGTTAAGTGGATCGTATAGATGCACTGGAACCTGGCCAATCAATCTTCCTAGGAGCATATCGATCGTGTTCTGTCGCCCTTTATCCGCAAAGTTGTTTATGTACATTCGAGTGGCGCTCTTACGAGCGTCTGCCAGAGCGCCAGCAAGCGACATCTTCCCAGATCGCGTAAATGAGGACTTCAGCGCTCCAGTACCCGCGTAGATCTTCGAAAGAGCATCGCCGCAGTCTGCCCACATACTTGAATGTCTGACCCAGAAGTCCTGACTGGCTCGAAGGCCCTTGTGACTCAGGAAGATCTCCAGGGCCATCTTGCTGATAATGGTTTGGACAAGATTCGTTCGATCAAGGCAATCCAGGCAGTTTGTTCTGAAGACACCCTCCTGTTGTAATATGCTCATTGTCCGGCGTACAGCGTAGTTTTCTCCATTGTGCCTAGCAACCTCATCCACCTCCTTAGAAAGATAGTACCCAAATCCTTCGGCAGAATCTTGGATCCACTGAGCAATCATGCTAGCCATCTCATAGCCACCTGGCCCCCGCGTTTCGGCATGGAAGTCATATTCCGTCAGCTTGATGAGATCGTGCTGGCGATCATTGAGGTCGCTCCCTTGATTTAGCGGGCTGTTTCTGACATGACCGCGATATCTATGCGTCAACTCTAGCTCGTTCTGTTTCTCGTTGCTTAGGAGATTGACGACATGAACTGTGCCGTAGCTCAGCTCCAGGTTGTCAAAGTGCTTATCGAAGGCGGGTTGCGTGGCTTCTGGTGACCGAGTGATGGTGATCTTTTGCTGTCCTGGAAGCAGACCAGCCTGCTGTTCCCAAAAGATGGGTACACTTCCTCGCACCTGCACGTATGAGAAACAGGCTCCGGAGGGCGCCCAATAGATTGTCTCGCTTTCGACAAAGTTTGCGACGTTCCCATCATCGTCGATACCTCGCGAGTTGAACCTTGTCCCTGCCCTCTTGCACGATAATCTTGAGATCAGCGTCATGGAAGATGGCATTCCCGAGTCTTGAACTCTGATAGGGGCGGAAGATTTGGGGATAGTGATGGTAAGGGCGAAACCCCGAATTGCAGATGTCAGAATCCCCGAAGCATCCAGAGCCTCCTTCTCTCTAAGCGCAAGGCGACTTCTGAAGTCTACCAGTGGCTGGATCATGTATGAGTTCCATAGAAAGCCAGCATCTAGGCTATCGATCGAAACGGTCGCGGCATCGGTCGTACGGTCTTGTAGTCGTCGGGTGAGGTCGAAGTCTGAGCTGTAGTAAAAGGTTCCACTACTGAGGATCTTCTTGAGCGCCAGGCACGGGTGTTCCATGGGCGATTGCTCTTTCCTACCACCAAAGCCCATTTCATATCCTTCATCGTCGATGGTGTCGGTAGGGTAGGGGTTGACTTCGTCGTTGAGCAGGGTGTCGTAGCTCGTGCTGGTTAAGCAGTAGAAGCCGACTGAGTGTATCCTCTGCACCGTCTCGCCAGGCCGTACCGTGGCCACCTTGCTCGCGCCATTGACGACGACTAGGAAGACATCACTATTCACAGTAATCAAGCCCAATGTGCCGTGTACTTGGACTGAGTGTAGCGCCCGGTAATCATCTAGCTCGATTTCCTCCAGCCTGGTGAACTCGACCATACAGCGCGCGACACCGGCGCCATTGCTCCCCAGCGACGTCGATGAGGCATTGGGATTGCCATTCTGCTCGGTGGTCGATGAGCTATGTCGGAGGACGAGTGCGTGCGTCGATGTGGCAAGGGCGATTGCGCGGTGTGGGTAATCTTTGATCAGGACGCGGATAGACATGGTCGGCGGTAGAGAGCGGCGGAAGAGGACTGCACGGGTGTTCCAATCATGTCCCGGATTTTGCCATGGGCCACAAGCAGTCGAAGCGTTTGCGCGAAGTAGGACGGTCGCGGTAAGTAAGCACGTGTGCTTTGACGGTTGTTCTCAGCTCACAGAATATTGTTGGCCTGGATCAATGCTGATCGCAACCCAGCATGTAAACCACTCGACTGGTGCCCGACCCTTTACAAGGCTTCCCTGATCATCGCTTACACCGGCAGCCGGAACTTGTCAATTGGGCTGATCAACATGTGGACCTGATTCTCTCCAGCTCGGAAAGTGCGGCGCGGACCTCTTCGCTGGTTCGTGCATGCTACTCAACATCACGGATGACCTCATAGCCACCGAGCATTCGGCCAGTTGAACGCGAAATGCTAGATTAAACACGGGAAAGAGCTATAGATAACCTCACCACAGCTACAAACAAATGCTACACATCCTTCAAGATTAGAGTAAAGGCACGAGACCGATCCTACGCCATCAGAACAATGATACCCCCCAAACATGACACATTTCTCTACTCGCATGCAGGCGGTCACCGCCTGCTGTACGAAACCCTAGTATTAGTTTCTCTGTCATCATAACCGCCACGGCTGCGACTGCGTTGCCTACTCCTATCCTGCCTTTGGTATCTCTCATATTGATCGCTCTCACTCGATGCAGGCTCTACATATCTGTAGTGCTCATAGCGAGGGTTCTCCGGACTATAGTTGCGCTCGCGCTCGCGCCTGACCTCGCGCTCTCTATACACATATTCGCTGCGCCCAGGGCTGGATGAGCGAGAGCTCATACTAGACCGTGGCGAGACTTCGACATAGTGTGCGCCGCCGTGGTGAGACTGGGCGTGGGTATGGTGCGATGAGATGTGGCTAGGCGGTGGAGGTGGAGCCGGCATAGGCGCCGGGGGTGGAGGCTGAACGAACATAGGCACAGGCTGTGGTGCGGGGATCTGAAGTGGCTTTGGCGAGGGCACTGAAATGTAGGATGCTGAAGGCCGTGGAGGAGAGTCGTGCACTATCTCAGTGCGCGAGTAGCGGCGTTCAATGTCGCGCGACTGGCGTGATGTGCGGCGATGCGACGAATGGCGGTTCTGCTGGACGACACGGTACGGGACTACATGGTCCTCTTCCTGCTTAACTTTGACCAGACACATGGCGCCGTCACTCTTGGTATGAGATGCGGTGATAGCGAACGCCCAAAAGTGGGAAGCTTCGATCGCGATCGCAATGTGATTCGTGCGGCGATCAACGTGGGGTTTGATCGAAGACGGGTCGGGGCGCACCACGAGTGAGTGTGAGAGGCCCTGCAACCGCAAGAGGAGCAAGAAGAGAGTGTAGACGAGCGCAAAGTGAGCGGCATCTCAAAAGTCGACCGAGACCATGTATATATCCTGGAGATTGGGCAGCCGATGCCCAGCCACACAGCTGACCCCCATGTCCATTCCATGCTGCTCCGCCTTGGAACTCAACATGCGAGTGTGACGACGAGGTCTGGGCTTTTCCCGACAGCTGAGTACTAGCGTGCCGGTCACCCTGGTTAGCCTCAGGTACGAGCCGCCATTGTCAACAAGCAGGGTCGAGTGAACAAACATCATATTTCAATTGCCATCTGCTCTCGTAATTATCATGCTGCATTCCACATACAACCATCAGACATGCCATCAAATCTCTTGTCCCAGACTATGCATACAGCGTTCAAATACGCTATTCACTCCTCCACACGTGCTCTACGACTGCCCGTCATGTTACTCGCTCTTAGGGTCAGTCCCTAGCGAGTTCCCCAGTATATTATTTTCTAGTATACATAGGACTCTCTGGGCGGGCCGGGCGGTGTAGGCTGTCTTCTCTCACTTCCCAAAGGAAAATGCTTGCCGAAGTCTGAACCATGTTTACCACTAATCGTCCATGGGCTTGTCTTCCAGCGTAACACCTCGTGGCGCAGTGTCTTCTAGCGTGACGCCTCTCGGCGCGATGTCTTCACCCCTCAGGCTACCAGTAGAGTCCCTGTTACCCCTCGTCAGGCTGCCTGCATGTTTTCGTGGGAAAGGCACCCGAGTGCTCGAGGGCGCTGGGTGCTCAGCAGGTGCAGGCGCGGCAGCAGGAGCAGGAGCAGTGGCAGCCTCTGTTGTGCCGTTCGTGGTTACAGGAGTTGTCTCGTGAGTAGGACTGTCGTCGCTTCCGGGCACCTCAAGCGAACCACGGTTTGTTCCGTTACTCCTCCGCGTTTCGGTGGGTGATGATGTGTTCACTGGGAATCGAGTTTGACTTCGGTCACGGCGATGTGAGCCAGAGACGCGCGAGCCAGGTGCTGGCGAAGTCGCCCGAGGAGAACGCTGAGCCGCGATGGCACGCTGGCGCTCCTCCATGTTTGCCCGTCGGTTACTCTCATCAGTTGAAATCGCCCGTGGACGCTGGGCGCCCGAAGCCGAGTGAGTGAGTGTGCTCGCGCGCTTCAACTCTCCGAAGATTGCATCCTTGTGTGCGAAAGGTCGCGGACGAGACGGTAGCTATAGCGCTCGTTCATCGTCAGACTTGATTCTTGTCTTGGCCTCAGAATGCATGGCGCAAGCGCATTGGCCAGTGCTGTAACATAAGTCTCGTCGGCCGAAGTCAGCTCAATGAGACGAGTGAAGTGGGTACAGATAGCGTCCAGCGTTGCGATGTTAGCGAGACGTAGTTGGCCAAGAGTAGATTGAAGAACAGAGACCCGAGTCTCTTCAGAAACATCCGTAGCGGTGGTGCTGTAGATAGTCTTGACAATTTCGTAGACGTGAGAAGAAACCAGTGAGTCTGGTATGGTTAGCTAAGGACTCGACATGCAGAGTTGTTACCTACCAGGTAGTTCCAAAAGGTAAAGCTTAAGGACACTAGCAACGATGGGTACGTCGTACTTCTCGAGTAGTTCATCAGGGAACCTCTTGCCAGTGTTGATCTCAGACCTAAGGGTGTGGGTTTGCGCCAGAGGGACGTCAACGAGCCAGATACCACGGCGAGCTTCGTCGCCCTCCAAGTCGGGATAGTGGTTGTCCAAGAATGTAAGGACAGTGGTAATGAGCACTGGAACACGCTTTTTGTCTGAGCGAGCCCGAGCCTCCAAGTCTACACCGAATGTTTGCTCTATGCGTTTGTCAGTATATTGTTGTAACTGGGCATGCAGTGCATCATACCGTCTACTGAGTTGTAGTAGTTCTCATAGGTCGTAACTCTAGGCACGAATGGCCCAGTCCTGTAGTTCTCGAGCATGTATCGGAGATCACCTAGAGGCTGAACGGTCTCTTGGAACAGCATCATCTTGTCGACGGTGCTCTGTAGACTAGGAATGACGTTGCTGACAGCACCAGAGAAATCCAGGATGACCGCCTTGATGGCCTTCAGCCTATCCAGTTCGCAACGCTCCATAAATTTGAGGTGATCCACCATAGCCTCTTCCAGATTGCAGCGTAGGGAGTCAAGCTTCTTGACAGAGGCCTTGTAGCGCTCATCTGACTCGTGAGCCTCCCTCCTAAGTCTCTCTGCTGGTGTCTCGTTCGGGTACTGGTTGTTAAGTGGGTTCCATCCCTGGAGGTATTCCTGCACGGTTGAGACGGGTGAATCAACAGCAATGCTGTCAGCTGACGAGGCCGACATGGCGGTGGAAGATCGAGCCAGGGGCTGCTTCTTCTCAGGCAGTCCAGTAACCTGGAACGTCTTGGGCTTCCATTGGTAGTTCATTCGAGAGCTGTTCGCGAAAGTGTTGCCGACATTGCCGACTAAGCGCAGGAAGCCATGTGCTACGAGGTCCTGACCAATGCGCTCCGCATAGCTCACTGTGGTGGCTGCCATGTGCTTCTGGATGTATTCGGTGATGTCGGCACCGCTTGAGCAGTTTTGGTAGGTACCGAGGATGGGAACCTTGACCTCCGCGATCTTGATGTTGTCCAGCATGTGCGTGAGTATCTTCTTGACCTGGTCGGGCTGGTAGGTTTCGTCACCAAGATCGATGGGCTCTTCTTCTTCGTTCTCTGGCTCAGACATCTTTATGGTGGGCACCTTCATCTTGGGGCTCTGTGCGGCCTCGCTTTGGGGGTCCTGGAACGCAAGCTTATCCTCCTCCTCCAGATCCTCGACGAGGCGGCACTTGTTGTAGTATTGTGATCGGTACTTGCGGACAGCATCGGCTTGTCGGTCATGTATCTTGATGCGCGATTGAAGATCATCCTGGGAGTTTTGCACGCGGGCAGCATGCGCATCGCACCAGCGACCGAAGGGGTTTACAACGAGTTCTCGGATGTTGGATGCGATCTTCTTGTGGTTGGCGGCCGCTGCCTCCATCTCGGTGCGCACGCCCTCGTAGGCCTAGTACTCGTTAGCCTGGAGTTGTCGCCATGTCTCCTGCTGACGCACCTTGCGCACGCTTGCGCCCTCATCTCTGCTGAAGCCCCCGCCTATGCGATCTGTGGCTGGTGTGATGGCGGACAAGCTGCTTCCATAGGCCTCCTCGGCATCGGCTCGCATGCGGGCAACAGTCAGAATCTGTTGGTTTTCCTGGACCCCCTGCTGCAGCTTTCCAAAGAGAACGCCGAGGCCTGGGAGAGTCAGCCAAAGTGGGGTGGTGTTGTGTGCGGTTGCAGCTCTTACCTCCGGCATAGTCGCTCGACCAGAAGGACGCCGCGAAACCAGTCGTCATGGCGGCGTGTGTTGGTAGAGTCGCCCAAGTGATGGCTAATGTGGGGTATCAAAAGAAACGACTAAGTTAGGTACGGGTGTGGTCGTTCAACGGCCGTAGTAGTGAGCGCGCGGAGAAGATAAGTCTGGGGAACACGCAAGCGCAGGCCCAGTGACAGACAGAGCGGCGGCGTATGTGACGTCGCACCAACGAAGAAAGGACTCGGGTGACAGGACGGTGCAGGTGGCGTCTGGGGAATTGAAAGCAAGTCGAGCAAGTCGAGACTGAGGCACGTCAGGAGGAGGGTTTTGCAGGCCGCAGCTGGGGCAGAACTGGCAGAGCTGAATGATGTCTCATGTACCCCTGCGTGTGGCCGTTTGTCGTGACAGCCCTGGCACCGTTAGGCAAGCCTACCAATCTTGTGAGCTCCCGACATTTCGCCTTTAGCGGACGATATAAATATCAACACAATTCACCGACCCCGAAGCGCGGCCCCTGCATACGAAGTAGACTAAAGCTAGAGCCACGCGCCTACTACCGTCTACTGTATGCATCATTGCCGTGCTAATGCTGTCGCGCCCAAAAGTCGACACATCCATCACTTGCACCCTCGATTACATACACAGGCAGTAATCTGCGGAGCGCCGTCATCACTGCCCGACCGCCCCTGCACGTGCTCGTGGTCGTAACCTTGATTACCCAGGTTTCGGAAGCAGGTGCATCCAAGAGACACACCAAAGCCTGTTCGGCGTGGACCCTACCTCTGTTAACCATTCATCCGTCTTACTGTACGCATACATCGCCTTGGCCCTTCCAGGTCAGCCCCGCCATCAAAACCCAAGCTTCGCAGGGGAACCGAGATCTCGCTCGGCAAACGCTCCCGGTCCGCGCAGCACGCTTCCTTTTCCATCATGGCTCCAGCTGCCTTTGATGCCAACACACAGCTCAACTATGCTCGCCACATCAAGTACTGGCGGCGAAATTTGAAGACTCTGCTGCCGCACTTCTACACCAGCAATGACTCCAACCGCATGCTCTTGGCCCTCTTCACTGTGTCTGCCCTCGACATTTTGGGAGATTTAGACGCCGCTTTGTCAGCCGAGGAGCGGCAAGGCCACATTGATTGGGTCTACAGTTGCCAACTGCCTGAAGGAGGTTTTCGTCCATGGCCAGGGTCCAACTATGGCGAGCTCAGAAGTGAAGAAAACAAAAACTGGGACCCTGCCCACATTCCTGGAACTTTCTTTGCGCTCCTTACGCTGGTCGTGCTGGGAGATGATTTAGAGAAGGTGAAGAGGAAAGAGATTCTGATATGGCTGGCTAAGATGCAGCGACCAGAGGGCAGCTTCGGAGAGACCTTGGGCGATGGTGACTATGTTCATGGCGGCAACGACTCAAGGTTCGGCTACATGGCTACAGCTATTAGATGGATACTTCGAGGCGACCTAGAGGGACCTTGTGAAGGCGTACCCGACGTAGATGTTGACAAGTTTGTCACTTGTGTTCGACAAGCAGAGTGCTACGATGGAGGTATCTCCGAGGCGCCCTATCATGAGGCACACGCTGGCTTCACCTGCTGTGCCATCGCTGCTCTGCATTTCGTCGGTCGTCTGCCCTTACCACCGTCGCAAAAACCGGACGGTCTCATCCGTGGAGTGACCGACGTTCCAAAGACCCTGCACTGGCTTGTCTCAAGGCAGACTCTGACGCTGGACGAGGATGATGGTCTTGACACCTTGAACGACGAGACAGATACATCAGAAACGTGCCATGACGCGCATACGTTTGTCAAGTTGGGCTCCCGTCCATCCGCACAAGCGAAGTCAAACATCAAAGGACGACCCCATATCCACTTTGAACTGGAGTGGGTGGGAGTGAATGGTAGATGCAACAAGGTAGCGGATACATGTTACGCCTATTGGACTTCTACACCTTTACAACTCCTTGGTCATCTGGATATCATCGATCGGCAACCCATCAGGAAATGGTTGCTAGACAAGACGCAGCATCTCGTAGGAGGGTTCGGCAAGGTCACTGGAGACCCACCGGACATGTACCATTCTTTCCTAGGCCTCATGGTCCTTGCCATGTTTGGAGAGACTGGTCTCCAGGACGTTGACTCGGCGCTGTGTATCACACACAAGGCGAAGAAACACCTAGAATCGCTTTCGTGGAGGAGGAAGATCCTCGGGATGGACAACTCGCATAACAGCACGCAAGTCCCGTTGCAAGAAAGCATAGGCCTGACTGGCGACAAGACGCAGATAGACGCATAGATTGCTGGAAATTGTGGCAAATAACGTGCATCGCCGTCGAATATTGCATCAAACCTTATCGGTCTCTATGCTCCTTGAAACTATGACATCCACCTCTCAGTTTCTTGGGAAGGCAATCAGGCTGTAAAATCATGTCTTGATGTATCACAATCTTGCGTCCATGGTAGACCCTAGTCGGTGTAGCGCCAAAATACCTCGGCCCCACCTAAATTCCTAAGATCCCTGTCCACCCAGGTAATTTTCCCAAACTCCGACACCTGCTTTGCGAACACCAGCGCCAGCGACAGCGACAGCACCAGCCAAATCACTCTCAGCCCCGCACTCGACACCACACTTGGCACAAGCTGCAACCATGAGGAACATGCCGCCGCCATCGAAGAAACGCAAAATCGCCGTGACAGTCCCCGAAAAGATCGAGTTTGACTTTTCCGCGCGCGAAGAGTACCTCACAGGCTTCCATAAGCGCAAACTTGCGCGGATAAAGCATGCACAAGAGGAGAATGCTAAGAGGGAGAAGGAGGAGAAGCTGAGGTTTAGGCGCGAGGTAGGCTATGACTCCAGTTCCAGCCTTTCTCAATGTTGCGTGACAGGCACTTTCACGTCTTGTCGCATAAATACACTTTTTGGGTTGCACCATAGACAAAGATGCTAACAACACGTCAAACTATAGCTCCGAGAACAGCGCAAAGTCGACCTAGAGAAGCACGTCGAAGAAGTAAACCGACTCGTCAAGCAAGCAAATGGCGATCTGGACGACATCGTTACGGGCGAGACATCCGCCGACGATGACGACGACGACGAAGAAGAATTCACAGGCTTCCAAGAACCAGAGCCCATCAATCAGGAAGACGAGTACGTCGACGAAGACAAATATACAACCGTCACCATAGAAAGTGTTGGCATATCTAAAGCGGGCTTCTCGAGACCAGGCGAGGAGGACGAGGATGCTGCTGCGAAGAGAAAGGCCGAGGAGGAGAGGAAAAGGCAGAGGAAGAGGCAGAGGGCAAGAAGAGGGTGTGGACAAAGGCTTGGCGAAGAATAGTGAGAGGCCTAAAAAGAAGAAGAAGAAGTTTAGGTATGAGACCAAGACGGAGAGAAAGGCTGAGCGCATGAAGCAAGGTTTGAAGAAGAGGAAGCAGAAGGAGGCCAGAACGAGCAAGTAGACGCAGTCGATGCAAAGTGCACAGAAGTTGAGAAGCTGTACACATCGATATAATGATACCCTTTCATGAGACTTGGAGTACAAAATCCGCATATCGGCGCGTTGGTTATGTCGTGATTCTGCTACGATCATCTCAGACAGCCCGGTTCATGATAGCGTGGTGGGTCATACACCGCTCCTTTGTTTAACTTTGTCAATCCCAATAATGACATGTGAGTACCAAAGTGAATGGTTTGTTGTCAGGAACCGCCAATGTATTCGCTCAGGGATTATCTAAAGCGAACAAGCCCGCCCAGCAAGCAGCCGCAGGAAAGAAAACAGATATATAGGGGTAGTGTAGGGGTACGGGGGGGAATGTGATGTGAAATCTGCCTCTTCTCCAAGCTCCACCGCATGCCGTAGTATCATCCTCCACCGCTACCGTCGCCGTTCATGTTGTCGCACGCGCTCGAAATCAGGATCCGCAGAGGGACGACATCGAAGCTCGACTCAGAACTCGACTAAATACAGTCAACAACCGCAAAAGAGAGACGACAACGAGATCAGATGTTACCGATCTCCTTGACAAAGTCGTCGAGCTCCTTCTTGGTGTCGGCGTATTTCTTGGCCATCTCCTCGTACTTGGTTTCCCACTGGTCGCGGGACTGCTCGAGGGCTTGGACTTTGCGTTCGTAGTGGCCGGACTTGACGTCGGTTTGGCGGAGCCTGGCGGGTGACGTGTCAGTGGATGCAGATCAGGGGTAGTAGATAGTGGATAGGGACAGCGGTAAACGCGGTGAAAGCAAGAAAGGAGTGAACGTACTTCTCGTTGAGCTCGCGGATCGTCCTGTCCGATTCCTCAGCTTCTTCCTCGAGAACTTGGATCTTGCGCTGGAGGCTCTCGGCTTGGGTGCCAGCCTGAGCACCTGCACCAGCTTCGTCCTTGTGGATCTTGACTTGCCCCTCAAGCTTCTCAACCTCGCTCTCAAGCACAGAGTTCTTGTGCGTCAGCGAAGTAATCTCCTGCTCCTTCTGTGTTGTCTCGGCTTCAAGGCGCTTGACAGTTGCCTTGAGCTCCTCGGCGCGGGCGCTGCTCTCATCCGCCTCAACGCGGAGAGCTTCCATGCGCTGTAAAAAGTGGCATGTCAGCGTCTACTTTTGTACAACTGATGTGCATTGTGGCGTCGGGTACAACTGGTACCAAAGAAAGGGGATTTGGCGGGGTATGCGTGGACTCACCTTCTTGATCTGATCCATAGCTGCTGGAGGTGTGTAGTGTGGGGTAGAGAAGGGTGTCTGTAGTGTGTTTACAAGTGAAGAAAGGCCGACAGCTGCAGGCTATGTAGGGATGTGGTGCAGCGCAGTGTTGGAGAGTGGTTGTTGTATGAGAATTGCCCGGGTGTGCAAGCTGATAATGCGGGCAGGCGCTGCCGAAAGGGACTACCTCCGCCCGGACCCTTTCCAAAGCCCAGACCCTCTTTCCTGCCGCCCTAGCAACCATTGGTAAACATAGGCGAGCATCGCATACCATCGTCGCCATTACGAGATAGGAATAAACCACACCGCACACGACTCGCTCAATGTAACGCCCATAATGGCTACTCTCGCAGCAAACGATCAGGAGAACGCCGTCCGCCATCTGCACGCCGGCGCTGCGGGAAAGTCGCTCAATGCCGGCCTCAAGAGCTTCAACGCCAAAACACCCGGAAACAAAGCCCCGAAGACGCCTTTCAAGATCCCCCTCAACGACGAGAATGCCGTGGGCAGAGCTGGAAACGCCAAAGGCAAGGGAAATGATCTCTTCACCACCAACAAGGGCGGAAAGATAGACGCGAATGCCTTTGTTACACCAGCCGGTAAGCATAGCGACGACAGACTGCCCAAGACGACAACTGACGTGTTAAGGTCCGCGAACTCGCGCGCCGCTGGGTATGAAGACGACCAATGCCAAGTCTAGGGCCTTTGCAACTCCAGCGCCTCTTTCCTCCGTTGGAAAGACGCAGAAACTGAGCCCTCGCATGCGCCGACCCAAAGTGAAGATCCACCAACCCGAAGTCGCCCAAGAGGATGAAGATGACGTGCCTGAGATTGAGTACATGCCACCCAAGGAGATCCCGCTCGAAGATGACATGGACGAATACCTCCCCAAGAACTGGACCATTCCCAAACTCAGTAATCAGGATATGGTCCGCGGCATCTGGCAAGCCTACCACAACCCAATCGAGGACGACGGAAGGACCCGTGAGCAGCGCAAGTTTGAGGAGGAGATACAGCAGGGTCGCAAAAAGCGCGACGAGCACATGGAGAAGGTCCTTGCCGCACAGATGGCTAGGAATGATGCTGAGACTAAGGAATACTACGGTATCAAGGAAGCGAAGAAGGAGGCACCCAAGGCACCCGTTGCACTTAGGACGAGGATGACTGGGCCATCGACTATGCGAGCCAGGTCTGCAGCTGCCGCTCTCTCTCCACCATCCAAGCCTAGCTACGCCGCTCCCGCTGCAGCTGTAAAGTCGCGCGTGCCCACTGGACTAGTCGCAAGCAGGAAGGGAGCAAAGACACCCACGGAGCTCTCAGCATCTCGTCAAGCGTCTGCTGCAGCAGCTTCGAAAAGCACCATCGGCTACGCTCAAGGCCGCGCCGGACGCGCTGCTCCAGCTGCTCGCAAGCCTCTCTCCAACGTCACCAAGCCTGCTCCTTTCTCCGCTGCTTCTCGGCCCGCCTCCTCCACTCACATCCGCAGTGCGAGTACCAACACTGGTACTATACGGTCTCGCGGTCCCATGTCTCGTTGCAGCTCCACCGCCACCGACGCTACACTCGTCGCACCTTCAGAGGAAGAGCAGCCCCGCCGCACAGCTGAGGACCTCGAGCGTGAGATGGAACTATTACTTCTCTCCCGCTCAGACGACGAGGACGATGATGCATGGATGAATAGCTTCAACAACCAGCTACATGGTGCAGATCCTCTCGAGGAAGATCATGAGAACTTCCAGCTTCAGCTCCCTGAAGGTCTCTAGATCTTAAACGCTGGATGAGCTGAAGGATTCGGCATGAGCTCTTGAGTCATGTTTGCGGATGTATTGTAAATGGGTCTTGGAGTACCGGTATTGGATACCTCTTGTTTTTATTCGTGAATGATTATCTGTGTCTGCATGGCTAGCACGATGCATTAACGTGCGTAACACATAGTATAACTGTACTTTTGTAACACTAGACGCCTCACTGTCACTACTGCATATTATTTACTTCTCAAGTCACGTCTAGTACCACATCATCATGGTGAACTGACTGTTTGTTTAACAATAGCATTTGGTTAGAGTATAGCAAACGACGACCAAGGAAGCACCAACCCCGCTAGTCTCACCAACCGTTTGCCATGCCTTTATCCATGCACGTGTTCTTCTCTCCACTCCATTCCCCATGCATCCAGATTTTATGTGACGAGAAACTGTGGAAGAAAAAAGATAATGGAAGGACAAGCTCCCATGTCCATACAAACGGGACTAGGATGCGCGCTTCTGGAAAATCCCCATGAAGAAACACCGTCGATGCGCCATGCTGCTAAAATCAAAAGAGACGAAAATGTGACGTAGTGAACCTGGTCGTCGAGAATCGCCGCGTGTACGAATGCTCGTGATATAGTCGTGAGAGTGGACTGAGTTTGTGGATGCAGTATGTGGTTGTGTGGATTAGATTTACTTTCTTCTTCGCTGCGGTTATGGCGCGCGAGGTAGCGTGTAGTGAAGGCCTGGTGGACTGCAGTACGTTTCCGTATTAACACTATGTAGAGATGACCTCATCCACAGCATAGAGATTCTGGTTAAGGATCTTGTTCATGGTGAACATGTGAACGCGGTCCTGTTTGAAGACTGCGCGCATAGCATCGTCGCAGCGGATTTGACGCTTGTCTGCAGGGTCTTGCAGGTCACGCTCTTTAACGTACTCCCATATCTTCTTAACCGTCTGTGGACGCGACAACTGGGTTTCGCCAAGGAGCTCGGAGAGGGCTGGAGAAAGAGCCATCGGTTTCTGAAAGAGCAGTTAGCTTTGACTCGGGTAGCGGTGTAGATTGAGGGGAATTAACTGACATGGAAACCTCCTTTCCGACTTGGGCTCTTCTTTCTCCTCCACTACCTGACGCAATGTCGCTGTCATCTTCATCCTTGATCCGGGTTGAGCTCTTCTTCTTAGTCTTGGGCTTCTTCGGCGCGGGTGCTTTCCGCTTTGTGTTCCCACCACGTGTCGCCCTGCCCATGCGCGCGTTCTCCTCGGCCTGTAACCTCGCCGCGAAAGCCGCATCATCGTCCTCGTCCTTGACTTTGGTCTTCTTGACCTTCTTCTTAGGAGGTGCAACATCTTCGACCTCAGACAGCGCTGACTCGTCACCGGGCGGCGATCGCTTGTTGTGGGAGACGTCCGAGGTATCATCATTCGAAGTCTTTGCGCCGTTTTCAACTGTAGGTATGGGTTCAGAAACTTCGGATCCGCCATTCTGCTCGTTGTTGAACTTGTCGAACCGCTGCATAATGAGCGTAGTGATTTGCTCCTGTTTGTTCGTCTCAGTTTATGCCATGGTATGCCATGTCGAGCTTCAAACCTTCTGCTTGGAAAGGTCATCCTCGACTCTTTCTTGTAGACCCTTCCGTATGCGCTTTGCAGAGATGGTATTGATGTCGCTGGCGCGTAGGATCTCGTCGATGATGACCGAGTAGGAAGCTTCCACTTCGGCGGGGAGGGGCTCTGATGCGACACGTTAGAATATAAAGATACGCGTAGCAGGCTTCGAGTGGGTACTTACCTGTCATGGCTGCGATGTTTCCTTCCTTCACAGCAAGAGCTCCTAGAATTAGTGGTCGCAAGCTTGAGTGGTGATCGCTGTAAGGACCAGTCCCAAGTCCACCAAGTATTGTGGAGCTCAGGTACAGCTCCGACCTTCGTGATGGCTATGTCGTGCAAACAACCGCGGCTGGTACCAGCGTCTTGGAACCGGAAATGGGAGGTGTGGTATAGGCCTAGAAGATTTGTATCGAGTGTCGCGTACGGCGGGCGTGTCGCCGGTCTCTCACTTAGCGATCAGCAATCGTTGTCGCGTTGTAAACTCCAAAAGGTGAGAGACAGCCAGCGAATGTGCAGCCGAGTTAGGTCGGGCGCCTCAAAGCGGTAGTTCCGACGTAGTGGGGTCCAGTCAATAGAAAGCGACACTAAACTGCAGTCGGAAGAGACTCAAATGTAGAAGATGATTGCAGGGTAACTTGGGTGCTGTCGCGGAGATGAACAGGGCAAGAGAATAGGCACTAAGGTTCATCGATCGTTGCAGTATGCGCGATGAGGTGTGAAGTTGAATGCACGGGCGCGGTCTAGCTCCAGGTACGGCGCCGACCGTGGAGGCTGGGGAACCACGACCATCTAAGTAGTTCAATCCGACAAAGAAAGCCAACCCAGACGGTCTTGTTCGTCTCCTCCAGGTCGCATAAGCAACGTACAGTTGTCAAAGAAATGCTTTTTGGTTTATGCATCGCATTTACTGCACCGTCAGCGGACTGCGCATTCGTCGAAAGCGGTAATCTATGTATGCCACTAGTCGGGGCCGAACAAGCCTCGTTTTCCAATCATGCCAGTCGACGTCACTGGACGATCCTAAACAAGTTCACATGACCAAACACCCCACCCCGTACATCTGCTTCTCCACAGCACCCTTGATTTGATACCAATCCGCTCTCCTTTCAGCAAACTCGTATACTTCCTCTGCCCGGAATATTCCATGATAGCGATCCGTGTCTGCAATAATCGTAGCAATCTCCTTCGCTTCCTTTGCGTCGATGAGATATATCTGGGAGAGTTCGCGGAGTGCGGCGAAGTACTGCATAAGAGGCTTGTTGCGCAGCGAGACAATGTAGGCGTTGTAAGCATTCATGTCACTGTTGGAGTCAGTTACTGCTCGTATGCCTTATGGAATATATGCCATACCTGATGAGTTTGATGGCACCGTCCACACTGATTCTCTGGCGTTTCAAGTGCTTGCAGAGAGCAGTGAACAAGCGCACACCCACTTCTTGGTTGAAGACATCTAGGACGTTCTTGTCTGTGCTACCGATGAGCATGTTTGTATGTGACGAAACAACTTCCACAATCTTTGTAGCTGTCTGGCTGGGTCCAATGTCGGACATCTGCACTTGGCCGTTGGGCCCTACAGGAGGGTTGAAATCAGATGGATGCTGGGTAGTGCCGCACAAATACTCTACTTCGTCCATCAGCACATCGATACCTTTGTTGAGACCGGCAGCGACCCGTTCATCCAACATGGCTTCGAAGCGCTTTTTTTCCTTGGCTGCAAGACTGAGGAAATCGTCGCGGTCTGTGAGGTTGGCGGCTACAAGCTCCTGGAGGTAGAATACCTCGACCATTTGCTGTATCAAGTCGCCAACGTTGACAAGCTCCAAGAAGGCAACCAGCGGTGCGACACCCTCTTTGCTATGATCGGCAACTTCTCTTGGCTTATAATCAGCCAAATGACTGACAGCCTTGTCGAATCCCAACTTCATGTGACGATTGCCGAGAATTTGAACCAAATTGATGAAGATTTGTTCGGATTGCTCTTTTGCCTCTTCACCAGACTGTCCACCAAGTCTAACGAATCGCGCAGCCCGTTCCAACCCAGACTTGGCCATGTGTGTGAGGTTCAGCGCCACCTCGATGCTAAACAGCGACCTGATACCTTCCAAACGAGAGTTCATGATGGCTGCTTTAGCGGCAAGCTCGGTCGTCGGGGCTTCGATTCGTGGTGTAGGCGATCGATCGCCAGGGCCTGGAGTACCAATCCTTGAAGAAGGCTCCAATGTAGCACTGCCATTCATTCCAGGTGCACTTTCGGTTGGCTTACTAGTACTAGACCCGCCGATAGTGGGGAGTACGCTGACGGGCATCATAACCACCTTCTTGAACGATGACAGAAAGTCTTGTTTAACAGCTTTCCTGTTGACGTTCGCCATGTATAGAGTTTCGGTGCTTTGCTCTTCTTCCATTAGTCGCTTCTCCCAAAGATCGACCTCTGCTGCCGACTTTCGCTTAAAGTAATCTAGTTCCTCCTGTAGATAAAGGTCGATGTGTTGCTCGAAGCAACGAGACACGATGCGCATCGCCTCTTCTCTAAAATCGGGCTTGGATGCCTTGGTAGGATGCAAGGAGACTGCGAGTTGAAGCGCTTGCTCGTAGACACCTGCAACCGCTTTGAGGTACGCTTCAATGCTTATATCGTGAGCCTCGTCAAACAGAGTTGTGAGGTATTCGGCAATGACATCGTCCGCAACGCGCTCGAAGAAGGTTTGTAGCACGTCAACAGTGGGTGGGAAGACGCGGTCGATGATGCCTGCTTCTTCGTTGAGTGCACTCGCCAATCCTCTGAAAAACTCGTGGGATGGTTCCAATGTCAAGACTTCGTTGCGCAGGCAATCTGCAGGGTCACCGAGCTTCTCTTTTTCCAACATCAAAGGGTGGTTGTGAATAAAAGAGTCTAAACATGCCGCGCCTCCGTTCAGGGCCACCAAGACTGTAGCAAATCTCTTCATACGACCATCAAAGTCTTTTTCCGCGTAGCCTTGCTCGAACTCTCTGAGTACAGCGTTCTCAAAGATGCCAGTCATTGTATCCAGCTTCTCCTCCCGCTGGCCCCAACCTTGCGCATAATCGCTCTTTGCAAATATCTTGAGCTGCGCCAGCATTTGTGCCTGTTGCTCGGGATCACGGTAGGTCCGAAATAGTATGGGATCTGTGTGACTTCTTGATCTCTCCAAGTCGTAATAGAATGGGGCCAGCGCTCCATAGACCTTCCCATACTCTTGTCGTGCCATGCCTCTAATAGAACGCACATTCGACAGAACCTTTACAGCCGCCTGCGGATCCACGGTGTACGAGCTTGGGGCCAGCGTTCCAGATGATGATAGGGTCATATCATTGAAGCCCTTGTCCAACGTAGTAGACCGTGGTCTATTTCTGTGTTCCTGTGACTTCCGCAGCATATCCTCCTCTATTGTGGCATCAAAAAGCGTCATGCTGGTCTTTCCAGGTATGTCGTCCCCTGGGGGCATCCCGTTGGTGCTGCCATTGAGTGCAACACCAGATCTACGGGCCTCCTCCGCTCTCTGTGCCTCTAACTTTTTCCGCCTTGATTCGTCAAATCTACGCTTTGCTTCCGCTTCGTTCCAGCAGCCCATGGTTCTAAGTCTTTGTATCCACCTCGTGTCATCGTATACCATCTCCCGCATACGTCTCGAGGTGCGTGCGAAGCTGAACATGTCGGCAATGGGTAGGTAATCGAGGATCGCATTGATGAGCTCTGTGGCTTGTAGTCAGATACATGATTTCGAATACAACTGAGTTCATACCGGCAGGTAACACAGCTTTGGAATCATCATTCACCAACTGCGTCGTTCTTAGCGACGCGAGGACGGACTGCTGTGTCTGGGGCACAGCCCGCTTGAAGTTGGATTTGGTCGCCATTATTTTGTACTGAGGTAGAGACTGTGTTCGTTAAGTTTGAGTGAGCGTGTTTCCCATTATTGGAGTTCAGTGATGCTCCGCGTGGTTGCTGCGGGGCGAGGGCTGTTCGAAGCGTGGAGCAATGACCGCTGGCGTTTGGCGGCAGGGTCCCGTAGATCCAACATGGCGCAACGATTGATCGCCCGGCAGCTAGAATCTGTCTACGACAACACGACGCAAAACAAAAAAAGTCGAGATTGAATTCATTCACTGGGCAAGTTTTCAACTCGGCATATTGTAAGAACCTGGGTGAGAGAGGTTGTTACACTTCATGGTCCAAAGCATGATGTCGAGCGTGCACGCGATCTCGAAGCGGAGCGCAAAACAACACGTAGAAGGTAAGCAGGTCATTACGTGCGGCTGCAGCGTCCGCTATAGTAAAACATAAGGACGCATAATTCTACCGAGATGGGCTTGTACACATAAAGCCGTCGAGATGAGACTTTCCATAAGGCGAAACCCAATGCCCACACATATGCAATCAGTCGCGGTGTCAACCTGAACTGTGTACCTAGTATGCATCGTAGCCGTGCGCAGAGAGGATAAGTTGCCCTGTTCGCGAGATGAGTGTCTCTGAGAACAGAGTCTAGGCTCTTTGATGTTCAACACATGCATATACTACGTAGTACAAGCACAACGCAAATCATGAGTTACAGCCAAGCTGCTTGCCTCATGGTCTGGCATTACTCAAACTGGCCCAAAGTCTCCCCCAGCCAAGACTTTTCGTAGTTGAGATCGTCGCGGATCTTGTTGCTATTGTAGGATGAGGCGCGCGTGGTACCCGAAAGGTTATAGCCCCTGGGCTTAGAGGACTACCACCGTCTTTCATGCTCGACTCAGACTTTGTGTGCTCTGGCTGTGCAGCCGAAGCTGAGTGGCAATCTGGGAGGACCTCGGAGGCTCTGTTTGTGTTGGTTGCAAGCAGAGGCTCAGAGGTCCTTCAGTAGGCAAAAGAGGTCCTCCTGTCAGGGGCACTGCAGGGCGACCTGTAGGGCTTTCCCAGACATATTGTTACAATGACCGAGTGGTTGAGTATTATGTGCTGATGATTGGTGAAGGGCGCTGGGGCGCAGCCGGGCACATTGAGAGGGCGCGACCACTGGCGACGCGACGACGCGTAAAGTTCCCGGTCTCGTCCACAACCACTTGTGCAGCCTGTCATCGGCAAAAGGGATGAAACGGAGAGACCCTGGCTGGCTGTCTCTCTGGCTGACGAAGGCTCTTGAGACGTCAGTGTGAGCACACTCCAGGCCTGTACCTGCGTCTCCGAATGCGGGCCGACGGATCCAGACCTAGCGCGCACTGGCGGCGTGGCTCGATTGAACGTGACAGCGTGTCTGGGAGCCGCATCCGAGAAGCCTCGTGATTTTGTGTGGCCAGCGCATGTGGCTCTGGTGGACCGCCCATGGTCTGAGACGCGGTGACGCGCTGTCCCTATGACGGCATAACGGGTGTTCGGCGAAGCACAAAGAAGGCGTCTAGAAACCGCTTATGAAAGGTTGTGAAAGGGTGGTGCTGGGTTCCGGGCCTCGATGCGCAGGGATGTGGAGAGTGAAGCAGCGAATGGGTTCGGCTTCCGCAGCTTCTAGTCCCCCAGGACCTTCCTCACACACGCGCGACAGCTTATGTTATCAGGCACGGATGCCAGGCTTGTCGACGACTCTTTGAGACACTGGGTCGGCGAGGCGGATGCACGATTGGCTGTTTCACGCTGAATTGTGGGCTTGACAGCTCTGTCCTGTTCCATCCCCTTTCAGACGCCGTCCAAGAGTCATCCCAGAGAAGCAATGTGCAATTGCTTCACTTCCAGTTGGCTGTGCTTGCTATACGTACCGAAGGGCCACGTACTGGGACTGGGTGCCCTTCTGGCCCGTCCGTTGCCCCGTGGATCATGGAGGACACGGCCAAGGTAGACGTCAGTATCATGAGTTACTGGAGGACCATGACTTCAGAAGTTAAATATATATGTCCCAGCTATCGGTCCACTGTCACAAGTACCGACACTTCTGTTGCACCGCTACCATACAAAGCCGCGTTTGTGAATCTTAAAGTCTCACACATAGTCTCACTTCTACCCACTCTTAAGCACACCTGCACCGATCCGAACACCGTCCCATAACACAATCAACACTATCACATCCACATCGACATCCAAATCCAGCAATATGTTGTTCGCCATCTCCAGACCCAAAGTCTCTGGTGAGGGTCAGCCCGGTGATGGTGGTCGTAAGTCATTCCCAAAAGTATGGTTGTGAAGTTCCGTTGCTGACTGCCACAACAGGCAAGCCGCTACTCTCCTCCGACAAATGAAAGAAAGGCTGCGCCTTCTCAACCAATCAACCATCACCACCACCAATCTCCAGCATCTCGGGCACGCCATGCGTTTTGTTTCGAAAACCGATTTCGCATTCATCACCACGATCGAGAAAAAAAAGCAACTCAGCATGTTACAGTGCAACAGCGTCGCTTTTGTCGCGCAACCCGGCAGTCGTTCCCCTGGCCCCCAGCTACCCTGTTAGCCGGTCCAAGATGCACCATCGTCAAGATGCGACTGCGAGGCGCAGCACCGCTGCGTCGACCGATTGGGAGAATGCTGCCACGGGCTGTGTTTTTACTCCGGTGAACAATACTGGCACAAGAGTCATCGAAAACACGACCAAGGCGACTTGGAGGTCCCGGGGCTGCTACTTATCGATGCGGCCAAATCGCGAAGATGCCTGGAGTTTGCCTTGAGTGCGCCGTGTCCGCAGTGTGGCTTTGGGGTGCGGCTGTGCAGCACATGTGCTCACCTCTTCACCAGCCTAACTAGGCACCAAACATCGGTTCACCATTTACGGGCCCCCAATGGCCACTTTTCTGCCTGGAAATACTGCCCTGGCCCGTAAATCGAGTCCCTCACCGTGGCTCTGCTGGTGAAGGGCGGTGACTAAAGGAGTCACCTTCGGGGTAGACAGGGCTTTTAGCCTTCTAGAAGGACGCTAGAACGAGTTGCAGCCTGGTTGTCGCCTTGTTCGTCAGGATACACCCAATGAGCATTTCCATTTCACTTTTAGTGGCGCAGTCATGCTTCTTTTGACAGTCAATTCAATCACCGGAGCGGATTAATCTCGACGGTTTCTGCGTCATAGCCTGAAAGAAGGCAGTCATTGCCTGTTCCTGGACGGGATCTGAGGCTACGACAGGCCTCAGGATGTAGATACTTATACAATGAAAGCGCCTCTGAGGTGTGAGACATCACAAACCACAATCCAACCTTGAAATCTGCCTGCATATCACATACGAACCACAGCCCGCAACCTCCAGCAACATCTGTCTATTAAGACACACCACCCAAAACACATACGCTACCATCACACCCACCACTACCACCACCACCATGAGACTGCTTGAACTGAACAACGACCTCACCTACTCCGAGCCCCAACCCCGCGACGGTGGAGCCCCGAACCCAAGCGCAAGATCATCACCCTCAATGTCTCTTTTCAAGGCACCAAAGGATGGCTCGCAACCTCGTGACGGAGGTTAAGGACCTTGGAGTCGACTTCAGTATGTATAATACTTCGTACTCTGCACCATGCTCAACCTACTAACAAGACTCAGATCATATCTCCAAACCTTCACTCAGCTGAATGATGCGACCCCATCCTACCATCTCCTCCAAACGGAGTCGGATCGGTTTAAAGGACTCCTACACCCACAGCTCCTACACAAGCTCCTCTCGACTTTAGCCGCAAACGACTACCACTACCGCATCTTCTTTTCGGTACCTCAATTTATCCCCCTGAGGACGACCTGCTACATTATTCTGTACTTTCAGCTGCATCTTAGGCGCTTGGGACTTTTCGTTTTGTGTATAACAAGAGACTGTATGATGGACATGATAGCGATATGTTTTCTGGGATTTTAGAAGGCGTTCTGATAGAATAGGAGCAATCCCATAGCAATGGTCATCGCTTAGGCGCCTTTTGGGCAGGGCGGATGAGCATTGCATTGAAGCTTTATCGGACTTGATCCTATAAGGCATGTATCATAGTAGATAATGGGAGGCACAGTAGCATAGCCATAACAATTGTAGATCATAAAGTTTGGCAAAACTATACATCATTGAATATGACGTGTCGCGGATGTGATTGAGGTATTAGAAAATGAGTTAAAGTTGATGGGATCGTTGAAGAAGAAGATGGATGGGGCGTTCGCATTCGCGTATCTGTAACTTACCCCACGCTGCCGCCTATCCTAAGCCTTGGCATAGATAATGAGATTACATGTGTTGATGCGTCTGCATGCTTGCTTGTTCTCCCCGTGGGTGCGAGGATGATATATGTGAGCGCGTGCGTCGCAAGCAAGCCTCAAGGCAACTCTCAAATCTTTCTTCGCGACGCCTGACCATCCCCTCACAGTCTGTCAGATTTCGTCGTTGGACTCGAAGATGACGTTCTCCCGCCCATAGTGCTTCGATTTGCGGACCCCGCAGCAGGAACTAGACGTTAGTCACAGAAACCCAAAAACAGAGTCACGCACGCGCAAACATGGAGATTTTCACGGCTCAGAAAGCAACGTGCCGCCTAGTCGACCAGAAAGAGCACCATCGGCGCGTTGTGCCCAGGCGCGAGTAGACTACTGGTGCTTAATCACGATGGTGTTCAGGGAAACACGATTCCTTCTGGCGCGCAAGACGGAGCACAGTCCTTGAAAGTCTTGTCCTTGCGCCTGGCTTGCTGCTCGCGGAGGAGCCAAGAGCACGGTCAATATAAGAAGGGTTGTGACTGCCATCGCGTCATCACTTCGGCTTTTGTTGAATCTCCCTTACTTTGACGATTCGCTTCCAAGTAAACGCCGCGACTTCATCCTCGTTTGCGCCGACGCACACGCTTCTACAGAAGTAGCCTACTACCAATCGTACTCTCAAAGCTCTAATCAACACCAATTCGCGCAAGATGACCACTCGACCGAACGAATACCAGCGCGTTGCCTCGCACGGGCGCGGAGGTGCTGGTAGGTTCCTATTTTCCTTTAGATCTTGAATCGCAAGTCCATAATGCTTGGGTGATGATTAGCTGGGCCTGGATATCTTTGCAGCGCACGCAGGCGCGCAAAGACTACAACATGCAGTCAAGCAGTCGACAACCCTCGTGAAGCGCTTTACAATCCTTCACCAGTTTCTGCTTCTGAGCCATCACTAACGTTCCAAGGCAACATCGCAAAGGATGACCCTACCAACTACCCAAAGCCCGAGGACCTTGTCACTCCAACACTCAAGTCGAACACATACACCACCGGCCGAGGTGGCACTGGAAACATGGCGAAGAACGACCCCGAACGCCCTGAGCTTGCGCGCGCTGCTCAAGATGTCGACAGTAAACCGCACCCAGAGCCTCAAGGCCCCAAACACTACGGTCGTGGAGGTGCCGCCAATATCATCGGCGACGGACAGCCTGCGCAACGAAAGAGCGCCGAGGCTAAGCGCAAGAGCGAGGAATCTAAGCGCGAGGACAACGGAAAGGGCCTGCTTGGCAAAGGCAAGGACTTGTTGAACAAGTTGGGCAAGAAATAAGCCTGATTAAGCTAATGGTCGGCAATATGATGCTACATTGAAGGCACCTGGCTTAACGATCTGCCCTGTAACATATGATGGGTCTCTTGGTTTCTTTATACGGTTCATGATATCCCAGGAAGCGCAAGGCTTTTAATTGGCGGGCGGGAGGAGTTGGTGGCATATCTTCTTATAATCCGGACGATTGTCTAACCTGGCATAGTGTTATTCAATTGCTTGATTACCTCGTCGATCGTTATGCTTGATTTGCTAAATCTTCTGTGCGGATGGCTGCTATGCCATTCTTTCGAGAAGGCACTTTGGCTCGTGACATTACATCCTACTGCCTGGACTTTCGTTGATGCTACGCAGGATGTTGGAAAGGGTCTGAGAGCAGCGCACCATCACCTGAGTTGATTACATCACTCTTACATGACTTTTACCGTTGACATTCCAAAGTGGCGTACTACTGTTTGCTTTTCTCACAATCGTTAGCCCTTTCGGCATTCTGTCATCTCGCAACCCGTGCAATGCTTTGATAGGACAGCGCCGCTTATTACTACCGGAAGGTCCATAAAGGGTCTTCGGCAACAAGCAAGCGTCATGCGCGGGGATTTACGACATCCACCCGCAGCGGGGCCCTCATCCTCGCACGGTTACATCAAAACATCGCCATCCGCGTGTAGTACGCATTTGATCTCAAGTTTTCTTCAGTATTATCGCCACGCAAGCCCAAACGAAACGTTTCCCGAATATATGACATCCAATTGCCGAGATCAGCACACGCACATACGAGCCGTCGCTGCAAACGTGAAACAAGAACAACCCATTCCAGTCGCGCTCAACTCCGGTTCCCGATGGCTTGGTAAGCTATCAACGCAGTCCGTCGCTTATACATCACCTGGTAGGGTCCTGCCGTTATGGAGAGTCGTCCGATCGCCATGCTGTGGCTGCAGCTAATGCCTCACGGCTCACATGAGTTGCACGCTTTGGTGGGGTGTAAGAAAGTGACGTAGAAAGGTCAACATAATCCAACCATTGGGAAAGATAGTCGAGAAAGATACTGATCATGGAGTTTCCGGGATTATTATATCATACATGGAAGAGATCGAAAAAAGCGCAGTACGCGAGACAGTTCGCATAGAGCACCTTTACTCTCACACACCCTCCCGAGGTCCTCTGTATGCATAGCATCGGTCCTATACCAGCTCCAGGAACACTCCCGCTCCACACCGTCCATACGTAGATAAGTGACCCGGTGAGCGGCGATAGACCCGCCCGGCATGCGCTCTTTTCCGAGAGCATGAGCCTTGGAATCTTGGGGATGATGACACCCACTCCACCACACCGTATATGCATAGGCAATATGGTTCGTTCAGCCTGCAACAAGTACGCCTTGCTCCACGACGTGGTCTGTCACTATTGGTCTGGAAGAATCGTTATGCAGCCTTCAACTTTCACACCGTTTTCTTTTTGTTAGCCGAATATGTCATTCGGCTTATGGTTGGCTGAGTATCGGCTTGTGTGTTAAAGTTGCGGCGCGTCCCGCTGTTGTAGCCTTACTGGCTCTATATACCTTCCGGTTTTTCGCAATTCCTTGCTGTTGCGTATACTTGTCCTTCACTACTAGTATAACAGCAGATCAGTTATCATTCATTGTAATATGTCAAGTACTACCACGACGGAGACGGAAACTTACGTGGATACCTGGGTTCACTACCACGATGGTGGTGTACCCGGTCGGAGGCCAGTCCTCAAAGGCACCGCTGCCAAAGAAACGTTCAATGAACTACCCAAGATCGACTTCCAACGTATATACTCAGACAACCTGGATGATAGAAAGGAACTAGCGAGAGAGGTGGGCGCCGCGTGTCGAGACATTGGTTTCTTCTACGCAGTGAACCATGGAGTGGATAATGACATATTGGAAGGCACTTTCGAAGCGTTGAAGGAGTACTTTGCGCTACCAAAAGACATCAAGATGGAGACTCATAACCAAAAGACGGAGAAGTTCAGAGGTTACGAAGCGTTTCTAGAAGGAAAACTCGACCCAAGTACACGAGGAGGTAGCGTCTTCACTGACTCCATACACCGAACCGTGCATATCTCTAATAACAATATCTAGATCTCAAAGAAGGTTTCCTGATGGGCGAAGACTTCACCGACGAAGAGCAACTCTCTCTCGTCTCCTCTCTACCCCCTTCCCCACAAACCCCACGCAATCAATGGCCCACCCACCCCTCAGTCTGCTTCTGGCGCCCCGCAATCTACCGCTACTACAAAGCCATGTTCGAATTCAGCAAACGAATGCTCCACATCTTTGCCCTCGCTCTTGACCTCCCCGAAGATTACTTCGACACCATCACAACGCATCCCATGACCAACGTGCGCGCCGTCCACTACCCACCACAAGAGCGACAGAGCGACGTTGGAATTGGCGCCCACACAGACTTTTGTTGGTTCACGCTCGTCTGCCAATCCAAAACCGCCTACCCGGCCCTCGAAGTGCTAAACGGAAACGGCATCTGGGTCCCCGTACACCCACAACCCAACACTTTTGTTGTCAACATTGCCGATTTCCTCAAATTGGTTACGGGCGGTTCGTGGCAGAGTACTGTGCATAGAGTGAGGAATATCGGGGGTGAGGAGAGGTATAGCATGCCTTTTTCTTTAGCCCCAATGAAGATGCAAAGGTTAGCGTTGTGCCACATTTGAGAGAGGAGGGGGTGCGGTATGATGAGTTTGGTGTTGGGGAGTATTTCCAGAAGAGGTTGGATATTGATCGGAGGACGCATTTGGATAGAGACGAGAAGGAGGAGACGGAGAAGAAAGAGGACAAAAGGCCGACGGTGGAAAGGAAGGATAGTGGGCTTTGAGAATGCGGGCATATTTTTTGGCGGGGGGATAATGCGTCAATTTGTAAAGTGAATTTCGGCCTCAAGATATCCATAAACTAGTTTTTGCTTGAGAGATACTATGCTTCGTGAATCCATATAGATAGCCACGCTATCAAGCATGGCCATTTCGCCTCTTCGCTTCCTCCAACGCCATACGTAGTCGTTCTTCCTTTGCCGTGTCCTCACTACCTTGCCCCGTCTTCCTCTGCACCAACTCCATAATCTCAGTCTCATCACTATCAAGCACACTCACTCTCCTTTCATACTCCTCTACCAATCCTTTCTCAGCTTCTTCCTTCTCAACCTCCAACTCTCGTATACGTTCTGCATCTGCATCATCAGCCTTCACCTGCGCAATCTCAGCATCGATGTCGGCATTGTTGGATTCAACCTCCAGCGCATTGAAGAGGGAGAGAAGAGCCTTGGATGAAGTTTTCAGGGCTCTGAGTGTCGATTGTGCTTGTATGAGAACATCCGGGTCACCGGTGCCATCCTCAAGATCCTTGATGACTGCAATGACGTAGTCGATTTCTTTTTGCTCATCGCTCACCGCATCAACGACGACTCCCTCAGTAATCTGAAGAAGTTCGCTAATACGTTCAGCCTTCTCACGCTTAGCTTCGAAAATAGCTTGTTTCTCCGCATTCTCGAATTGCTTCTCAACGGCCTTCATCTGACTGATGTTGCCGGCGGCGTAAAGAGGTTGCGTCTCGGTTTTCTTGTAGCGTCTATCGCGCTCTGCAACAAGCTGTACGACACTGTCGTGTCTCTTCTCGATCCGCTCGTGGATATCTCTTAGAAGCTCGAAGCAGTCTTTCGTACTTGGATCATCCGTCTCCTTGAAGCTCTTGAGTCCTCTCACAGAGGATTGCAGAAGATGCTTAGCTTCCACGTACAGATCCATGAGGGATTTGATCTCGGCATGTAGGCCATTGAAAATTGGATCGAATACGGTGTCCACGTAACTCTCGTATTCGTCCTTGTCTTCTTGTGCTTTGAGCTCGCCCTCTTTCTGCTTGAATTCTTCCTCGAGCTGATTCATCTCCGCGTACGAGATCTCATTGTTGTTAAACAGGTCGTCGTTATGCTCCTCGTTCTCTTCTTGACGCTTGCGGCGGGCGTCGTCCTTCTTACGCCGGTTCAGCGATGTTGACTTTTCCCATGTCTTCGTAAGGTCTTCGGTGTTGCTGGATTTTGATCCAATATCCGCGAGCTTAGTTCTGAGATCTTGTATCCGGCGATTCGAAGAGTCAGAATTGATCTGCTTCGGCAACAGACCCTTGAGCACCTGGTTCGGATCTCCCTTTGACGGTGTAGCGGCAGACGCTGGGCGGCGTGGAGTTAGAGTCAATGGCGCGGGCAAGGGAATATCTGCTTCGCTACTGGAAGGCCGAGGAGCAGGCGACTGTGCAGTCGGTTGATGAGCTCCAAAGAAGATCTCATCATGGCCCTTGCTGTTGCTACGTCCCGATGGTGAAGCCACACCTGGAGTATTGGAGAAAGGCATCGTTTGTCTGTGCCTCAATTGAGGAGGGTCAATGGATATGCTAGCAGGTGGAACGTATGCCTTGTATTGAGGTTGCATCGGCTCCTCAGGCAGAGATTGAACTGGCGTTTTGTTTGTATCGTCGTCAATAGAGCTTGTCGGAGTCAGAATTGTCGTTGATACTACCGAGGGAGGTGGCTTCGGAGGGCCCTGATAGTTTTCAATAGGCGGCATCGTACTTTGACGTGCCAAGATAGGTCTGCCACCAGGACTATATTCATAATCGTCCTCATATGCAGACCCCTGCGGTACTTGTATGTTCAGATCCTGTCTCTTGGTGGATATGTTTGAAGTTGCAACTTGCTCTGTTTGGTGTGACGTCTCTGGCTCTACTGGAAGCGTTTGCGTTGAGGCGTCGAAAAAGTTGATTGTCCTCATGCTAGACTCCACCTTCATGAATGCCTTGAAAATCTTGATTTTCTCTTCAACTTGCGGTGCTGCTGCCTCACTACGAAGCATGGTTACGTATCGCTCTAATGAGCCGACATACCACGGGTCGATATCCGAGATAAGATCGGCAGGGGTGGCTTTTGGCAATTCTCTCGACTTTTCAGCTTCAAGTTGACGCTTCAACTCAGCGACGAGATTGTCACGCTCTTCAATATTGTGTTCCTTCCCTTCCACATCTTCTTTCAGTCTTTCAATCGTCATGTTCTTCTCCTTTACTAAAGCCTCGGAGTTGACAGTGGCTTGGTCTGCGGCGGTTCTCACAGTCTCAATCTGTGCACGTAAAACGATCATCTGGCTCGCACTATGCGTTTTGTTGGCTTGATACTCAGATAAAAGTTTTTGATTGTCAGCCTCCAGCGCTTCAATCTTCGCGTGTAGTTCAGCCCTTTCCCGTTCTGCATCTGCGCGTAGCTGGTGGATAATGTCATCCTTCTCTTTTAACTCCACAGTATAGTCATAGCTAAAGGATCCAGCGTCGTTAGACTCATTGGTAGTTCGTGACTCGAAATGATGCTTGGGCTGTGTCGGTGTGTGTTGTGATGTATTATACCCGCTCTCGGCTGAGACAAACCCTGTCGTCAATGCAGCAAGTTGATAGGGAGGCTTCGCACCCTGTATGGGTCTTGGCGTAGTTCTCAGGGGTGCGACGATGGCATCTTCTACAACGAACCCTTGGTCAGACGACTGCGAGTCTTGACGTAGGGCAAGACTTGTCGTCACAGACGGCGGTGTGGGTGTATAGCCTTCATCCCACTCACTTGAACTCACATGTGCGGGACGTACTGCAGGACTGGGAAAACTATGTGTCGAGGGAGGAGATGGGACGTGAGCAGGCAACTCAACGCTTTCTGGCTGGGTAGTGTCGCTTTTCTTTTCCTCTTTCTTTACCCCAAATAATTCTTCGTCGTCGATTTCCTCACTGCCACCTAAATGTTCCCAATCAGAAGGTGCACCCGCGGCCAGAACACTGAACCTTGACTTGTCATCGCGAGGTGGAGGCGATACGGGTAGTTTGGGTGCGGGGGGTTTTGGTGAGGACGTCTTGTTCTCTGCGCGTTGTGCGTAGAGATTGGCCAGGGCTATGGAACTCACGGAGTCGGTGCGTCCAGATACAGGTTGATAACCAGATGCAGAACTCACACTCGGACGATTAGATATGGGAGACACAGGTTGACTCGGCGGGCTTGGCTGATGGTAGAAGTTCGGCGTAGCGGTTTCAATTCGATTGGATGGCTTTGGTTCTTGAATCCCTTGGTTCGGCATTTGAGCGTACTGCCGTCCTAAGAACGAGTCTTGTGCTTGGTATCCTGATTGCGGGGGCTGCTGCTGAGGCTCATAGGTCTGTGGTACGCTATGTTGATAAGTAGACTCGGGTGCTGGAGATGCGGACTGCCACGGTCTCTGCAGGTGCGGATCTGATGGAGATGGTTGACCATGATGTTCATACACTGAATGTCCATACTGTTGCTGTACTAGTTGTTGCTGCGATTGCGCCTGTGGGTATATCGGTTGTCCGACCGGCTGTTGCGAAGCTGGTATTGCACCCCAAAATGACCTTGATACTGATGCTGCTGCTGCTGCGGCGGCGGCGGGTATTGGCCTGACGGTTGCTGTGACTGATGAGGTGTCTGCGATTGTGGCGGGTATTGATCAGAGTTGGGGTGTCCATATTGAGGTTGGTGGTGCTCTGGATGTTGCACACTCTGTTGGCCATGTCGAGGAGGCAGAGGCGGCGCTTGCTGCTGGGCATTATGATATCCCTGTGCGTACTGTGGTTGCTGCCACGTAGGAGCTACTGGCGGAGGAGGAACGTATGCACTGGGTGCTGGGAGAGGTGGCTGTGTGTATGCCGGCTGCTGCTCATTCGGGCTGACAGCAGTGGAGGGTTGATGTGGTCCAGCTGATGGCGCATTCGTGTATGAGCTGACCTGGCCTGCACCATAGATGGAGCTGGGCCTTCCTCCTTGTGAAGATGGGAAGTATGAACCTCCCGGTGTGGCTGAAGGCGGCGGAGGGGCTGCATTATGATATGGCTGTTGTGGTGTCCCTTGTACTGGGTATCCTCCCTGTTGCGCATGAGGCGCGTACCCGGTATTCGGTTGCGATTGTTGCGACCAATTCTGCGTGCTTTGCTGCTGCTGCTGCTGCTGCTGTTGTTGTTGTTCTTGCCGTTGGACTGCCGCTGCGAAGCCATAGGGTTTGGGTGGAGGTGGAGGAGGCTGGTCCTGATGTGGTGGAGGGAGATGATACGATTGATGCTGCGCACCTGGCATAGTACCATACGTGCCCGGATTGTACCCTCTTGTCCCTTGTTGTTGCGATTGATTCCATGGGTTCGACGTATGCGTCGGCGTTGGCGCAGCCCATTGGCCGTGGGCTTGAGGAGCAGGTGCTTGATATCCCTGAGAAGCTTCGCCATCAAGTCAGCGCCTCGCTCTGGATCTATAATAAATGTTGCATCACATACCTCCATATCCGGGGGGCGGTGGTGGCACTGGTGGAGGAGCGGTCTGCTGGCCCGTGAAGCTCGTCGTGCTTCCTGGCCGCTGGTAGCCTGGTGTTTGCCCGTAGTTCTGCATCGCGAATACGCGCTTCTCAAACAACCCGCTCAATATCTACGTGTAGCGATGGATAGCGGATCGTGTTCGCTGGGAGCGCGGGCTCGGGTTTCCAACTGAAGTGCCTGTGTGTATTAATAGGCTCTCCAGAAGTGTGACATGCACATGTACAGCAAGCGCTGGGTTTAGATCACGAAGGCAATTGTGATGAATCGTATGACATTGATGCAAGTAGTAAGTACAAGAAGTTGATACCGAAATACATCAAGCAGTGCCTCGTCCATGCGGCACAAGGCTGAATGCTCGAGTCCAGGTGCGCAGAAAGTGGAATGGTGCCACAGCCACGCGGTGATCTGCATGCGGTTCGTCCCCGCTTCGCCTTGCCCCATGTGACTTGGGCCTTCTCTTTGCCAAAACAACTCGCATTCGTGTCCAAACATCAGTATACATTAACAAATGAAACCGAGTATATTCTCGACTTCGGATCGGGCTTGTTACAGGCCTCATGCGTAAATGAAACAGTCAATCTTATTCAAGTTGTACGCTTCCGTCTCTGATCCGCGATATGCGTAAGGACATACTCCACGTCCATCGCAATCGCTTCCAGTGTTTCCTTTTGCTGGACACCCTTCGGAGCCTTACGTGTCATGCCTCCCGCCGTACTCAAAGTCATCTGCAGCACGTCAGCATACATCGACTAGTGTCAGACATGTAAAGCCTACCATATCCCAACGATGACGGTCGCTGTGGGCAGACTTTGCCTGTTGCGCAACATCTTCACCGATGCCTGCTCCTCTCGGAGCGCCAATGAGCCTCTCCAACGAGACGTAGGTGCCTTCTGTCAGCTTCTTCCCCTGGTGCTGCTTCGGATTTGCATTAGGTGTTGATCCAGACCCTGCGATGGAGGGGAAATGGTAGCATTGTGAGGATCCTTTCGTCTTCATCCGACTCCTCTCTTGCACAATCTTGACATCGCCAAATGATGCATAATCAAGCGGTAGCTGAACAGTAAAGGATTTAGAGAGCTCAGAGGGACTATGCGACCGGTAGGTGTTTGCAGTGACGATTAACACATGGAACACGCGGTCTTGTAGTAAGCTGAGTCCAGCGACCTTGGGCATTGTATGAAACATTTGAGATACTACAGTACTTTAGCAACAGCTCAGACAGACATATGACTTTCCGAATGGGGAACCTACTAAACATCTCCACGTTATGAATCTCCTCACGGTGACCTGACTGTTGTACAGCTTTCAATAGCTCTTCATGATCCCACTTCAACAGCTCAACGGCGTCGAAAACGCTCGGCGTATAGATAGCTTCATTGCGACCGTGGTCTTTCGCCAGCAAGTCACCCAACTCGGAAAAGTTGACATGGGTGTCGCTATGGGTAGAAGTTCTGACTGCCCATTTGGCTTGATTCAGATCTTTGACGCGCTTCTCAACCGAGACTGGAACAGGAATTGCATCGTTACTCTCTGTAGCGTTCAATGGGGGCATCATCACATGTCCACTCTCCGGGCTCCAGGTCCCGCGATTCTCAAAACCTTCATCGAAGTCGATTCCCCGTACTTCGCTAAAGAGGTTGTCGAGGAATTGAACGAAGCTTACATTGTGATCTGAGGCAGCATTATCGTATGTCGGATGATAAGGCAAATCGAGTTTCTTCAAAGGCTTCAAGTTGAGGTATTGGCTTTTTAACGCTGCTGTAGTAGTGGAATTAGTATTACTTGGTTTAGCATTAGTATCAGCATCCTGTCCCAAGTTATACTGAGGTTGCAATGGCTTGGATTGCACAGGATCCCTAGCATTGGCAGGTTCTGCCATGCTTGTAGCGGAGCGGAAGTCTTGGAAACCTGCAGCGGACTACAATAGGCGACCGAAGCGGGTCCGTTGCAGTCGTTTGGCGAATGACAGGAGAAGTGCGTCAAATGCCTAGACCGCTGAGATGCAAAGAATCGTGTGGTACAGGGAATAAGTGCCGCGGCTACCAGCACACAGATCAGTATCAGCTCACCCCACTCGAGGCAATTTCTTACGTACTTGACCAGGTAAGCCACAGGCTTGCACAAGGAACACTTATGCGGTTGGCACGAACTGTGTGTGGTGCGAACGTAGTGACTAATCGGTCATACACCACATGGACATGTACGGGCGATGGTCTGGAACAGACTAGATTATATGGGCCGTGTACACAGGAATTGTTGTTTGTAATGTAGATGCAATTTGGTAGATGCCAAGCAGAGATTTGATGGAAGACGTAACAATAGAAGATGAAGTTGTGACACTGAAACGGGGATCGACGAGGGTATGTGTGGCCTTGATTGGCTCGTGCCTAGTTGTGCGATATGCAAGCTAGGAAGCAGCAAGTGTTCGCTTTGAACTGCATGCCACCTAGACGGAATACGAGGACTTTATTGTAAGCAATTCGGAACGATGGTATGTATTCGGTCTCACGTTCTGGGACATACGAGCCTACAGTGTGCAAGTTTCTGGTACAGTACCCGGATAGCAGGCAAGCTATCAAGTATGGCAGAATACAACGTGGACAATGCCATCTTATGTGCTCATGATTCAGAATTGGAGTTACATTGAACAACAGGCAGTTAGTGCTGCACTCAACATACGTTCAAGTGGAATTATCCGGTGGTGCCGAATGCTCAAAGGTATGCGTGGGATTGGCACAGGAGTCTAAACATCCTCAGAGGGAACAGATCTGCCCTCCTCTGACTTAAGTGTGCCATCACCATTGGAAGATCAAGAGAGCATACCAATGCGAGCGGATATTCTGTTTTGCATGTCGATCCAGAAAAGCCGGTTGCCGACTCCGCGGTTGTCCTGCTGTCAGTAGGTATTTACGCTCCGCGGACGTCAAGCTGATAACACAGTTGCTCCTCGGAGCTCACAGCCAACGCCTGCAGGGCCCTCGTTCGCCGTTCCCGTTCGGCAATGGCAGGATTCTGTACCGGAGGTCTGGTTCAGCTGTGGCCTCAACTAACTCTCACCGGCACTTCGTTACGAAGAGGCAAAAGCAAGGGTACATGCGTCATGCAGGTGCTGTGGAGTAATCAGGTCGCAGCTGCCTGCTGATGCTAGAAATCACGCAACAATAGGAAATCAACTGTTTCATCATGATGGTTTCGTGCAAAAATCTCTCTCGTGTTCCTTTGGGGTGTGAGTGGACCCGCTGGCATATAAGCCGCTGTCCGTGGTGTATAGACAGGGGCCCTTGTGATCTATACCGAATCCGAGCACGGTGTCGAACCACCTGCACGTGATTTATTTTCTATCGAATTGAATCCCTGTCATGTGGTGCCGGATCAGCATGCCAGATCTTCGATGTTGACGGACATGGATAAACCTCTCAAGATCCACATAACACGCCACGCCAAGCGCACAATCTCGATGTCGCTCGGGCCAAACAACCGAAGGAGGGTCCACCCTAGTATGACTTTTGCTGCAGTGACAAGCTAGTTGCTGCCTCTCCGTTGGGCGCCATTGAACCCGCCTTGCGCAGACATTATGACCGCCTCATACAGCGTGCGGACTTGTTCATCAAGCAAGGCTGCCTAGCTGTCACACTACATGATGTAGTCGATGAAATGGTCCAGATCATCGTCGCAGCTGACTTTCCAGCCCCCATGTGTACAAGAGAAATTGTCAAGCACGCAGTGTTGTTCAAGCGAAAAGATCTAGATTTCCTATATACAAACTCCGCGTACTCCTGGAACCGCCCATATACCCGCCATGCAGCAGTTCCGTGTATTCTCACGGCATATACCATGGGAGCTAAACTTCCAACCCTTCTACTCTAACATGGCGGGTCCTCCGCATGCAGGCAACATCCGTCCGAACGGCGTAGGCATTGCGCATCTAGAAGGGCCCATCATCCAGCTGCCAACTCCTCAATCAGTCAGGCAGGGATCATCCTCCGTATAATCACTCGGTAATCGAAAGGTCGACTGGTTGCGTTTGGGTATCATCTCGAAATGGCAAAGAACATATGAAAACGTAAAGCGTCTCCGCGTATGCTTACTGGGCTGATGTGCGATACACGCATGCCAATCGTGGCTTTACTGGGGTTGCGCAGCGATACAGCTGTTGGCCGCATGCTGACCACTGGAACGAGCCGTGTGTAATGCTCATACCATATCGTTTACTGTAACGTTGGTATAAATTCAAAAAATCAAGGCGAAGCTTCGGTCTCCATCACGTCGTCATCCACTGCTCTCGACGCCAGCTCTCCTGCTCTCACGAGGACGGCGAGTGACCCCTGCGTTCGATAATCATGGGGGTTATGTGAGAGGTGGGGTGAAGGCATCTGTGGCATCGGTCGATCCAATGGAGAGGCTAGTGGACCCATTGTAGGCACTGGTTGGGAAGCATGCGCATCGTCTTGCTTGGGTCTACAGGTAATGTCTGCGCCGAATAAACTGTGAAAGGATATCCCGTAGACCCTTGGGTGCTGTGACCGCTCTCGGATGATAGTGTCGTGTCCTCGTGGCTGAGAGGAGGAAGACGCGCAGGTTCTCGCGGAGTCCTGCGAGAAAGCATATCGATAGGCGCTTGATAGTGGGTTGAATGGGGATAAGAAGGCGGTGCTGTAGATGTGATTTTCTGGTGAAGATCCAGGTTGTACGCAGAAGGTTGATGATATGGGTTGGCATCGAAAGGAATCCTTGGGTCCCGAATAGGGTTGGGCGCGGATGGATCAAAGGCTCCGTCTCTTTGCAAGCCATTGATACGTGGAGACGCGGAAGTAGGGGAGAATTGCTCGCCTGAGCGCGGGGAGTTGAAGCCAGAAAGGGAACGGTTAGCCGGTGACGTTGAGTTTGAGGAATAGACTGGACCGGCAGGGAGTCGTGAAGGGCCAACGGGCTGGGCTGGATCGGATTTCTGCTGTACTGTTGTCTGGGCGTCTGACTGGATAGTACTTAATCTTCGGTTTGTGGCTTGATCGTTCTGTTCGTAGCTGCCTCGTGCTGAAGTGCTGGGCTCGGATTCTAGCTTCGAACGTTTGCCTTCTGCACATGTCAATACGCTGCGGCGCGGTAAATTGAGGGTTGTAAACAGACCTTTGGTGGGCACTGAGTGTTTCGCCTTGAAGTCTTCGAGATACTTTTGATAGGCCTCATAATTTGGCGTCTTCTTGTACTCAGCTAACTCCGCGTAGTACTTCTCTTTCGCACCATTGGCCTGTCGTTCGCAACCTTCGCGTTCCTCGGCGGGCAACACTTGCCATTTCTCGCCTACCACCTTGGCGATCTCAGTGAAGGAAAGATCTTGTCCCTTTAGTGACTCTCGCACCTCTACTAAAAATTAGTTGTGTTCATGTTGCACAAAGACAAAACTCACGGTTAGAGAAGATGACGTAGGCCGATGGCGGGCGTTCTGGGGCATGCTCGTCGGGCTATGCCATATTAGCAAGATTGCATGACATGGTAGAAGTTGGAATATGGGCTACCTTGGGATGCCGCCGGTATTTTCGCTTGGCCCCTGTGCCACCCGGCGCAGGGTTGGTAGAGTCTGGCTGCTTGGTTTTGCCCTCTGGTCCTGAGTCGTCACTGCGATATGAGCCGGCAGTACTTCCAGCTCGTGTAAGACTGATGGGTAGGGGCCGATCAGAAGACTGTCCGCGCGATTCGGCAATGGCCCGTTGAAGTTTCTACACAGAGTTTAGTTGTTGGCAAGGCCAAAGGGGAAAGGAAAACAACCTACCCGACGATGTCCAAGCTTGACGTTCAGGGAACTTCTACATAGCAGTAAGCACAAGTCGAGGCAGGTACGAGTAGGGTATGTGCGCACAAGTCGGATTCTGTAATGTCGAGCACAGTCTCCCAAGTGTCGAAGCCTTCGGCCGTGAACACTTCGTGGTATTGGGACAGTCCCAATCGCGCGAGACGTTCTCTCAAGTCGCTCATGTAGGAGGGCGTGGGTGCGACCGCTGGGTGGTGTGGTGTAGCGACCAACTATCGAAATGGGCTGGCCGAAGAGGGTTCGATATGTTTGGAATTATTAAAGCACTAGTGGCAATGGGCTGGGATCGAGCGTGATCGATAGGACTCGAGTATGGCGGAACTAGTGTACAGGGATAAAATAGGAAATGGTCGCGTCGTGGCCCAGGCTATGTGATTGGTGCAGCACGACGAGTGTGGCGGATCGACTCTTAACGAAAATCCGCGTAAGGGTCAAAGTGTTGCAGGGCGCTGGGCGCAGAGAAGAGCAAGTTGAAGGAGTCGTCAACGACTAAGATGCATCCATAAGTGGTGGCGCCTAACGTTAGGTTTGGGGTAGGTGGGTCCCGGACCGATCAGCAGAATTCTGTGATTATGCTGTGGTAGGGGTAGGGAGAGTCTCGGCTATTGTAGCAGTAAAGACGGCGGACGCAGCCTAGTAGAGGCGCAACCAGGACAACGGCTGTCGATAGTCAGCAAGCGGCCGGATCTCATTTGGCGCGTCCCAAGCGGTGCTGCGCGCTGAGCAGAGTCGCACGAGGCCTGGGTTGCGGTGAGAGTGGGCAATTCTGGGCGAGGGCGGTGCAGGCCCAGGGAGAGAGAACAGGGCTAGTAGTAAGGATTCGGCGCAATCATGGCGGGCGTTGCAATTGGCGCAGGAGACGAGTCAGAGAGAGCGGGTGTGAAGAAGACGGCGGCGGCGGTGGTGGTGGTGGTGGTGGTGGTCAGGACGGGTGCAAAAGACGCAAGAAAATAATGCTGTGTGACTGTGCAAGCAATACCTTCTAGGGCCCCGGCCCAGGGCTCTCGAGATCAGAGCAGGGCAATCGACGCAACGGACAGCCAGCGAGCGCGAACACGGGACGACCAAGGGAACGCTCCAGCCACCTCTTCCTCACGGGGAGCACACTAATGCGGAATCTCCTCTAGGATATGGCGCGGGCTGATAGGCTGCGAGGGCGTGCGGGTGATGCTTTCAAGTCTACAGAACATCTCAGACAAAGGCACGATCGACGAAACGCCGGTACCTACAGTAGGGCCGATTCGCAGGAGCCGGCGACGACCTGGTCTGCTATCTGCGCTGACGGTGGTCCGCAATTGCAATTTCGTAACCCCTCCTCCTCCACCTGGCGTGTCCATGCATGTCCATGGAGAGAATGACGTTAAGCTGACATGGATGCATTTGCCTTGTCATATTGGAGCACTTCACCAACACGCCGCGGAACGACGTAAACGCCGCTGAACAGCCGAACAGGCGGGCATCCTCACGACCATGCCTGGTGCGACGGCATGGCCTGTTTCTCGAACTAAGCGAACACCAGACATTCGATCTGCGATGAGACGCAGATGGCGGCGTCTTGTGCGAACGACCAAAACCCGTAAACGCTCAAGATGGACTGCATCGGCGATTGAAATTTCCAAGCCTCAACACGCGACAAGGCCTTGCAGTTGACACTGTTGCACATTGTCGACCCATCACAGTCACTACACGCGCAACTTACTATCGGGCTGATCAACGCGCTGCAAGGGGCGGGAAGGGCAGCTGGGCACCCACTTCCGCCAACTCAGCATTAACAGCGGAGCGGAACATTGCCCATTTCCTGTTGAAGCAACGCTATCCTTGGCTACAGCACGCACGTGAGTATGACGGACGGGCACTCATCCATGAATACATTGCGCTATGTCTCATCTGAAGCTTCGTGATGATGGAATTCTGGGCCCTGGGCGTCATCAGAACCGCCTTAAATCAACCCAGCGTGAGCATCGCGACCGACGGTTCGTCCGCCTTTTCATCCACGTCGCCTCGTGACATGTTCAACCTCGGCAGCAGACAATGCCGGGCTAGACGCACCAACCGCACTGGTGGCCGTGTCGTCGTCGCAATGTGGTTTGCAATCATACCACGCTGCATTTGTTGGCTCACATCGGCCCTACTCGTCCTCCAGTACAGTCTGCCCATCTCCTCCGGGCACCATCTGGAAATGTCAATACTGGTGGCGTAGAAACTAGACAGGGCGTCCCATACCATGCAGATGTTGTTGCCGTTCAATAAGATTTTGGGCAGCTGGACGCTTCCCTCTACCGGGTCACTGTCTTCGTGTCAGTTGGACATGTCCATGTCGAACACCAAAGAACCTTGAAGCTACGCACATCTCCGTTACGTTCTCCAAGACCATGTCTGTTCTCGTTAGAATGGTTCCGTCCACGTTGTCTCTCTCAAGCACACTTACTAACGTAGTCATCGAAACCAACCAGCTTCCCCGTGAATTCTTTCCCACCGTTCATGATGACCCAAATCTGCGAACCCACGCATTTGTCGATGAGTTCTACCGTAATTAGCCATGAACAGACACTCGCTTGCAACCAAGACTTACCAAGCGGAAGAAGGTTCTCGAGCGACATGGCGGCGTGTTTTGTTGTAGGCTGCGTATCGGTCGTTGAATTTAGATGTCGTGTTTGAGGCGCAGGTAGGATCAAGGTGATGATTGGATTCGATATCTTGGCGTTCAAGACCATCTTCCACAGGCGACGCGCTAGCCAACCAATGCTCGTGAAACAGCAAACATCCTGTCCACCCAATCGACCCGCATCCGTGGCGACTATCCTCTCCTGCCGGTACCTAGTGGGAGCACTACCATGGAGTGTTATGCTCTTCCATCGACGCGCCTCTCTGCTGAGCGCGTCAGATGCCCCGCGACGTGTTTGCCATGAGACACTCGCCAACACCCTACCCTCTGTAGAGCGCTCTACACACGCCTCGCATACGTCGTATATTGGAGAGCGCAGAGCGATGCACACCACCCCGCTATGCTCAACACCCATTACCTCACCCACCTCGACCTGCCGCTGGAAGCGAGGACGGCCTGTTACTAGAAACGACAACTTTCCTAGAAGGATCTACCAGACTCCCACCGCGGGACTACAACCTTTAGTGAGCCAGCTCAGTTCCAAAGAGGCAGTACCCATGGCTGGAAAACCCCATCGCCTACGTCAGGCACCGGCCACGCTACACGTACGATCCGCTGAGACTCCTCCAGCACTAAGCACTGACCGATCCCAGCGAGTGGGACTTTGGAATCCAGCTCATGGACTACGCTTTGCGACAACAGCGACGGCTGAAGCGCCCAAGTCAGACTCTATCCCTGAAGCCGCCGAGACTACATGTACACGTATAGACGAATCAGCTGCGACGACTCGCACAGACGACCCCTCTCCGCACACTAAAAACGAAGCAAGAGATACTACGGGGCAAAACGGGGGAGTTACTGTAGAAGATGCCTCAGAGAGTGAAGACTCTAACGGTGTCTCATCCCAGTCAGAGACTGAGTCCAAGGACGAGGAGGAAGACGACGACGAAAAAGAATACGTCTCTCTTGCATATCAGATTCCAGAGGAGAAGTTGCGTGCTGCAATGCTTGCCACTCCCAACACACGTGACAGTTATTGGAGTGCGAGACTCTACCAAGGACCTGATGGCGAATCGCTCTCGACCCATTATTGCAAATCCTTTGACGTTGCTGAAAGGGTAGCCAAATACTTCTTACAAGAGAAAGTAGTGGGCTTCGATATTGAGTGGAAGCCTCGTGGAAATCCGTATTCGATCAAGCAGAATACTTCATTGATTCAGCTAGCGTGCGAAGATCGAGTTGCTCTCTTTCACCTGTCGCTTTTCTCTGGAACTAAAGTGGAGCAGCTTATGCCACCTAGTCTCAAGGCTGTTCTCGAATCGCCGGATATCTACAAAGTAGGTGTGGCTGTCAAGGGTGACTTCAAGCGTCTGGAGAAGTACCTCAATATCCAAGCTCAAGGTGTCTTCGAGCTGAGTCGCTTGCATAATCTAGTCGAGTGGTACGAGGTCGACCCTAGCAAAGTCTCACATAGACTTGTCAATCTCGCGTCTCAGGTGCTGCAGCACCTCCAATTGCCCTTGTACAAGGGCGAGCGACTAGTCGATGATCTCGAGACAACCTCCAGCGTTCGAGAAAGTGACTGGAGTCTTCCTCTGAATGTGCAGCAGATACACTACGCAGCCGCCGATGCATATGCTGGATTCCGTCTCTATCATATGCTTGAATGGAAAAGGACGCGAATGAAGCCGACTCCTCCCCCAGTGGCTCTTTGCGATTTCGACAATAAGCTTACACCCAGGTCCAAGGAACCCCGTAAGAGGATGAAAAGTTCCAAAGAGGTCGCAGACACAGTTGTAAAGTCCTCAGTTGATATTGCTGAAGAGCAACAAGAAGACGAAGAAGATGCCGAGGGTTATGAGACAGCAACTGAAGAACTCACTGACAGCTATCAACTCGAAGAACCATCATATGCAAAGTCAACAACTGCCTCCACAGACGGAGCGAACAGGACTTGCGCATCCGAACCCACTGCGAACAGCATTTTAGAAAATACTGAGGATATGGGAGCTGAACGGGGGGTTGCTCGACAAAAGCGAGTTGGCCGAATGAACCTCTCCTGGCTCGATAGCACTGATCCCGGATACCCTGAGCTGCCAAGGACATCACAGGAAGAAGATGCTGAATCAGTGTCTACTGAATCCTCTGAAAACTATGTTGTGCATCCCAAGAAGCAAGACAATGATGTCTCACACCAGAGGCAAATTGATGCCGACGATGAATACGCAGACCCAGCACTTGAAGAAGCACTTGGACGCATGACCCTGGACGATAGTGGAAGGTTGACGGAAGACGTGAACGACCCGGTATCAGAGCATACAACACCACAATCAGACATCGGCCTGCTAGACGAACCATCACGAACACCTGAATACAACCTGGCAACAATATGGGCGCAAGAGCATCTTCGACTGACCATCCCATCGCCTACCTCGACGGCACCCTCGCGTATACGTGCAACCGTGACGCACCTTCGCGCTTATCATATGTGGTATCATCAGAAACTCCCGGTTGACAAGATGGCACAAATTTTGCGAGATCCGCCGCTCTCATGTAATACAGTTGCAAACTATATCTTGCAGGCAGTCACATTGGAGAGACTCGAATACAACCAGGAGTCTCTCAGAAATGTGTTACTAGCAATGCCTTCAGGGATGCGAAAGGGACGATGGAGGGCGTTGGCAGAGGAAGTGGATGCGTTGAAATGAATAACACGAGCTATCCAATGAAAAACCTATTCTTAGAGAGTGTTGAATGTGAAGGAACCAGATATGTGCCTAGAAGGCTGGTGGCTTGTTCAGTGGTACGTGTTCTCTTCGTGTTCATGTGATGTCCATTTGCATGTAGAGGTTCGGACACGTCTTGCGCGGAAGCCATTCCGCTTCTGTCAACGCAAGGTGGCTCAGCGTTGTGCGTCCATGGCCTAGCAGCGTCTACGAGGACACATCTTCGATACATACGAAACACCAGGCTAGCGTGATTCATGTCCAGAAGCTTAGTGAACACATATCAATATTCCCGTGTAGTCGTACTCGTGCAGGTACCATGCAGTGCAAACCAAGTCAGGGTCCAGGCACGCACTAACTCAACCCCACGCGTGCCAACGCGAAACTGCGGTGAGGATCAGCCACCCCTGCAGGAACCCCTCCGAAATATATCAAGACAGGCGGCCCTTGCGCTCTTGCTACACATCCGAATACTTTGACGTCTTCCATCACTCCAATTGAGTGTCTTTGATTTGCATATTTGTCCCATTGAAGCTCATTGAAGGACTACAAAACAAGACGTCCACCATGGCCGCCGCAGCAGCAGTTTACCCTCCCCTCGACCAGCGTCCGGTCAAGAACACTGTCCTTCTCTTCGATGTCGATGACACACTCACAAAGCCCCGTCAGCTCGTCACTCCCCAGATGCTGCAACTACTCTCGGAACTTCGTCACAAGTGCGCTATCGGTTTCGTTGGCGGCTCCAACCTCGTCAAGCAGCAGGAACAGCTTGGCGGGCCCGTAGATGTCACCTCGCTGTTCGATTTCTGCTTCGCCGAGAACGGTCTCACTGCCATCCGTATGGGTGAGGTACTGGCTAGCCAGAGCTTCATCACATGGATCGGTGAGGACAGATACAAGGCCCTTGCCAAGTGGTATGTGACTATAACAGGCTGCAAAGCGTCGCTAATCTAAGATTATAGGATTCTCCACTACATCGCCGATCTCGACATTCCCATCAAGCGCGGCACCTTTATCGAGTTCCGCAACGGCATGATCAACGTCTCTCCCATCGGCCGTAACGCATCTACCGAAGAACGTAACGAATACCAAAAGTACGATCTCGAACACAAGATCAGGGAAACCATGGTCGCGAAGCTCAAGGAAGCGTTCCCTGACTACGGCCTTACATACTCCATTGGTGGTCAGATCTCTTTCGACGTATTCCCCACTGGTTGGGACAAGACCTACTGCCTGCGACACATTGAGGCGGAGAAAGGACTCTCTGGTGTCGTCTACGACAAGATTCACTTCTTTGGTGACAAGGCCTACGAGGGTGGAAATGACTGGGAGATCTACAGCGACCAGCGGACTATCGGACACAAGGTCAAGAACCCAGACGATACCTATGCGCAGCTGCAGGAGCTGTTGAAGAGCTTCCAGTAGTGGTATTACACACATTCAGGATGATTTCGATAATTTCTAGACGGCATAGTAGCTTCGTCCGATTTGGAATCGATCACACTGGCGATAGAATGATACGACATGTAATGTGAACAAGACTTGTACGACTTCATTGGCCCCTAGGGTCACGATTTGGGTGTTGCGTGTCTACGTCACTTCGTCAGCAGATATCAAAGCCTTGTTTTCCAGTCAGATTATACGATCTATACCTTGGACGGAGAAAGTCGTTACCGACATGGTATTAACTTGCTGACCATATATCAGAAAGAGCTATTCTAAATACGCAGGCTGAACTTTTATCGAAATTCTGAATCGTCAGGGGCCTGCATGCGGTTAATTGACAAAATGCTTATTCAGACAACACCTTGATTCACAACCTGCAGCTGAATTTCTGAACGACGCCTACTCTTTCCGCAATAGCGAGCTTGTCCTATTCTAACCATGTGTCTACCAGACACAATACAATCGCAATCATGCGCTCTAAATTCACCTTCCGAAACCATGTCCCGAACGTCGAGAGCGCTGCCCGGCGCCATGATCCCGTCGCTTCTCGGGAGCGGGGACGAGATCAGATAAAGTACCTGCATACGCCCTGTAACCTCACAGCCAATGAATATCAGGCTCTGAACATTACAGGTTTTTCCAAGACGGCTTTAGGAAGTCTTATACGCCGGGTAAAGGCGCGAGGCGGACTTGGCAATTCCAGGATGCTAGATACTTTGTACCTCAACAAGGAAGGAGGAGGAAAAGTAAGTGGGGTTGAAACATATTAAATGATATCTAAGGGCAAACAAGTACAAATTTCTGTACGTAGACTTCTTCCAAAAATATTCTCAAAATTCAAACATTCTCCATCATGAAGATTTCCACGCTTCCACTTGTCAGCCTACTTCCAATTCTCGCTCTAGCGTCTCCTCCTCACCATATTTCCTGTATTCCACCACAATCTTCCTCCAATTCCTCAAATACATACGATTACATCGTTACCGGTAGTGGGCCGGGGGGCGGCACTATCGCTACGAACCTCGCTCGCGCTGGCTACTCTGTTCTGTTGGTTGAAGCGGGCTCTGATGCTTCGTTTGATATTCGCACCCAGGTGCTCGCTTTGAACGACTTCTCCAACACGAATGTAGCGTGGCACTTTTTTGTCAAGCATAGCGATGATGAGGAGAGGTTGAAGAGGTATAATTTACTCGTTTGGAGACTGGAGAATGGGGAGTGTGAGTTTAGTCTCAAGTGTGCAGCGCTTCAGAAGTCATTGCTGATATGGTTCGATAGATTGGGTTGGGAAGGATCCTAGTGTCGAAGGATATGTGGGTGCTGAGAGGCTGGGTATCTTCTATCCGAGAGGTGTAAGTAATGTCGGATAGGAACCGTGCAGGATAGATATGCTGACTTGGTATACCGACGTGTAGGCTACGCTGGGTGGAAGCGCAATCATCAATGCAGCAGGCACATTTCTGCCGAGTGACAGCGATTGGGACTTCTTTGACAAGGGAGTGGAAGATGGAATTTGGAGGTAAACCGTTAGCAAGTCTCATTATCCAAGACGATACTAACATTCCTATAGCGCTAAACTGATGCGCGAATACTTCGAGAAGATCGAGCATAATAACTATCTCGAAGAAGGGACTCCTGGTCACGGGTTCACAGGTTGGTTGCAAACAAACATCGCTGACCGTGCTACCCATGCGGCCGCAACACTCCGATTCAAGGTCTTCGAAGCGGCATTGAAAATGGTTGGAAAGGATCCAGCAAAGGTTCTGGACTATCTCACCAGCGATGCTAACTATCTGGATCCAACGCGTGACCAGTCAGAGGGTCTGTGGTCCCTACCCTTCCATGTCACACCGAACTGGAAGCGCTTCAGTCCACGCGACCGTATTCTGGAAGCGCGTAATCTGACGAATGCGAATGGAACACTGAAATACCCGCTTCATCTCCAGCTTGAATCTTTGACCACAAAGGTGCTATTTGACGACTGCAGCGGTAATGGTACAAAGCCGCGTGCAGTTGGAGTCGAATACCTTCAAGGCAAGTCAGTATACAAGGCTGACCCACGCCGCAATGCTTCCACCACAGGCACACTACATCAAGCTTTTGCTCGAAAGGAAGTCATTGTAGCCGGTGGCACATTCAACTCGCCCCAGATTCTGCAACTCTCTGGCATCGGACCCAAAGCCCTCCTCGCGAAATACAATATTTCCGTAGTCTCTGACTTACCAGGCGTTGGCCGCAACCTTCAAGATAACTACGAGATACCTATTTACGGTAATGCTCAGGTCAGCTTCGCGGCAGCGCCTAATCCCGATGCTCCCCAATGCACATATGGTGCACCAGGCGATCCGTGTCTCGATCTCTGGTACAAAGGCGAAGGTCCTTATTCGCGTGGCGGCTCAAACTCAAACGCCTTCCTCATCAAAACATCTCATGCGGTCGAAGGCGAGAGAGACGAGCTCATGTTTGCCAGCACAGGCGGCGCATTCGCCGGTTTCAGTCCCCCTACACAACTTTCAAACCTCACAGGCTACCCTCCCACCACATTCTCCTGGTCAACAGTTAAAATCCACCCCCAGAACACTGCAGGCTACGTTCAGATCCAGTCAGCAGACCCAGTCGATACACCAGAAGTGAACTTAAACTACTTCGCCGAGGGCGCAGAAACAGATCTCAACGCCATGCTCGACACTGTCGCTTTCGTACGCAGAGCTTTTGCTTCGACTGAAGCACCGGTTGGGCCTGTAACCCCTGTTTCTCCCCCTTGTCCGCCTGCAGACATCCTTGACACGGGTTATTGTCGCGATGTGCAGGTTGACAAGGAGTGGATTCAAGACCAGGTTTTCGGTCACCATCCTACGAGTACGAATAAAGTTGGACCGGACTCTGATCCCTTGGCTGTATTGGATACGAGATTGAGGGTGAGAGGAGTAGAGAGACTACGTGTTGTAGATGCGAGTGCGTTTCCCAGGTGTCCTGGAGCATTTCCGGCGGTCAGTACGTTCCTGTTGAGTGAGAGGGCGACGGATCTGGTGTTGGAGGATGTAGGGAAGTGGTAGGCCAGGTATTGGTGTTGTGTCGTAGAAAGAATAGCTATCTCGAGCAACGTGATGTGATTGAGATAGTTACAGCCACTGTTCCTGAACCGAACATATTTTCATAAATCTATGGTGCAGACGGATAGCAACTACCACAGACATTCAGTGGAAGCAAAATGAAAGCGGCCTGACGACGATCCAGATGGGAACTTAAGCATAAACTTAAGCCCTGCATTAGCGCTCTCTACCCCACCAATGACCCAACCCTCGCAACCGCGCCAAAATTTATTCGTCGCAAAGCCCGCCGGCCAAAACTTGTCGACCAAACCGTTCCACTCCACAACAGCACACGAAACCCTAGAGCGCCAAACGCCTTGCAAGATCCGATCTTTGTCATCAAAAACCACAATATGAAGCTCCTCACCTTGAACTTCCTCACTTGCGCCATAAAAACCTGCAAAACGAACCCCGCATCCTTCCCCCTACACCCCCGCGACGCCGAACTCGAAATCGTAGAAGCAGACGTCAACTTGGCCTTTCTCAAGAACATACTGCCAAGGCTGATGTGGAACGAATTGAGGGGAATATGCAGCGAGGTACGCGACGCCCCCAGTCCAATAGATGCGGAAACAAGGAAACAACAGACACGAGGTCTGCGCGTTGGTTGCGCAAAAGAGAGATACGGCTTGCGAAACGAAGGCTAATAGATCTGTGAATTATAGCTCGGTCTCCCTGAACTACCAACAACAGCACCCACGCCCGCCGACCTTGTCGAACCTTCTTCTACCTCTGCCTCCGCGTTAGATACCACGGATGCGACACCAGCAACAGCAACCGAAGAAGTAGAAGAGGAGCCTAGCCAGACAGCCAAAGATCTACACAGGATATTGCTCGAGACGTGTATACAAGAGGGTAAGCTGGTGTGTGGGGCGTGTGAGCATGAGTATGCAGTTAAAGAGGGGGTTGCGAATTTCCTGTTGCCAGGGCACTTGGTATGAGTGAGCTTGGGATGCTATGCACAAGGTTTTTGGTTAGATAGTTGAGTGTGCTAGGGGGATGTGTCAGCCTGGAGGTTGTGGTCGCAACTAGCAGTCTGCGATACGTCTAGACTGGGTATGGAGTATGAGACTATGAGGGCCATGGGCACTGGAATGCACGCTGTGCATCAGCGGAGAGAGGCATGTGGCGAGATGAAGGAATGCAGCTGCATGGTGGAGGCTGCTATTTGATACCCGTCTGATTGCATCTGCTTATATGGGAAAAGTGCTGTATTGCACAAGAGTATGCAGGTCCTCGCGACCCATCTCGACTGCAGAAGCATCGCCAGAGTCAAGTCAAAGTTGATGGAGGGCAACGCGCTTAAGAATTGAAGCTACACTTTTCCCTAGCCAAAATGGTATCTACGATATGCGCCTGAACACCCTTGTAACGGCCCTTCTACCAGCGCGGACTTCCAACCCTTATGAGCCGAGAGCGCGGTTAATCTGCACTCGTTTATCCTCGCCACCCGAAACGATGCCCACGGCGCGATCCCACCGTACGCTGAAGACCTTGGCGCCCTCACCATGGCTCTTGGCAGTATCGCGTCCTTGCCTGTAGATGGTGTATACGCTCTCACCAGTCATTCCCTCTCCAACCTGTCCGCCTGTACTGACATTCCTGAGGTCCCAAATCTGAACTGTTCCATCGTGCGAAGCAGAAGCCAGGTTGTATTCGGAGGAAGGATCTGTGTCCAAGGAAACAACACCGTTCTTGTGGCCTCGTAGTGTCATAACGCTGATTTGCGTAGCGGACGCACGGGGATCGACCAATGTGATGTGTCGTGCTGAGGTACCAGTTGCAAGAAGGTTTCGGGAAGGAATGGCGCATAGAGAGAGAAGCGAATGACCAGTCGTGCGGGTGTCAACGCACGACTGAGTAGGGAGATCCCAGGTTTTGAGTGTATGGTCATGAGATGCTGAGTATGCGACTGTAGCATCATCCGGCTTAAAGATGACGCTAGATACCGGCGAACTATGACCGCTAAACGTAGCCAGCGCTCCACGAGCGGGAACCGTGCGATCGGGCTTGGAAAGCTTTTGTCGCTTGTTGGAGGCAGCATTTGAGCTCGGCAGGAAGTTTGGCGGTGCAACCGGGTTTTCCTTTGCGTTGCTCGAGAAAAGTGAAATAGTGGTATCCGAAGAGGCGGAGAGAATACGGCTGGAGGGAGCGTGAACCGCGACGTCTTCGACACCCCAGCGATGGTTGAAGAGTTCGAGAGCCGTCGTAATGGTTCGCGTATCATCGTCGTACTTGTAAACACGAACAGTGTTGTCCAAGCCCGCAGCCACCACTTTCTTCTCCGACAACCACTTAGCCGTCTTCAAGCTCGTGACGCGACCGCCGTTGTTGGGAGCTTCGGAAGTTGCCAAAACATCACCTGAAGTGTTCCACACTCTTAACAGTCCATCATAACTCGCACTCAGTATTCTCTCTTGTCCGCTTTGCACCCCTGACAAGATATCCACGGCAGAAACCCAGTCGTCGTGTTCGAAGCTCGTGACGTTCAGAGGTGGCACCAAAGCTCTCGTGTATTCAACATCCAGCGTTGACTCGGCATTGATACCATTCTTGGTAAGAAACTCGTCGATTGTGGACCGGAGAAATTCGCCATTGATCAGGATGTCGAACGGTATGCGACTGTCGTCATCGCGGTGTAGAAGTTCGTTCACAAGTGTCGAAAGCTTGTGTCGTGTCAGAGCTGGGGGCGCATTTGCATTAGCCTCAGTGTCAAAAGAGTTGCGAAGACATTGGCAGTATAAAACCACGGTATTATGGTCGCGACGGCTCACAAGGCATGCGCAAACGTGTTGCAGCACATGACAGGAGGCCGCGACAAGCGATTAGGCCTGCGATAATTCTACTTACATGTCTGAACTAAAAGAATGTTCGGCTCCTCCGAGATTTGCAGGCTAGCATCGCGCGTAGTAAGACGGATCTGCACCTTGGTTTCTGTTGCGTCGATATCCATGGTGTCGGCGGGTTCGGAGGTATATGTTGGTTGGTGTTGAAGTTGTGAAGCTTTGGAAATTTTGGGATCTCGAACTTTTTTTCGAATGCGGTTAGCGCGGTGAAAACCAACCAGTCGGCGTTCGCAAACCTCCGCTCGTGTAGTATTGCAGGTTGTAGGACTTCTACATCTCACAGTTATCGAGCTTACTCAAGTTTTATTATAATCAGTCAAGGAATCCTGCAGCACTTTGTGTTCGACGCAGAATAGTGCTTTTAGACTAGGGTCATCACATGTTTAGCAGAACATGAACTTGCTCAAGAGGGAGCATAGCTCTGCTCCCCCCAATATCCTTTCATTATGTCATACTGGTTCTCCTGATCTCTGCAATAGCTCTCCTCCGATGGTCGCTAGGCGCGAACAGGGCCTCAATTAAGCCTACCACCTCTTCAGCCTCCATCTCTAACTTCAGCTCGCCATCGGTCCAGAAATATTTGATATCCGCGAGGCTGCTATCCAAAATCTCGCTCAGATATTGGAACTTAAACCAATTGGGCGTATAGATGCCGGCCATGTCTCTCGTCTCCCCGTTACCATCTTCGGTCTGGAAGTGCTGGGATAGAGTAGCAAGTGAAACACAATATCCGTGTAGCTTTCTGGACTCGTCTTCCGCAATATCTGACATGTCCTCGACATCGTTGATGAACTTCGTAAGTACAGCTGATACTAACGAGCCAAGTGACTGAAGCAGGGCGCTGTGTGAGAGGACATTCTGCCATTGTCGCTTCACATCACCTATGCGATCAATGGTCGTGGCGATAGCGTCATCACAGACTGTAGCAAAGGGTACATTAGTACAGCCCTGGAAGCCCTGCGCATCTTCCAGATGATCCCTAATGATTTGTCTTTGTGACTCCATCTCGCGTCCATATGCACGCTTTCCGAATCCGTCAATTGTCTTGATATCAGATTCGAGCATCGGCTTGAGACGTCTGGACGGTTGCAAATGCTGTGGCAACGTAGATGTCTTATCTTTCTCAGCTTGTTCTTGAAGGAAGAGTTGCAAACGATCCGACAGCCGCTGGCAGTCGTTGTAGATGAGCATGTTACTCGCAATATCTTTTGAGTAATGCATCACAGCAGTAGCTCGGTACATCGCAAGGAGGAGACTAGGAATGGCATATAGACCTCCACTTGCGGGTGCGATCGCGGACTTGACGAGCTCCGGTGAGTTCAGCGTGTCTACTTCTACAATAACCTGCAAGATGATTTCCATGATGGCATCCGGGATTGCCGTCACTGTATATGTCTCCCGAAGTGTGACCTCCTGGTGCGCCGGTTGTTTCTGGGACGCAGTTTTTCCATTCGTTTTCGGTTGCTCTGACGTATTTGCAGCAGGCTTCGGCGTTGCAGTGGGTTTGGTATCGGTCTCGTCATCCCAGTCCGCACCCCAATCATCGGCATCCTCTGCATCGGCTGGCTTTTCCTTGGTCTCTTGCTCCTTCGACTCGTCATCAGCTACCTCGTCATCCTCACCCCAGGCACTCATGTCTTCTTCTTCGATAGTCTCTTTCTTCTCTTCTGTGGCTTCTCCTTCCTCGTCCCAGTCAGCGGCCCAGTCGTCTTCTTGTTCATTCCCAGCATGCAGCGCGTCGCCTTTTGAAATGACTTGCGTCTCGACCCTTTCAACAGTCTTTTCTCTTGCACTTTCTTCGGGAACATCGTTTGCACTCGGGCAATCGCATCCTCTTTCTGTTTAGCAAGCCATATCTCGGCAGACTTATCCACCCATTCAGCTAAACGATTTTGACCAGACCAGCCAAGCTCATCGAGATACTCCACCAGGCCTAAGACATATGAGAGTGACTCTTGAAAGTGCGGTATTTCATCTGTGGACAATGGCACAGCAGGCAAAAGGAGGTTCGATATCAGACGAGACGCGACGATCGGAATAACTTTGGATGACAGTGGGACGGCGATGCTGGGCGGCAGGCGCGTGCTCAGATACTCGGCGAGCAAGTGAATATCCTCAAGGTAGATTTTACCTTACCATCATTGACCGGACCTGCACGTTGGATGACATCCTCTTGAATTCTAAATGCGGATACGACGCGGTCGGTACCCATGGCAAGGCGGGGAAAGATTATGATTTTGTCAAGATCACGGCTCAAGCGGGTGACAAAGCTATCAAGGAGCCCCAGTCTCGTAAGCGCTTCGACCGTTGTATTAATATCGACCTTGGCTTCGCGTTCGATAGATTGATGCAGTGCGATCTTGTGGTTAGTGTTGTCAACCGAAATCAATCCGTTCCATGACTCCGTCACAGTTTCCACAATGGCTCTCTTCAGCTGCTCTTCCTTGTTCTTCAACACACCCACTACTCTCGTGGTCGTGAAAGATCCCAGTCTCTGGAAAGCGCCATCCGCATCCTCCAATGTCTGTATAGCATGCATGACATGGCCATGCACAGCAGCACTCTGGGCAGAATCAAGCAATGTCGAGATATCTCTCAGCTGTTCTACCGCTTGTGCCAAGCTCTCATTGTATGCAATCTCCGTGTGCAGCAGGCTGACCTTGCTTGCAGCATCCTGGACGCGAGCTGTGTTTTCTTTCCCAGCTTCTGCTTGTTTTACAATGTCTTTGGCCGTTTCCTGAGAGCGTTTGATATCGTCTTGCAGCTTGCGTGCTTGTGCTATCCAGCCATCGACGTCGGGAGCAGCTTCTCTTGAGAGTTGGCGTACTTCGTTCTGGTACAATAGTCAGCGCTGACTCACAAGCATGCTAGGTGTACACACCTTTGTGTCTTCTCGTGCCTTAGCAACCACCTCTAACAGCTTGGGAAGCGCGCTGGAAGGTACAGTTGCAGACGCGACATCTTCGTCCTGGGGAAACGCCCCATGCGCGGCTGATTGCAGCAGCGCATCGCCTAGCTGCTCGTCGGAAACTTGCGAAGGCATTTGTGATCACGGGGCGATTGACATTTCAATATCAGGAAGGGCACAAGGGCGAGCTGGTTCGTAGGGCAGCCGCAACGTCGCAGGACCAACATTGAAGCTGCACGGACGTCCAAGCGACGTCAACTCGTACGTCGCTGCCCCGCCACACTTACCCCGCCACGGTCAAGTTGTGTGGGCTACTGAAGAACCTAGCACATGTGTGTTTGAAGACAATCGCAGAAGACAAATTTGGGTCAGGGCTACGTAGTATATTCAGCAGAATCTTAGCGGCTCTGCAGTACTATTGCCGGACAACTCGCCTGTTCCAGCCCTGCGCTCCACCATTCCCTTGTTCCTTATCCGGGGTGGCTTCCTACTACTCGTACTTCTTTTTATCCTCTTGTAAGTCTTGATACTTGCCATCACATTAGAAATCTAGATCAAAGCGCTAGTATTGCATCCCAAATGCACCGATGCATTGCTAGATATGTCTCGCAAGTCAGCTAACACAACAATGGTAGTACCAATTCGGACAGAGCGGCCTGTGCCTGCAGCCTAAGCAACGAAGAAGTGTATTCCAGAAATCTCACTCTAACGTTCCCTCCCTCCTTCAAATTCGACATTATGGGGTCAATACAGCAGAAGTCGCATTTCAAGAAACTGCAACAATTCAAGGCAAATTATGCCGACGCCACGTTCACTCAGTATGAATCGCAGCGAACAGGTCTTCGGGTGGTGGTAGTCGATCGAAAGGGTCCCAAAGTATACGGCAACTTTGCAGTGGCCACAGAGATTCACGATGATTCGGGTGCACGTAAGTATCCTGGCTTGTATCTAACACGGCTCTACTAACTGATCCAGCGCATACCCTTGAGCATCTCTGCTTCATGGGCTCGCGGAAATACCCTTTCAAGGGTGTACTAGACAAGATTGCCACCCGATCGTACTCCGACACAAATGCGTGGACAGATGTCTCCGAGACAGTGTATACTCTCTCAACTGCAGGCTGGGAAGGCTTCGCCCAACTACTGCCCATCTACTTAGACCATCTCATTGTACCTACGCTTACCGATGCTGGCTGCTACACTGAGGTACATCACGTTGATGGCAAAGGAGAAGATGCAGGGTGAGTGCTACTTAATACTTGTACGCCATTTGCTAATGACCCAAGTGTGGTCTACTCCGAAATGCAGGGGCGTCAAAACTTGCAGGGTGATCTGATGGATCTCCAGATGCGCCGCCTCCTCTATCCTGAAGGCGACGGTTTCCGTATGGAGACAGGTGGTCTGATGGAGAATCTACGAGTTTCCACCGCAGAGCGCATCCGCCAATTTCATCGAGACATGTATCAACCCAAGAACATACGACTTGTACTGATCGGAGAGGTGGATCATTCAAATCTCTTGGAGGTACTAGACAAGTTCGAGGATCAGATTGTTGATCGCGTACCGGCTTACGATGCGCCCTTCAAGCGGCCATGGGTCGAGTCAAAGCAGACTCCGCCGCTGAGCAAGACTATCGTCGACACAGTCGAGTTCCCAGAAGAGGACGAATCAACGGGTGAGGTTCAGATTGCCTTTCTGGGACCTAAAACCATCGATGACCTTGGAGAGACTGCCATCAACACACTGCTCAACTACCTTGCTGGTTCATCTGTTTCAGTCCTGGTCAACACGCTCGTCGAGAAAGAGCATCTTGCGAGTATGGTCTATTTTTGGTGCAAAGGACATACCGATATGATCATTTGGTGGACCCTATCATCCGTAGAGACAGATAAGCTGGCAGATGCCGAGAAACGTTTCTTCGAAGTCCTCAAAGAACACGCTTCCAAGCCGCTTGACATGAGCTACCTCAAAGACTGTCTCCATCGGTTCAAGCGCCAAACCCGATACATGTCTGAGATTGGTATGGATGAGTACAAAGATCCGATCATCAAAGACCACGTCTTTGGCGACCGGAATGGAACTCACCTTGAAGAAGCGATGGCCACTCTTGATGTATTCGATACCTTGGATAAATGGACCGAGGAGGAATGGCGAGCGTACCTGAACAAGTGGATGGTAGATGCTCACCATGTTTCCATTTTGGGTAAGCCCTCCAAGGCACTCTCAGACAAGATCAAAGCAGATGAGGTTGCACGCGTCAAGGCACAACAAGAAAAACTGGGCGAAGAGGGACTGGAGAACCTCGCACAGAAGCTCAAGGAAGCCCAAGAGGAAAACGACAAGCCCATCCCAGAAGAGATCATCGCCGGTGTTCAGGTTCCAAGCACCGAATCTATCCACTTCTATGAGACTACCACAGCACGCTCTGGATTGGCGAAGAAGCTGGGCACCTCGGAGAATAACATTCAAACAATTGTTGACAAGGACGAGAACGGTCTCCCGCTCTTCATTCACTTTGAGCATATACCGACCTCTTTTGTGCATTTCGGCTTAGCCCTTGGAACTGCATCACTACCAACAGAACTCAAGCCTCTGCTCGGTGTATATCTGACCAACTTCTTCGCCACTCCTATCGTGAAGGATGGAAAGCGTATTGAGTTCGAGGAGGTTATCACTAAGCTTGAGCAGGATACCATTGAATACTCCATGGACCGTGGTACCGACATCGGAAGCTCTGAGATGATCTACATCCCTTTCATCGCTGAAGCGGACAAGTTCGAGACGGTCGTTTTATGGTTGAGGTCAATGCTCGTCGACTCTGTGTTCGACACTGAGCGCATCATTTCTGCTGTCAAAAAGATGCTTGCCGACGTGCCTGAGGAGAAGCGTGACGGTAATTCCATGAGCTTCGCAGTCGACCGCATGATCCACTACGATGCTGCGTCAGCCGTTCGTGCGACTGGAACACTTGTGAAGGGCCTATACCTCAAGCGCATCCTGAAGCTGCTCAAGACGGAGCCTCAGCAGGTTCTCGACAAGCTCGAAGCCTTGCGTAAACACCTACTGACTTTCTCCAACATGCGCATCCTCGTTACCGCCAACCTCGAGACCCTGCCAAACCCGGTATCCACCTTCAAACACCTCACCGAAGCCTTCAAACCCGGCCCAGAACCAACCGTGAACCCGATCGACGACCGTAATGCGCTCCTATCGGATATCGGCCGCAATCCGGGTGGCACACACTACATCATCCCCATGCCCATTGACTCCTCCTTCGCAGTTCTCACATCCAAAGGACCAAAGGGATACACAAATGCCCAACTCCCGCCCCTCATGGTTGCACTCGCCTATCTTGATGCTGTCGAGGGCCCCATGTGGCAGTCAATCCGCGGCACAGGTCTCGCATACGGCAGCAACTTCTTCCGTGACCCCGAAACAGGACTGCTCAAATTCCGCATCTCCAAATCCCCCAACGTGTTTGCCGCGTACAACAAAGCCAAGACGGTCATCAAGGAGTATGGCAATGGCACGCAGGAGTTTGAGAAGCTGGCGCTGGAAGGTGCTATCTCTAGTATCGTGCGTGACTTTGTCGATGAGCGCGCTACTGTTGTCGATGCCGCTAGGAGCTCCTTTATTGATCTTGTTACGCGTGGTGTTGGCAAGGACTGGCAGGATTGGGCACTTCGCGAGGTGCGCAAGGTGACTGAAGAAGATGTCAAGAAGATCTTGAACGAGGTTGTAGCTGGTGTGTTTGTGCCTGAGAAGACGGATCTGGTCGTGACATGTGGTGGTATTATGACTGACGTAAGTTCTTCCTCGCCTGCTTCTGCCTTTTGTGTCGAAACGATGCTTACATTTCTATACAGGGTCTCAAGAAAGACTTCGAAGACGCTGGCTTCAAGATTGAGATCAAGCAACTTGCCGACTTCCAAGACGCATATGGTCTGGAGGGCGAAGAGGATGACGACGATGACGATGATCTGTCAGGTAGCGACGACGGCGACGATGATTCTGAAACTGGGTCGGAAATGGAGGAGTAGAATCTGGAGGGCTAACATGAGATCTGTGCTCAGTCCATCAAATTCACTCGTCAGTCATAAATACCTACTGTCACCTGCCGAATAGTAGCTGCAATGCAGAACAACACTTCATTCAAAACCCTCTCAATGTTCATATTTGTACACTAATGCGACGAAAACCCCTTCTCCAAACCAAGAAACGAAAAAAAAACAGGACACTGCCAAATATAAACCAAACCTCACATCAATCATGCCAGATTGAACAAAACCCTCAGAAAGTGTTGTAAATCATCTCTCTCGTAAATACATACAAGGAAAGTAGGTCTCAAAAAATTGGGCGCCAGCAATGCCTCCCAGCCTCAGCAGGCGCAGTCGTAGAGTTTGCGTATTTGGACAAGGCCAACGTAAAAAGTGAGTTTGGTCGAAGTTCGAAAGGTAAGAAGGATGGGTTTGGGGAATCACATAAGAAAAGAAACCAGAACGGACAAGGAACGACGCACACACACAACGCCGCTGGGTTGGTGGCACATTCGCCGAAAACGCCCCCAATAAAACCCAAGTTGAGCAAATTCTGATCGTCGTGGTAAATGAACTGCTGGAAGCCGAACTATGCATCTTCGGGTAGAATGCGCGCAAAGTGCTTTTCCCAAATCCATCCTACTGTCTTTGTTTGATCATCTTGATTCCGCGCAAGCCATAGCTCACCCTTCATACCAATGACATCGAATATCTCGCCTGGCACGTACACAAGATATGGTATTCCGCCTTCACGGCGATCGTGTGCAATATTGAATTCGAAGAGACTGGCTGCTAAGAAGAGCACCTCTGGCTCATCGGTATCCGCAGGTGTAGTAGGGAGGTCCTCGACGCTGCCGCGAGCAGGAGAATCGGACATGGGTAGCGCCGAGTTGAAGACACCCGACGCACGAGTGGATCCCGGTAATGACGTTGGCTGAGAGGTGGGCGCGGAGAAGGTGTGAATAGTGGGTTGCGAAGGTGAGAGGAAGGATGGACCAAGTTGAGGTGGGAAATCGAATGCGTTGGTTCCCAGCGGTGAGTGCTCGATGTCTACCGCGCCATCGAGACCCAGGTAGTTGTGATTGTTGCGGGAAGGACCAGTGTTGCGCCGCTCTTTGCGAACTATGGTGGCGTCACTATTATCAGATGTAGGACTGAGTGCACGGGCTTCCCGTAACGATGTAGGTCCAGGGCCAGCCCGACCTGATGCGTTGGGTGGATAGAGAGAAGGATATGCTGGTCCTGCAGGGGAAGAGCGTGGCGGGTTATCGAAACTGCGAGGATGTGATCGGGGTGCATAACCGCCGCTATTGCGGGTCTTTGAGTCGAGCATTGATGCCTCGCTCCCGATAGATTCAGTACGACGCGACGATGAGTTACGAGACGATGCGCCGCCATCAGAAGAGAGCGTCGGAACAGGAGACGTCATGTTGGAGATATCAACCAGGAGATTCCTGTTGATGATGCCCAATCTGTTCGCGAGATCCTGCATCGGTTTGTAGTCTGAGTGGAAACGCTCAACGTAGGATTCGAGGTCGTAACGAAGGGACGTCGTGTGCTGTGGTTCGCTCTCAAGTAGCGGAAGAATCTTCTTCGAGCAAGTCTTGTACCAATCCTTTTGCAAACACATGAACAGAGTCATGAGCGTGCGCATGAGGCCCTTTGTTCTTTCGTAGAGAAGAGGTAGCTCATGCTTGAGAGTGTCGTTAATTGTACTGAACTTTTTGGATGACTCCTCTATGTCCGGGTCAATCTTTTCGCCGCGATCAAGTGCTTGCTTGTGCTTGACGTAGTACAGCAGGTATTTTTTGCGTTGCTCGATGGTTTTCTGATAAGAGACCCACATTTCCCAGAGGTCACCAACAGGCTTCAGAACGCGGCTTCGAACGGCAGCTTTCTGTGACACAGTTAGCTGAATATTGATGATACGATCTTCTAATACTTACGTGATCTTCTAATGCCTTATTCTGCAGCTCGAAATGAGCCATAGCCCATTTTCGCCACGTGCTCTCGATCTCTGGATACACAGATGGCGCCACTTCGCAGACAGTGATGAAGCCCAAAAACACAATGTTGAGTTGAAGATAGTGCTCCGTAATCGAATCAAGGTACTGTTCGAAGTCACGAATAACGATCTGAAGTTGGAAGAAGTGCCCTCCAAACTTCTGCTCTTTCGATTTGTAATCCTGGTCTTTGAAAGTCTTGTCGGCCTCATCATATGCCTTGCTCTTGTCAACCTTGGGGATGAAGGCCTTGACAAAAGTCTTGCCAAGACCGCTTTTCTTCTCCTTCTTGCCTTCAGAAGCGGCGGCGCGGAAAGTATCAGAACGCGCCTTGGCCTGGTTGATACGCTGACTCATTGCTCTTAGTTCCTCATAGGCTTCTTTGATCTTTGGCAGATCGGGATGGTCAGGGTCTGTAATCTCTTGCAAGGACTGCAGAATCAGCGGATACTTCAACAGGCGCTGACAAGGCTTCAACAATAGAGAGTCCAGATCCCACGCTTGGGTCATGTTTTCTACTTGCTCAAAGCAAGCAGTGACCCACCCAGATAAGGTCTCGTTGCCGTGGTTCTTCTTGATATAAGCGCTGGCATTATCCTGATTAAGGAAGTATGTTGTGTAGAGTCGTTCCATCTTCTCTTTATTGTCCAAGAAAACTTGGCCAATCGTGGTCAATCGATCGTTCTCCAGAGTGCAGTTCTCGAACTGATCCGGAGAGTCCTCAGATGGCCGTCGAGCATGCATTGGTGATTCTCCAGAATCATACGATTTACCGTCAGAGGAGTCGCGGTTCCAGGGGCCAGTTGGAGGTGATATCTCGTAGTTGACAATAGGCTTCGCGGCCTTCTTGAAGGCACGAAATAGCGACAGAGAGAACTTTTCCAGTTCTTTGCAATTGCTGAACAATAACCTCTTTTCCTTTTCACTCATCAGGTTTTGCGCGGTCGCCTCGAAGATGTTGTGTGCAATCATCATGTCTATACAGAACTGATGCTCAGTGTGAAGCAGCTCTTGCAAGGTGCGATATCGCTTTATTAAAGCTTGCTTGGCAGGGTCAGGCTGGCCGTTTTCGCCTTGCTCGGCTTCACATGGTATCTCAACAGTAGACTCGATAGGTTGTGGAGTACCGTATCGGTCCTCGAGGCTTTGTTCGTGTACATGAAGGACAGGAGTACGTGACCGAGCGGGGTGCATTTCGAATTTGTCGTCGTGGAGCATGGATCGTGAAAGTTGTTGCTGTTGTTGCGGCGTAGAGTTGTACGGGTTAGGTCGAGAGGAGAGTTGTTGATCAATAGATGGGTTCACAGGGGGAGGCGGTGGTGAGTAGTTGGGACGGGGAGGAGCTGGGAGTGAATGCGGCATACTGTGTTGTAGGTCAAGTCCAAGTCCGCCATTGGTCCATGCAAGTTGTGGAAGTTCAATGCGGTTGGATGCTACCGACTTATGCTCATCTGTTGAGGTTCGTGATAATGCATTGTGAGAAGGGTCGCCGGAAGAGCTGCCGGAATGAGACGCATCTTCTTGGATGGTTGTGGTGGTAGAGCCTGCCGATTCCCGTGAATAGCGTCGCGAGGACGATGGGTAAATGATCGCTGTCCCGCCGACATGAGACTCTGGTGTACCTTGCTGTAGCTGTGGTGTGTACGAATCTGGGCGTGATGGGGACGCTACTCTTTCGGGCTCGCGCCTCGTCTTGTCGTATTTCGAACCATTAGCATCACTCAGCAATCGAGCGAGATATGTCTCTGTAGACTCTTTTGATGCCCAATCTTTGTGTTGTGCAATGACGGGCGAGACCTGTTGCACCCTTTCTCTCGATACCGAGGCTAACTCCGGGGAAATAACGGGAGACTGATGGTACATGTTTAAAACAGAGTTGACGACGCTGTAAGTCTCGGTATTTAGCGTCAGCGAGCCAAGTGTTTGGTAAGGAGCAACGCTTGCGGAGTCATCCGGATACAATGTGTCCCGTTTTGGGGCCGAATCGCCTAGCGATCCTTTCGTATCGTGGCGAGACATGGATGGCATGTCTCTAGCATCGTGTGCTTGCTCAGAGTTGTACCCAAACGCCAAAGCCTTGAGGCCTGCGCTGAAGCTCCCCGAATCGGGTTCCCATGGTTCTGGTGGCTCCTCTTCGCTAAGCATGATTGGTATTGATTCCCTAACACCTAGTTCTGACTTCTCCATCTCAGGTGATTGAGGAGCGGGCCTCTGTGGTGGAGGGTGGAAAATATGTGGTTGCAAGAGCTGGTGCTCCGACTCCTGATGCGCCGTCGGCGGCGTAAGAACAAAGCTTCCTGGCAGCCCCAGTACGGGCGATTCGTCAAAATCGGTCATGGCTGACGCTGGTTGCTCGAGCAGTGGTACAGACAGACTAGACGTCTGGAGGCTCAGATGTTGTTGCTCTGACAAGGGTGACGAGTGCTCATCCCGCGAAATGCGCTGCGTCTGCTCACGGGTACCATGAGATTGCTCGGTTTCAGCAACACCGGGCAGCCCCGCAGGTTGCTCTTGCGGCGTATCGAAGCTACTTGCAAGTGGAAAATATTCCTGCTCACCATGGGGGCCGGTACTCGTCGAGCGGGATGCGGGCGAAGGTTGGAGCGGCTGTCTTTCTCTCGAGTTGCGCAAGCGGGGCGACGTTGGTGGAGGCGGGGCGTTCACGACGGCAGACACACTTGGTCCGCTTCTCACTCCCAAGGGCGACTTCCCTCTCTCGCGATATCCACGGTAAGCTAATGCGGGGAGCGTTGACTGGTCTGTGCCTCGGGAGGAGACTGGAGCGCCTGCCGCCGCAGCCAGAACCCTGTCCATTCTCGTCGGCGAGGCGCGGTTGCTGTGATTCATTGCGCGGGTTGGCGTGTATTTGACGGACCGTGTCGACGAGTTCGAGTCTGAGCCCGCGCTCAAACGACGTGTCGCTACTGGTATCCTCGAACGTGGCGTGTGCCGTTGGGGCGACCGTGGTGTAGTTTGTTCTTGCGCATGTGCCTGCGTGCGCGGTGTGGGTTGCGCGTCGTCGGCGAAGGCTGATGTTGCAGTGCTCGCAGACCGTCCATGGTGCGAGCTGTTGAACGAGATCGAAGGTTGTGCAGCGTCTGCCTGCGTGCTCTCGAAAACGGGGATTCCAAACCCTGGCGATAACACATCCTGTCCAGTTAGCACTTCGCCAAACAGCTGCCTCCCACTGGGTGCTGACGCCCGATTTGGCGAGGTGACCTTTTTGGGCGTCGAGGTTGACATGTGCTGGTCGATGCTGCTCCTGCTGCCATTCGTCCTTCGCGCATTTCGAGGGGATGCTGGGGCAGGCTGGGGCCGGTCTCGCGGCTTCAGATTGTTGAACTTGTGCGATCCGTACGAGGCTTCTTTGCTCGGGCGTGCAGCCGATGCAGTCGACGAAATGGATGCATTCGTGCGTCTGGCCGAGTCGTGTGCCCCAGCTCGACTCGGTGTCCTAGATCTCGAGCGCACTGCAGTCGAAGACGTGGTTGAGCTGGCTCCGGGCGACTGCTCGAAGCGCTCTGCCAGGGCTCTGACTTTGTTGGAGACCTGAGGGGAGCGAGTCGCTGGGGGCGGCGATGCAGGACCAGAGGCAGACCTCGGGGTCGCTTTGGGTGTTGTACGCGCACCGTTCGTCATGGGCTGCCGCTGCCGCGCTGCGGGCATGTCGATGCCGCGTTGCGGTGAGGGAGGTGCTGTGTGCTCGGTCGTAGTATAGGCGGAGTAGTAGTGCTCGGGCGAGGTTCCCAGATCTTGGTCGGCATGGTCGAGCTCAGTCGACTGCAGCCAGTGTGAAACCGAAAGGCCGGGATCGTATGCATATTCATGCGCTTGGTCAGAATCCATATCCCATAGTCGGCGGGCGCAAGGGCGCAAAAGCAAGGCAGCGCCAACGTCGGAAGAAGAGGTGGTCCAATCTCGACCAACAAGGGTTGCCAACTCACACTCGGCTCCTCTCGATCAGAAGGCGTCTGGGCCAATGACGATGTCGAGGCCAGTGGTGCCCCAAGTCGACGAGTTGATATGTTTCAGCCTGAAAAGCAAGCCGACTGGTTCCCGATACGGCGCGCTTGTGAGAGGTTCTGAACTGTCTGTGTCAGATCAACAACTGGAGCCCACACGGTACATCTTAACTCCGTCGTTAACATGCAGCTAGGAAGCGGGATACCGGCGCCGCACTTGATGAGGCGGCACGCGACGACGGTCTGGCCTTTGCAACTAGCAGACACATGTCGATATGCTCAGTGTACACAGTGTGTCCCGTCTTGGTAGATTGGGTCAAGTTTCGATGATCCGCATACTCTTTCGCGGCGTGCTTATCCATCCGTGCTTCTTGATGGGTATCGGATGGTAGCATCCCGCTTCCCCAGCCCGTAGCCTCTACCAGTACTAGCGGTTCGTGCTAGGCTTCATTCCAAGGATAGCCGTGTTTTATATAACCAGGGGTACGTAGATCTGTAGATGCAGCTGACCTAAGATCGTTCCATGTACATCATTGTTCCGTTGCCATCCTTCAATTGCATGTAAAGTCAGGTACGAAGATGAGGACGATGGGGTTTCCACGTGGCACAAACGAAGCTAGTCCCAAAGAGATGTGGACTTGGACCCTTCCGTATCCATCCCCACACACGAAAGGTGCATCACAGCACACAAGGTTTTATCTAGAGATGTGATAGTGGAAAGACTGTGTGATCAACATCGTGTTCTTCGGTATACATCGCAAACTCGACGAGAAGTGTAGGTGACGGTTAGGAAGAGCTTACTGCGCCAAGGATACAAGGTATCAGCACATCAAAAGTACATAAATGTTCCGTTAAGACACTTGGGGGTCATTTGCTTTAGGTGGCGGGTCCATTGCAGATAGTTGTTATTCAAGTTTCGCACCTTCCAGACATGTCCCCATTGAAGGAAGAACAACTCTGGATCTAGCCCCACTAGCAGGGGCAGCGGAATAAAAGAGCTTGTGTCAAGTGTTCAGTTTCTTCCTTGTATGCGGCAAGAGTGCATGTTTATCTCTGCAGAATGAAGCTGCTTGAAAACAACCGAGCTGTCAACGATTACACAGGCAACATTTGACAATGCCTCGTACACAATCATACAAGACTGGATGACTGAGACAGTGCAGTATCCAAACATGGCTGTACGCTGCAGGTGCCGAGGAATGCAACCCAGACACGGATACAGGACATGGCGTCGAAACCATGTCCTAGCATCAAGCACACAGCTTTGCAGTCCACCGAAAACGTCACGTAAACATGTAATGTACGACCAATCATTGCGCTCTCTCCCACTGCAAAAGCAGGGAGAAACCGCACCCAAGATCAGCCAAAGTATTCCTCTCCACTTCACAGACGGTTTTCGTTCTCATGGAAACCTCACACCGTCCGTAGACGACGGGTCTCTCCAAAGAAAATGCTTTTCGTGAGTGTGCAATTTTTTGCGTTGTTCAATGAAGAGGAAAGGAAGGGACGGCGGCGAGAAAGCTTTTCTTCTTGAGACCGGCGGAACCTTTCGCCGAGGCGCTTTGACGTTGTGCGCAGCCCCGCCACAAGTGGGCTGTTCCGGATCTGGGTTTGAGTCACTTTGTGTGGGATTTGAACTCGAAAGTTGCCTGCCGCCAGTCTCCACAAACGCAACTCTACGACAGACGAATCCAATCTCCCAACAACCGAAACTTGCAACTCGATTGCCTCCCGAATTCCCAACCCCCCAAACAAGTTGCCCAGCATGGAGTCCGAGTCCGACCACGACCACCGCGATGACGAGAGTGTGTCTGAGCAGGAAGAGATTGAGGAGACAAAGCCAAAGTCCGCGATGAAGAAGGGCCGGGAACCCGTGGCGCCCGTAGAGCGCCCAGAGCTTCCGTACGTGTTGAATGTGTGAGGCTCTGCGCCATATAGCTAACGCGCACAAGCGAACAACCAGACCCGAGCACGCTCGACCTTACTACACTGAACCCACTGTCGCCTGAGATTATTTCACGCCAAGCCACAATCAACATCGGAACCATTGGTCACGTCGCTCACGGAAAGAGTACTGTGGTAAAAGCCATCTCCGGTGTGCAGACGGTCCGCTTCAAGAACGAACTGGAGAGGAATATTACCATCAAGCTCGGTTACGCGAACGCGAAGATCTACCAGTGTGACAACCCAGAGTGCCCGCGCCCAACATGCTACCGGTCATACAAGAGCGACAAGGAGGTCGACCCACCTTGTGAGCGTGAAGGGTGCGAGGGAAAATACAGGCTGAAGCGCCACGTCTCTTTCGTCGACTGCCCTGGTCACGACATTCTCATGAGCACTATGTTGTCGGGCGCCGCCGTCATGGACGCTGCACTGCTTTTGATTGCTGGAAACGAATCTTGCCCGCAACCGCAGACAAGTGAGCATCTTGCTGCCATCGAGATCATGAAGCTGAACCACATCATCATTCTCCAAAACAAGGTTGATCTGATGCGGGAGGACAGTGCTGCGTCGCATTACGAATCTATCCTCAAGTTCATCCGAGGAACCGTCGCGGATGGCTCTCCCATCATCCCCATCTCCGCCCAGCTGAAGTTCAACATTGATGCTATCAACGAACACCTCATCAGCAAGATCCCAGTTCCAGTACGAGACTTCTCCGCGAAGCCACACATGATTGTCATTCGATCCTTCGACGTCAACAAGCCCGGTGCCGAAATTGATGAGCTCAAGGGTGGTGTTGCTGGTGGTAGTATCCTCACTGGTGTACTGAAGCTGGGAGACGAGATTGAGATCAGGCCCGGTATCGTTTCAAAGGACAGTGCCGGAAAGATTCAGTGCAAGCCTATCTTCTCAAGAGTAGTGTCCCTATTTGCCGAACACAACGACTTGAAGTTCGCCGTTCCGGGAGGACTGATCGGTACGCAATCTTAGTCGCAACACCACTGATTCTTCAACTAACATACTCTAGGTGTCGGTACACGCGTTGACCCTACTCTGTGTCGTGCGGATCGTCTTGTCGGTTTCGTCCTTGGTCTCCGTGGACATCTTCCCAACATCTACACCGAGCTCGAAGTCAACTACTTCCTCCTCCGAAGATTGCTCGGTGTCAAGACTGCAGATGGCAAGCAGGCCAAGGTAGCCAAGCTTGCAAAGAATGAAGTTTTGGTAAGTCTTGATCCCTTGTGTGTTTAGAACAAGGCTGATAATCGCATAGATGGTCAACATCGGATCAACTGCAACCGGTGCCAAGGTTGTGGCTGTCAAGGCTGATGCTGCTCGTCTATCCCTCACCTCCCCCGCATGCACAGAAATCGGTGAGAAGGTTGCGCTGTCTCGACGTATTGAGAAGCATTGGCGTCTTATCGGTTGGGCCAACATTGTAGCGTAAGTTTGACAGCATATCTAGCTGCATCCACGAGCTTACATATCTTTTAGCGGCAACATCCTCCAGCCTATCGTCGATTGAGCGGGGACAGAGAGTAGTGGGGTAGCTCACAAGGAGTGGAACGATAAACTTTATGATGGGACGACGTAAACGTGGGGCGTATGATGGCAGAACATGTGCATTTGGTTCCTGAGCATTTCCTGCCGGAGTCGGTTGCGCTTGGAGAAGGGCATCAAAAGTGGTTTTTCTCGCAGCTGTGTTTTAGACAGCATCTGAAGCCACAACCGCAGAGGTCTAGCGTCACTGGAGAGCGAGCGTCTTGTGTATCAGTACGTTCTCCAGCTCAGGGTAGCCGCATATAATGAAACATGCACGATCCACTAGAACTGTTGAGAATGCAGATGACATCGGCTCCACAGGCGGAAAGTAGGCCGATCTTCACATGAAAGCCATTCCGTGACACATGCAAGAGCATGGCCCAACAACGTCAGATCAGCGTACTAGCCTACATGTGCCTCATAGTCCCCTCACTGCATTTTCGTACGAGTTCTCCGGTCGCTGTATTAATTTGATTGCCTATACGAGGTATGTTTGCGAGGCTCCAGTAATTATGCCTGTACAAGGCCGAGCACACGCTCAAAAGCTCACGCGCACTGACTCGGGGTTAGAGTTCAACTTACGTTCCATTCTAAACAACACAACGATTATACGAATACGCGGCTCTGCTTGTGCTGCGAACGATAGCTTGTCTCTTTTTACTTCTTGACGCTCGCTGTTCATATTGCTTTAATCTTTTATTGTAATCGCAAGCCTACATTGGATTTGTACACCTGACAACAAAGTTTGCGGAACCCTGCCCGCGTCGGAACTGGAGCGCGACGGCCATGGAAGAAGACCCTTCGAAAGCGAAAGCGGCACCACCTCCGCTACATATCTACCGCCCCATCCCGCGTCGCAACTTCGAATCCAACTACGACACGGCCGATTCGCCCACACACGCCTTTTCGCAGGCAACGCCTCCGAGCGCGACCGAGAACCGGAGATCGTCTGACTTCCTCGCTCAGCTCAACGCCCGCTTGCTGGGGACATTTAATTCGCGCGATGACGACTCGGACGACCAGGAGAGGGAGAGTAGGCCTCCGCCGCGGAACAAGAGTTACTTGAACATGACGAGTAGCACTTTATCCGGCATATACGACGAGACGGGTGCGAATACGGCTGGGGAACTGAGCACGGCGGAAACGCCATGGGGGACTGGTGCCGAGACACCCACACACATGACCATGGGCTTTCAGACCCGGGAAACCGCGATGGGGAGTCCTGATGGCGGACTGAGCTTGAAGAACCAGGCCAGGAAAGGATCAAACAAGGGCAAAGCTGAAGGGAGGCGGAGGAGTCATGCGATCAAACAACCGCGTCACGGCGTATGGAAATACGCTGTGATTTTGGGCAAGCTCGTAGCCCTGTACGTCTTTGGCGTCATCTACGGAGTCATCGTCTCGCATCTCCACGAGACGAGACAATTGGCAGCTGTACACGTTGAAGGTGTTGATCGCAAGAGTCAGGCCTACCTTGCCACCTGGGGACTATTTGGAGTTACCTTGGGAAGTTTGCTTCCATACGTTGATCTCGTATGGGATGCACAACGGAAAGAGAGCCAGATGGAAGACAAGGAGGCGGATACACACGATTCACCCATCAGCGAGCAGATCAATGATGTAGTTAGGAGTGTGGCAGCTTTTGTCGGGATAGCATTTGCTATTGTAAGTTCTCCTTGGTACTACCTCACTATATACTTGGACGTCGACTGACACTTTGATTCCTAGCGCCGTCTCCCCTGGCAATCCACCCTCCAGCTCACCCTAACTCTCGCCCTCGTAAACCCCGCCCTTTGGTACATCCTCGATCGCTCGAAACCCGGCCTCTCTGTCTCACTCACCGTCACTTCTATCCTCACATCCTTCATTTTCCTCTCGAATCCAGATGTTCTTCCCTCACCGTCCCTACCAGCCACCACAAACGCCACGCAAATCCCGTCCATGGGCAGCCATACATATCAAAAGGGGAAACCAGCACCAGTCGTTACACCAGAGCTGTTCGCTGGCATGGTTAGTTACGAGAACTTAGCTGTCGTAACTTGGGTGGGAAGTGTCCTATTCTGTAGTTGCGTTTGTTTTGGCAGTATAGGGAGGAGGTTGGCTGTGCTGGAGGAAAGTGGGTGGAAGAGGTGATGCTTCTTGGTTGAAGATTATAGTGTCTCAGGGATTACATTGGATAGTCTCGCACAACTATTGTGTGTTGAGACAATGGATAGATTCTGCGGATGCATGGGGCGTCTGGTAGGAATGAAACCCTTTGGCCTTATATTGGGCCTTTGTGGAATTTGATCTCATCACTCCTTGATGTGTGCTGCCCTTTCAGTACGGCTTTTTCCAGCGAATATTGTGCAAGTAGAATCACACGTCACCTCTCGATTTGGGACTACATGAGCACCCCATTCAATGGAAGAACTGTACACTTCTGAGATTCTGAAACTTTTCTTTGCCTACTACAACGGTACGTAATAAGAAATGATTTACGAAGATAAATGACTTGAACCCCAATATTGCTCTTGAATTTCGTGTATTGTTCTATCTAGTGTTATCGTAGGCTGCATAGCCTTGTTGTTCTTGCTGCTGCACTTGTTGGGTTTCCTCCTTGTATAGGGTGGTCAAGTCAACGTACTGCCCAAGTTTGACTAGTTGTTACCATTGCAGATGAGAGAAACTACAAAGAAGCAAACACCAGAAAACCTGCTGTCTATTATATCCACCAATAAATCTGGGAACAAAAACAATGATTGCCTACCATGGTACACTTCATGTGAGAGGTCGAAAAGGAAAAAAAGAGGCAAAAAAGAGGTGTCGCAAATTGGCGGTACTGGGAACTATAGACATGTTAGTAACAATGTCTCAGTAAACCGACTCAATGAAGGGGAACGTACTCGAACCCAGGCTGGCGCGGATCTGGATCAGGACAAGCTAAGTTGTCCGCCAGCCACAACGCGACGTCATACCACTAGACCATACCACCGTTGGTATCGAGCTCTGATTGGCTGATTTGATGGAGGAAACGAAAAATAAATTATTCATAATCTCTCTAAAATTATAAAAAGAAGCATGTTGGAAATGGCTCTAATCGGTTTTGCAAAGCGGCTACAGAGTGGGAATATGAGTCAAGGTAAAGGCATCGTGGGGAACACATGCAGAGCCGAGTGGGGAACATAGGCGATTGGGCATGGTTGCCGTCTTCGGAGAAACGGCTACAAATACTTTTACTAGACACCATCACTAAGTGGAGAATCAGGTCTACTTTGCTCTCGGACTGTTTCATGAACAGGCCGTTTGAACAGGCCGTATGAACAGGGTGGTGAGATGCGTAAGATTCTTCTATGCTTTCTCAGATACATCATCTCTTCATACGTGTCCATATCCTCATAATCATCAATGCTTTACGAGCCGCTTTAGGCTGTATTAGATCAACGGCCGGGGCCACTGAAAACTACCATTCGGCGATGACAATTCTCTGCTTTGCCCACTAATCCCCTAATCCCCAACGTCTCTTTCTTGTAGATCCTGAGTACCATCGTACATGCTTCTTCTGTGTTTACATTCGTTTTGATTACCATGCATACGATACTACGTGATACACCAGAAACATCGTTCTACAAGACGTTTACTGGGCCTTGGAGAGCTTCGCCCTGCTAGCAGCGAGAGCAGCAGAGAGACTGAACTGGGTGTTGATACCGTCGATACGGTGGACAGCGTTGAGGTTCTTGACGCAGGTGATTTGGAAGCAAGTAGCAGATCCCTGGCGGGAGGCAATCGTAGAGTAGGCGAGGAAGTATTCCCAGATCTGGCGCATAGTTAGCATCTAGCGATAAAGGCATACGAAAGTAATTCTTACCTTGAACCATCGGATGCCGTACTTGGCAACGACCTTCTCCTTGTTGGCGAGCCAGTTGCGGTACCACCTCCAAAGAGTAGCAGAGTAGTGTACACCGATGGTGTCAACCATCTTGACCTCAAAACCAGCGCCCTCGAGGGTGTCGATAACGAAACCCAGAGGAGTAGAAGCATCGGCACCGGGGAAGACGTATTTGTTCATGAAAAGACCCCAGGTGAAGTCCTCGAACTGCCAAGCCTTGCGGAGACCAGCGATCTGGAGGAAGAAGACACCGTCGTCATCGAGCATATCGTAGACCTGACGGAAGAAACCGCTCAAGTGGCGGACACCGACGTGCTCAGCCATCTCGAGACAGGTAATCTTGTTGTAGCCACCAGGAGGGAGGGGAATGTCACGGTAGTCCATGCAGAGAATCTTGGACTGGTCTTCTTCGATGCCAGCCTTCCTGAGGCCGTTGTTGCCCCAAGCAGTCTGGTTGCGACCAAGAGTAACACCCGTAGCGTGAGCACCGTAGTTGACGGAGGCGAACTTGGTAAGGGTACCCCATCCGCAACCAATGTCGAGCATCTTCTCGCCCTTCTTCAGACCGATCTTCTCGCAGACGATTGACATCTTGTTATCCTGTAGCTGTTCGAGACTCTCCTCAGTGTTGATGTCGGAGATGATGCCGGAGGTGTAGATCATACGAGGACCGAGGAACCAGCCGTAGAAGTCGTCACCGCGGTCGTAGTGGTCGCGGACCTGTTCTTCGTCTAAAGTGGGGTCAGCATATACCTACAGTTTATAGGTGTTCGAGTTACCTACCCTGAGACTTGGAGTGAACAATCATCTCCGGGATCATGCCAAAGAGGAAGTGCTTGATCAATCCGAGGGTGAAGCGGGGCTTGGACCAGTCGTGGCGCCATTCGAGAATCTCGAGCATGTCGCCATTGAGCTCGACCTCACCGTCGAAGTACTTCTCCTGAAACGTCTCAATGGGGATCTGCTTCTTGCCATAGTATGCGTCGCGGTCCTCGGGCTTAGTGAACTTGAGGTAGTGCTCTATGGGCTTGCCGGGAAGTTTGGCTTTCTCGTTCTTGCGGGGTGCGAATTCAGAGGTAAGCCACCAGAATGGTCCTAGAATAGGAAGGAACAGGACAAGGGCTAGGAAAACCCATGTCTTGAAGCCCATACCCCAGCTCCAGGTGATGTAGGCGGGGATGCCAACCAGCAGCGAGATGAGGGCATAGTTGTTGAACGAGTCGCGACCGGAACCTTCTGCAGGCAGAGGAGCATTCGCAATGGTCGGGTACTGTTGGACGTCGAATGTCAGCGTGCTAGCTCTCCATGTTGATGCTCAATGGCTGGCGGGGTTGCTCGTTAAATTGCACAGATGCAACAACTTACCGAAGTCGTCTTGACGCCGCAGTCGAAGGCGGGCGTCGTGGGCGAGGGCGCCGGTGGCGTCTCAACCCACTCAAAGTTCTCCTCAGAGGTATTGCTGCTCATCTTGCGCACCGCTGAGCAATTTTGCAAGATGGGAAGCAAACGTGTTGGGATCTGGAGGCTTTAACGGCGGTGAATCTAAGCGAACACCCACCGGGGTTGCGCCTGCCCCTGCAGATGGTTAACTCTCCAAGCCTAGCTCCAAACATTGAACAGCACACCGACGGCGACTGCCTTGGATATGCGCGATATACGTTGCAGCATTACTAGCACAACTCTGCCGTTGATAAGGGTTGTGGAGCGTGGAGAAAGTCACAGTGCTCACAACTCAGCACTCTTGCATATGGAACGTAGTCCACGGTATCGTTATCACAGCATGTGAACTCGCTCTTTCTTCGGTCATATACGCGTATGATCCATACACGCTTCTTCAATCAACCAGCCGTCTTGTAACCCCGTACAGATAGGAACAATTTTCAAATTCTGCCAAGCCTTATTCATAGCATGGGCGGGGCACGCTCAAGACACGTTTACTAGTAGCTTCCCCCTAACAAAGTCCACCTTCTCCTTGGCAACACCGGCTTGCTCCAGGTACTTCTCAACGTTGCCGTACTTTCCAAGCATATAGGAGTGTACACTACTTACCAAGTCCGGAGGGCATGTCGCAAACTGTTCCGTCAGACCAATCGACGCCATCTCTTTTAATCTTCCTTCTTTCTCTGGCTCAAGTTCTGGTTCGGAAAGTCGGTAGTCTTCGTCGATAGTCTTCTCGTCGACATCGAGCAGCAAGAGAACCAGCATTACTATGAGCCCGGTTCGGTCCTTGCCCTGTGTACAGTGGACTAGAACTGGCCAATTCTGCTCTTCACCTAGTACATCAAAGACCTGCGTGACTTCGCGTGTGCACACGTCTAAGGATTGCTCGGCCAGTCCGACGAGCCCCATGTCTTCCATGTGAGGAGCTAAGATCTTGATGGCATCCTTGCGGTAGCCAGTAATCATAAGCCCTACGAGCTTGAAAAACTCGAGCCATGTGAGCTTTGAGAGCAACATGCGCGAGAAAGCTGAGCCGTTGAAGTTGATTTCGTGATAGTTTATGCCGGGTATCTTGAGGGGCTCTGCTACATCGTCATTGCTCTGAGGAACTGCTGCTGACGCTTTAATCCTTGCATCGTGCTTTTGCGCCTGTTCGATGTGCTCCGTTCTGTACTGGTTAGCACGATGTTGGCTCCCGCCAGTTACATCTACGTACTTTGTTCGTAGATCAATGATGCTTTTTACGCCAAATTCTTTCAAAAGTCGCTGCCTGTCTTGGAAAGAAGCCTCATCTTTTACAGTCAGCCTCGCGCCAAGATACATGTGCAAGATACGCACCAGGTCGGGCACTTCGGAATAGTAAGCCATTCCTTAAACGGCTGTAGTATGGTCAGCCAACGATTGTCTTCGAGTCGCATGGGCAATATACCTAGTTCCGGTCTTTTGGTTGACAAACTGACTGACATCGCGAAAGTTCAATATGCTTTTGAGTGGCGTTTGTAGTTCAGACATGTTCAATACATTTAGTCGTGCGAGGCTAAGAATGATGGTATAGCTATTTACTGGATCAGGTTGGAAGGTCGAGACCCGGTGACGTAGTTAAGTTGACACTAAACCGCATCTAATCCAGCTTTGCTTCTGAAGCCAAACACGCACCAATAGAGGTGCTCGGGCATCATGACAACCATCAGGATAGAAGCGCGCCATAATCGTTCGTAGCTCATGGATATCCGGAATTGTGCTATCGTGATCAATGAATTCAAGTAGGACACCATCTGGAAAGATTTATTGACTTTGCACGCGTTCAGAAATTGAAACTTGGCTATCATGTTCCACCAAACCAAGGTGCAACGTTGTATACAAATGATGTGCTTCGTTCGCACGACGCAGGTCTGTGATCTTCAGATGTGCGCAAGGATGCTGGGAGACAGGATAACCCTCTTGGACGGACTGGGTATATGATTTGACTACTTCGGTGAGTCTGTCGCATGTTTCCGTCTGGACAGGCAAGGTCATGTCCGGCGCGGGCTAGAACCAGCCCCAAGATAGTAAGGCTGGTGTGAGATTTCCCACGCGGAACGCACGCTCACGGCGATCCTCCACAGTTGATATGACATCATTGCTGTCTTCTCGTCATTTAGCCATGAAGGGCGCCGCAAACTGTGTCCCAGGCTGGCGTTTGCCTTTCCCTTTCATCTTCCGTGATCGCCCTCAAAGCAGCTCTTGGTTCAATTTCGTCTTGCACCGAAACGCTCTTTCACAATGGCGACGACAGCTCTTACTGCGAGTGCGGCCCCCACTGCTGACAGCAGACCCTTGAAGGGAACGGAAGAGGCGGCTCCACCACGATCCTCCGCCGAGAGGAACATGCGTTGCCCTGACCCATCCGCGCATCTGCATCAGCCAAAGAACAGCGTGTTACAAAACCAGGCGTCTGCAGCGGCGCTCTATTCGCATAACCACGGCAGCCCTGCCAAAGCAAACGTAGCAAAACCTATCAACCCGCTCGGAGCCGACGGCAAGCTCTCCTCAGCGAGTGAGTGTAAAACTGTGATGATCGCATTACATCATATCCTAACGAACATTCACAGGCGCTGCTACGAGTCTTAAATACGCGAAGGCCCAAGACCTTCCCAGCTATCCCGTCGTCGGAATTGACACTCAATCCTCTGCCGGAGCCGCCGCGCTACTTGCCAACCAGAACAAGAAGAGCCCGGAGTGGTGGAAGCCTGAAGCATCTTCAGCGGCAGGCAAGGCTGCGTTGCTCGCAAACGGTTATAAAATGGCCCCTGTGTGGCAACCAGAAGCAAGCGCGGCAGGCTCAAAAGCAGCGCTTCTCGCTCATAGAGACGGCGCAAAGCTGAACCTGTGGCATCCCGAAGCTAGTGCTGAGGGCCATTCTGCTGCTACTATTGCTATGAGCAAGAAAGGTCTCGGGCCGGAGGTCGACTACGGATATACAGACCAGGGCAGGAAAAACGCCTTCACTGCGGCCACCGACGCCCACTCTGCGTCGAGACGTAAGCGCGCTCAGTCAAACCCACCAGCTGCGCCGCTGTATCCAGACTCGAAAAACTCGGCCAGGAATGCACTGGGAGCAGCAACGCTTGCCCATAGTGCGTCTACTCGTGCGAAACCACAAGCTAGTCCTGCTGATTCCAACCGCCACGGACACGGCGCCATGGAAGCAGCACGTATTCAGCATGCGAAGAGCATATCGCGCGACATGTATACCAGCACTCCGCCTGTTGCACTAGAGACAGAGGAGAAGAGGCACAACGATGCTCTTCGAGCTTCTGCCATATCTATGGCTAAGAAGATCTACGATGTGCAACAGCAACACATCGATGGCGCATCGGGCCAGTCTATCGCCCGCACTGGAGCAACTGCGGCACATAGTCAACAACCGGCGACTGGCGAGGCTGACATCAAGCAGCAAGCTATGCGCTACATCGGAATCCAAGAAGCTGCACAAAAGCTTGCTCAGGAAAGACTGGCAAAGATAGGGTATGACGAGAACGCCGCCTACCGAAGCTACTACGGCTACGATAAGCCGACCAGATCGAAGCTCTCCATGCGCCGTGGACGTAATCGCGCACACAGTGCTTCTGAGACAGCTCCTGCGGACACATCTGATTCTGACGAAGACGACTTTCGCTCGAGGCGAATCCGCTCGCAGATGGAACAGTTCAACCAGCAACTGGCCGATGTGGACGCAAAGAAGCGCGAAAACGATCGCAAGTCCCTGCTTGCTGCAGCACAGCGTAAGGTACAAGCGCAGATGCAGGGTATGGACAAGAAGATCTATGATGAGACTGGCAAGATGTCATCTGCGATGGTAGATGATTGGGACGAAAAGGCGCGACAGCGTGCTATGGCCAACTCCGAGGCCCGTATGGAAAACCATGGCAGAGTACACATCGGCAATGGTAAATGGATGGATCAGAGTGAAATCGATGCTATCGCCCAAGCCAGGATCCAGCCCACATTGGACGAGATCACGGAGAAGACCGAAAAGCGCCTTGCCGAGGACGAGAAGCGACGTGCTGAAGAAGAAGAGCGCCGACTTGACATGGAGCAGGAGAAGCGCCGTGTTCGTACCGAGAAAGAGCGTGCCGCTGAGATCAAGGCGGAGGAGAAGCAAGGAAGGGGTAAGTAGTTCTCGCTGAATCGTTTGTCACGCCACTAACATAATCACAGAAGAAGAGAAGAGGGCTGCGAAAGCACGAGCGGCTGAAGAGAAGCTAGCAGCGAAACAAGCGAAGGATGCCGAGAAGACTAAGACTACAGGAGAACAGCGCAAATCAAAAGAGATCTCAGCGGCTGAACCATTAGTTGTGGATGCTGAAGCTCCACGCGACAACGAGGATCTATACCAGGAACCTACACCTACAGAAGTCCAACATACAGCTGAACATGATTCAGCTGGTCCAACTTCGCCGACGTCGCAAGGACCCTCGAAAGGATTCAAATCACTCTTAAGCAAGTTGAAGCGCCGCTCAAAGCATGCTCCTGCGACAGAGACTGAAGGTGATACAAAAGAGAAAGAACCCGGTTTCATTGGTGGCGCAACTCTCCGAAACTCCACTTCGCTGCCCCAATCTCAGTCTCAGTCTTCGAAGAACGCTAGCCATCCAGCTCGTGAGTCGATAGACGGCCGCATATCTGCAGATACCGATCGACCAAAGGACCTAGGCGCTGTTGAGCCTACGTATGTTCCTCACGTCGGTTTTGTTGACGAAGATCGCCACTCAGATGTTTCATCCCTGTCCAACGATGGAGAGGAATTCAGTATGGCACGTGGGAGACCAGCCGAACGTGTTGTAAGCGGAGCAACAGCGACATCCGCCGGAGAGAGCTTTGAGGAAGCCCGTGACCATTTCGACGAAGCTCTAGCACCGCCACCGGCCTTTGGCTCTGATGCGGAGAAAGCGAGGATAGGAAGCCCAAACCGGGAGTCAAAGTTCCAAGAGGTGGGATTGTAGGCCTTGTGATGGTGAATCAAGCGGGAGTATTGCTCTTGGAAGAACGATGTTATGATTGAGCTGAATGGTAGACTAATGGCCCATGTTTGGAATTCCGTTGTTTATGCGTAGTAGTCTGCAGGGTTATGGGTAGCACAAATACGGCCTTGGGATATAATTTAATGTCTTGTTCTGCAAATATATGTCAGAGACTTCAATATCGCCTATGCACTTGATGCGAGGGACTGTAGGGGGAACATGTGCAGAGGTGAACGTGTATGTTCTGTTTCGATGCTTGTATCGCGAAATATGCCGGGGAACTACGGGTTCCTCCCACACCCAGCCTTCTCACTTGCGACTTACTGTTGTACAAACGCACAAATTGCCAAGTTAATTGCCAAACTCAAGACCTAGAAGGCTGTATTCATCTTCATCCTCTTTTCAAGGTGATAGACTATCTACAAAGTCAGCGTAGCAAGTAAGAGTAGTCCTGATTGAACGCTGCAACAAACGTCATTGGGTAAAGCTGCCCTTGCGTCTTGCCTATTTGGGAACCCAATGCTTATGTCATCACAGGGCGATCCAGCGTATGTGGAAACAACACGAGGAGCTCCTTTCTCAAACAGCATCACCTCCACGACCCCGACCCCGCCTTATACGACCGTCTCTCATTTCCTATCACGCGCTTCTGGAGTTGTGCACCTGGTTCTACTTCTTCCTTTTCTTCCGATACCCGATTCTTGCGCGCTTTCTCACCCCGGTGAGCTTGGAACTGGACTGTCGCAAACATGGCCCAGCGACAGGTGCCATTGCACGTCACGCAGCCGACGCTGGTATGTACCGCATTAGCCCTTGGCATTGCATAATGATTGAAGCTAACAATTGACAGCTCACGAACCTCAACATCCTCGTACGTTGGTCCTAGGCCAAGCACTCCGCGAACAAGGCAACAAGGGTCAGCAAGCTAATACATAGTCCAGCCGGCATCGATATCATGGCAAAACTGCGTATGTGGCCCCATCAAGATGCACACACGAGATGTAGATATGCTGACAGCAGGCCTAGACACTCGAGTCCGACAAGTACGTTTGCGTGCGACAAGTCAACAACGAAGCCAACGCGCCCGCCGAGACTGTCATCATCGACCTTAAGAATACCAACAATGTCATCCGGAGACCGATCCGCGCCGACAGCGCCATTATGCACTTGACTGAGCCCATCATTGCTCTCAAGGCGCAAGGCCGGACACTGCAGCTGTTTAACCTCGAGACCAAAGAACGTCTGCAGACCTACAGCCATCAAGAAGACATTCAGTTCTGGAGGTGGATTAGCCAGACTACACTTGCGCTCGTCAGCACAAAGGCCGTGTACCACTGGGACGTGCTCGACTCGAAGAACGCTGTTGCGCCGCGCAAGATCTTCGATCGCCAAGAACAACTCGAGGTATGCGGCTTGGTCTATAAATCGCTAACTGCATCTAATTCGCTTTGTAGAACAATCAGATCATCAACTATGTTACCAACGATGACGAGAGCTGGTCTTGCTTGGTTGGTATCACATCAAACCCGCCGGTGGCATTCGTGGAAACATGCAGCTCTTCTCCAAGGCGAGGAACGTCAGCCAGCCCCTCGAAGGTCATGCTGCTACCTTTGGCACTCTCCGTCTTGATGGTGCATCAACCGATACAAAGATCTTCGCGTTCGCTGTCAAGTCGTCGTCCGGTGAAGCCAAGATCAACATCGTCGAAGTCGACCACAACGCCGCGAACCCAGCCTTCCCGAAGCGTCTCATCCCGATCCACTGGCCTGCCGAGGGTACCGGTGACTTTCCGCTCGGCATCCATATTGCGCAAAAGTACGGCATTTTAATCGTAATTACCAAATTCGGTTTCATTCACCTCCACGACCTCGAGACCGGTACCGCACTGTTCCTGAACCGGATATCTGAGGAGACAGTCTTCACAACGGCGCGCGATGACGAAGGCACTGGTGTAGTCGTCATCAACAAGCGAGGTCAGGTCCTGCATACAACTATCCGAGAGGACAGCCTGATTCCATACATCATGGAGAACCCAGCGTGTGCTGAGATTGCGTACAAGCTCGCTTCAAAGGGCGGACTTCCAGGCGCAGACCAGCTTTACTCTCAACGGTTTGAGACGCTCATGTCCCAAGGAAACTTCGCGGAAGCCGCAAAGGTTGCCGCCAACTCACCCCGGGGCTTCCTCCGCACAATGAACACGATCAACAGGCTACGCCAGGTTCCCAACCAGCCTGGCCAGATCACTACTCTGCTACAGTACTTTGGTCAACTACTCGACAAGGGTGGACTAAACAAGGAAGAGACTCTGGAGTTGGCTCGACCTGTCTTCGCTCAAGGCCGCAAGCACCTTATCGAGAAGTGGCAGAAGGAGGGCAAGCTCCACTGCTCGGAGGAGCTCGGAGATCTTGCCAAGCCCCACGATTTGAACCTTGCTCTGGCCATCTACAAGGAGGCGAACGTATCCCAGAAGGTTGTCGCAGCACTCGCTGAGCTTGGCCACTACGACCTTATTCTGCAGTACTGCAACGGCGTCGGCTACACGCCCGACTACAACGTATTGCTCCAGCATGTGGTCCGCATCAATGCTGAGAAGGGTGCTGAGTTCGCCTCCCAGCTAGCGAAGAATGAGGGCGGCCCATTGATCAGTATCGACCGCGTTGTCGACATCTTCCAGTCTCAAGGCATGATCCAACAGGCAACCGCTTTCCTTCTAGACGTTCTCTCCAACGATCTACCAGAAGAGGGCCACATGCAGACCAAGCTGCTCGAAATGAACCTGCTCAACGCCCCTCAGGTTGCAGATGCTATTCTCGGCAATGAGATGTTCCACCACTACGACAAGGCGCGCATTGCCCAGCTGTGCGAGAACGCTGGCCTGCTCACCCGTGCTCTGGAACACAATGATGATCCGGCTGCCATTAGGCGTATCATCGTTCAGACCGACAAGCTTCCAGAAGAGTGGCTGATCAACTACTTCGGTCAACTCACAGTAGAGCTCTCGCTTGAGTGCTTGGACGCCATGCTCACTACAAACATCCGCCAAAACTTGCAGGCCGTCATTCGTATTGCCCAGAAGTACTCAGATCTGCTCGGCGCTACCAAGATCATCGATCTCTTGGAGAAGCACCGTACCGCAGAGGGTCTGTACTTCTTCCTAGGCTCGATCGTCAATGTCAGCGAGGATCCCGATGTTCACTTCAAGTACGTTGAGGCTGCGACCACCATGGGCCAACTTAACGAAGTCGAGCGTATCTGCCGAGAGAGTGCCTTTTTGCCTCCAGAGAAGACGAAGAACTTCCTAAAGGAAGCCAACCTCGCTGAACAACTTCCGCTTATCGTTGTCTGCGATCGTTTCAATTTCGTACACGATCTAGTGCTCTACCTCTACAAGAAGCAGCAGTTCAAGTCTATCGAAGTGTACGTTCAGAGAGTCAACCCTGCGAGGACACCTGCTGTCATCGGTGGTCTTCTCGATGTGGACTGCGACGAAAGCATTATCAAGGGCCTTCTGGCTTCGGTGACACCATCTTCGATTCCAATCGACGAGTTGGTTGCTGAGGTGGAGTCGCGAAACCGATTGAAGCTTCTTCTGCCGTTTTTGGAGCAGACATTGGCGAGCGGCAACCAGCAGCAAGCTGTCTACAATGCCTTGGCCAAGATCTACATCGACTCCAACAACAACCCAGAGAAGTTTTTGAAGGAGAACGACCAATACGACACCCTCACGGTTGGAAAGTACTGCGAGAAGCGTGACCCCAACTTGGCATTCATTGCCTACAGCAAGGGACAGAACGATCTCGAGCTCATCCACATCACCAACGAGAACGCCATGTTCAAGGCCCAGGCACGTTACCTTCTGGAGCGAGCCGATTCCGAAGTTTGGGACTATGTTCTGAGTCCAAACAACGTACACCGCCGATCGCTCGTAGACCAAGTCACTTCGTCGGCTGTTCCCTCGTCCACTGACCCAGACAAGGTCTCCGTCGCTGTGAAGGCTTTTATCACTGGTGACATGCCTGCTGAGCTGATCGATCTGCTCGAGAAGATCATTCTGGAGCCTTCCACTTTCAGCGATAACCCGTCCCTCCAGAACCTGCTGATGCTTACTGCCTGCAAGTCTGATCGCGGCAGGGTCATGAACTACATCCAACAGCTCGACCAGTACACCCCTGAAGACATCGCTCAACAGTGTATCGAGGTTGGCATGTATGACGAGGCTTTCGAGATCTTCAAGAAGCACGAGAGCCACGTCGAGGCTGCCAACGTCCTCATTGAGCACATTGTTTCAATCGACCGGGCATACGAATATGCTGACAGGGTCGACACGCCTGAAGTGTGGAGCAGAGTTGCTAAGGCGCAGCTGGATGGTCTTCGTGTCACCGACTCGATTGAGTCTTACATCCGCGCCGGAGACGCATCCAACTACTTGGAAGTCATTGAGATCGCCACGCACGCCGGCAAAGACGAGGACTTAATCAAGTTCTTGAGGATGGCTCGCAAGACCCTCCGCGAGGTACCCATCGATACCGCCTTGGCTTTCTGCTTCGCTCGTACCAACCAACTAGCCGAGCTTGAGGACTTCCTCCGTGCTACCAACGTTGCGGACGTTGAAGCCTCAGGTGACAAGGCTTATGAGGAGGGCTACCATGAGGCAGCAAAGATCTTTTTCACCAGCATCTCCAACTGGGCGAAGCTTGCAACCACTCTCGTACATCTGGAGGATTACCAAGCCGCTGTCGAATGTGCTAGGAAGGCAAACTCGATCAAAGTCTGGAAACAGGTCAACGAAGCCTGCGTTGCGAAGAAGGAATTCCGTCTCGCCCAGATTTGCGGTCTCAACCTGATCGTACACGCCGAAGAGCTCACCGATCTTGTCAAGCAGTACGAGCGTAACGGGTACTTCGATGAGCTGATCAATCTCCTTGAGGCTGGTCTTGGTCTGGAACGTGGTAAGTAAAACCCTTTTGACAACTACAACCCCA